GAAGGAAGTCAGTAGAGGAGCTTTGGAGGCAGATGTTTGTCAGCGGGGAGGCAGCCCTCAGCAGAGAAAAGAGCTCTTTAGGCACTGGTCTTCAGGTTTTGTAGATACTAGAAGATCCCTGTGTTTTGCCTCACACTTGGAAATCCTTGGTTTTGAAGTGAAGCATCATGTGGACCTGTGATACTGTTTTTCTACATTTTTTCTCCCTTTGGTGCATGTTAGTAGGGAATGGACTCTGAATCAGTAGATGGAAGAGAATACAAATGAAAAGAGAGTGCAGTAGACAAGCAAGGCTAGAATTTATCAAATCAGAGCTGCTATGCATCTGGTTTAGTATGTTGATAGTCAACTAGATATAAAACTGTCTCCTTTCACAAGAACAAAACCTACAGTTATTTGGTGTTCGTTTAAAATAATCCTTTAATAAAAACAGAGTCATTGTATTCACTGTCTGAACACAGGCCAGAGTGATCCCGAGTGTATGGAACTAGATTTCCAGGTCCTTGATATTGTTGGTGCTATGTCTTTCCTTCAAATCATAAAAGGCTGTGATACAGAGCATACTAGGCAGACTCCCTGTGAGTCTGCTGCTTGTACATTGGATTCAAGAATTTGTTAAGATGTTGGATTTTTTCTTTCCAGTCCATTATTTTTGATGAGGTGGATCTGACAGATGCCAGCGTAGCAGAATCCAGCACAAAGAATGTCAACAACAGCTTCACGGTAGGACTTTTTGCACTATTTTCTGTTCTTCTTGCATCTTTTCCCACATCCCATCTCTTTTGCAGTTGAAAAACACCTGAACAATCTTCACAGCAACTTACACAAAAAAAATCAAAACAAACTTACTTTTCTTTACAATATGATAACTCATATTTGTGTATGTGGGAAATTACCTCAGGGAAATACCTCAGCTTACTATGTATTGTGCTGAGACTTGGCATTCAGGGATTTTCTTCCCTATAAGCTATGAGGGTTTGATAGAACCTGTTTGCACAATGGGACAGAAAAATTTGTTCTGCTGAGGGAGTTGGAGGTGATGTTCATGTTCATGCTGGAGATCTTGCTAAAGGAATTTAGTTCTTCCCATAGGCATTAAAATATGTAAACTTATTTCTCTGACTTTGTGTGTGTATGTGTGTGTTTATATATGCATGCTATATATAGTGGGAAAGCAAAAGGAGGAATAGAAAGAAATAGCACAGAAATAACTGTGGAATTGGTTCAAGATACTCATTAGATGTGGAATGTGTGCTAAGTAATTGCAGTCTGGAAATGTGGTGGTGTCCCTGCTTCATTTTCTCCAGGCTCAGGAACTAAGAGGAAAAATGATTGTATTTCTAAGGTGCAGGTGTTCTGCAAGCTCCAGTTTGGGGGAGCACCTGGTGTGCAGAAAAAAGCCATTAGCATCAGCCTTGCAGGATGAGTGTTGAGCTGGTGAGCAGCAGCAAACCTCCACACAGCTCCTGAAGGGCTCAGAACAGAGGAGAAGGAGGGCCTGGGGAAAGGAAGGTGTGCTCCAAGGCAAGGTGAAGGGGGGAGTAATCCAGGTGGAGGGAGGAATCCCTCCTGGTCCTGCAGGTGGTGACCAACACTGAACAGTGTGCCTTGTTCTGCAGCAGGAGTGATCTGCTGCTGTAAACATCTGCCAAAGAGCATTGTTGTTGAGTAGCTGTAGCTTTTGGCTTTGCAGTGCCTGTGTCCAGATAAAACTCCAACACATTCCCAAAGCTTGAAAACACATTCAACATCCATAGCTGGATAGGTACATTGGATGTGGTAGTTAAATATTGAATTCTAGTGTCAATGTTAGAGTACAGAGAGAAAGTTTATGCAGTGATTTGAGTACGGGATATGTTTTCAAGAATGTGATGTTATTTACCTATTAATAAAGCATTTTATCCTGAATCCTGCTTCTCAAATATAAATAAAGACTGATTTTTCAGGTAAGTGTACTGTTACTGTGCTGCTTACTGTTGTAGCTGGGAGAGATTTAACATCCATCAGAAAGACTATGTTAGGGACAGAAGGAAGTAGTGTATTTGCTCCCTCAGATTGCCCCATACAAGTCAAACAGTAAAGAGTTATTTCCAAGACTCTGGTATTAGACTCTGTCAGTTCCTGCCTTCCCTGGCTGATGAAATGTAAAGAGTTACCTTGAAATTCAAGGTACAGTTCCTTATCAGTCTCCAGCTGAGCAGTGTATCATGGTGCTTATGTAAATACAAGAAAAACATGTTTCCTCTTAATTTCTATGTGCTCTTTCTGTCATGGCTTATGGAGGTGACTCATTTACCTTGAGCTCTAAAAACACTTAAGAAATTCAGAAGGTGGCCTAGTCTTGCTGCTGTTTGCTCTGTTACATCATTGCTCTCACTGCTTTTTATTCCTTTCAGTCATACAGTTTTCTGTTGGTTTTCTTTGAGATCTCTCTGCTTCCCCGTTGTATCTTCCTTTCTAAAATTCAGACTTTTTTGATGCATTTATTTTCCCTGTTTCAATTCAGTGGGTCATATGATTTCAGGTTTTCTCCTAAACTGAAAATATGTAGTTTTGGTGTTATAATCAGAGTTCTGATTTTCTTTTTGTTTTTTTGTTTTCTGCAATGGAGGCTAGTACTTGTGGATTTATAAAAGAATGGTTTCTTTCTGAGAAAACTCAGTCTCTGTCCAGACACCTGCCTAATGTATAGATTTTGCAGGTCAGGTTGCCTGAATGATACCTCTAACTTCCTGACAAACACCAAAAACATCAGATAAACCATCTGAAGGAGCAATGTCCAAAACAAAGAGTTAATAAGGACTGATCAGTCATAAGATCAACTCTTGAAAGTGCATTGAGGTGCATGGGGAGGCAGCATCATGAGAGGAGAAAACCAGAGCATAAAGCCAGGGAAGGTTGTGCTGCATGGATAGAGGAGTAAAGTAAAAAAATAGCTGTCAGTAAACTTTTTACATAGGACATGACTGACAGGTAATTTGTTTGCTCTCAGCAGGAAGGAGAGCAAGAAAAATGAATTTTAGGACACCAACTTCTTCCTCTAAAAAAGTGTGTAATAACAAATTCCACCGTGGTTTTCTTCGTTGATCCTGCGTAGTTTCCTCAGTAAGTGTATCCAGTTTGCAATTGGGACAGTTTTCAGGACTGCTACCCAGAGTTAATCGACAGATGACTATAGAATGGGCTGGGAGCATGTGACATGTGCCATTTTTGAGCTTACAGTGTTGTACAGCTCCATTCCCTGATGTGTAATGAGAAGCTTTATGTTTAACTTTGTTCCTTTAGGTCAGGCAGTGTGGCTGCAGAGGTATTTAACAGGAAGCCTCTGGGAACAAATCTTACATCAGCCCCATGCCAGAGCTCTGTTCTCTCATTAGGCCTCTAGGCTGGTTTTTGGTTTGGTATTTGCTGGTTCTGTCTCATCTCTGCCATCTCTGTCCTTGAGAGTTGGCTGTCTACAAGATAAATTCTTCAGGGATGTCTGGGCTGTGACAGGTGCTTTTCATGTATGATCGCTTGGTACGTGGTGTATAGATCCCTCCCCAGCCTTTTCCTAGGGTTGCTTTCTTGCACAGGCCTTAGAGAAAATCTGCTGTGGCACAAATGCAATGATAGATGTGTTGTCCTGGGAGTTCAGGACCCTTTATTTCAAAGAGAGCAGTCAACTTTTAGCCTAGACTCTTGCCATTAGTGTGTGCTGTTTTGTGCTCCTAACAAAATAGAGATCAGCAGCACTGGATGGATGAGGACAGAGCCTGGCCCTGGTTTCTGAGCAGCTCTTTCTTAGCCATACTCTCAAAACCTCTTGTGATTTCTAAAAAACAGATGATTTGGGATCACACTGGGTGTATTCCCAGTGAGACTTCAGCTCTTTCCATGAGCAGTTTTTTCTTGGACAGTGCAGTTTTGCAGTAACATGATTTGTTAAGGTGCCCGCATGACGGACTAGCCTGCAGTTATGTGAGGAGAATTAAAACAAAATCTTCAATGAGGATGAGTTCCATACTTTAAGCTGGAATAGTGTTTTCTCAAGATAATGCTGGGAAGCCTAGGTTTTACTGATCTCTGTCGCAAAATGATCTGCTTTACAAGTTTCACGGACCTGAACCATCCATTATGCTTGTTCTCCCCTGTGACACCTGCAAGGTCTGGGGGACACCAATCACTCTCTTGCCTATTGCTTAGGTCAACACTTTGCCACCACAGCTCTCCCCTCGAAAGTCTTTAAAAACACTTTGGATCGTCTCCTTTGGCCCATTTTTGTAAGTGTTTGTGTGGTGAGCAAATTCTTCCTCCTCAGACTGGTATGTGGGCTGAAGATCTGCTGTTTTCTAGAAGGTGCCAGCTGAGTTAAGCCTGCTGCCTTCAGTGTAGCTGGTACAGTTAAAGAAGTGGTTCCTTATCAGTTCATTGACCCTTTCCTGCTTTGTGGAGGATTTGTATAAAGATAAGGTATGTATTCTTTAATACTAGTCAACGCCTGTCATTGTCAGGAGAGCACCTGGAAAGGACATCATATCTTCCCAGGTACATATTTTGTGTTCCGATATGATTCTCACATGGTAGTTTGGTAAATGTTTTCCAGTTATTGCTACCAAATGATAGTGTGGACTTTGACCCTCATTCACATAACATGAATTACAACATTTACTTCTTATCCCATCTGATTCAGAGCTTTGAGATCCCACAGGAGAAATATTCTCTGTGTGGAGAAGGAATTTTGTGTCGTTTGGTTTCTTCTTTCTGATGCTTTGATGAAATGGAAGCTGGTTCAGAGCACGTTTTTGAGTGCCAGGAGCCATGCTAGTGACCCCTCCTCCATAGTTAAAGCTCTTCACTGGAAGAGGTGGAGCTTGAGCTCCTGAGCTCCTGTAAACCCTTTTTTGTTGGGAAGTACCTCTCAGCTCAGCCGCAGACAGGAAACAGCATATTATTACAGTCAGCGCCTGCCTCTCCACTTCATTGCCGTCAGAAGGAAACTTATCCCAGCTCCTCCTTAAGCAGGCAGCTAATCAGCTTGTGGCAAGTGGAACGTAGCTCAGAGAGACTGACCACAGACGAGACTAATGCTGTTAATTGCATGTCAAGCAATCTGTTTAGGTTTTTTTCTGAGGGAGTAGGCTGCTCTGGACACTAGTTTAGAGGAAGATTGAACGTGAAAGGTAAGAGCAGGAGCATGAGTTTTCTGGATTGAGCACTGGGAAACATGGCGCCTGTGCCAGCATAACAGATATCAGAAGCTCAGGTTCTTTGGAATATGTTTGCTATGAGGTCTTACTCTTCAGGTGTTCTCTCCTGAGTGGATTTATGTAGATGTATTCTCTAGAAGAGGAGTAAAAGGAAATGTGCCTGCGGTGCTGTTGGAAATGCTGCACCCAGTTAAGAAATACTTTTATTAACTGATGATTCACCCTGACCAATGTCCCAGGAGAGAGGAAGTACTCAGGTTAGAATACCTCTCTTACAGAGCACTTGCATGACTGGAGGCAACAGTGGTTGTGGTAGGCTGAGGAAAAGGGAGTTGCTGGTGCCCCTGAATGAGAGAGTACAGTCATCTCTGAGGAGTATGGATGGCATTCTCCAGCTGTACGGAAGCCTGAGGTGTGCTACAATTTTTTTCATATTATAACCTTGTTACTTAGTACTGACTCTATTCAGCAGTGAAGTTGCCAGTTTCTGTCTTGTGAAGTTTTACGTTGGTGATCTCCAGAGTGCATGTTTCTACTGTATTGTCTCAGGGCTTATTAATGCTGTGGAGAAATAGCTTGAATTTTCATTTCTGGGTAAGTAATCTTTCCTATAAACAGAGGGCAAAGTGCTTGAACTTGGGCAAAAAATTGAAGTACTGACAGGTCTTCCTAATGGGGAGAATATGCTGTTGATATTTGCAGTTCATTCACAATGAAGTGAAAGTACCTTTGCCACTTCATGGTTTTGTGTCAAGTTAATTATTTATGTAGGTGCTTTTAAATTAAAATATATCCTTTCCAGCAGAGAAGGCAGTGAAATCTTCTCTGAAGAGTTTGGTTTTGAAAGAAAATAGAGCTGCTGAAGCTACAGAGAGTTTGCTCCGCCTGTCTAGCACTGGAGCTGTGTGCCTGTAAGGCACTGTTGGAAAAAGAGGAACCCAGATCAGCCAGATCAGAGGTTGGTTGTGCTGGTTTGAAATACAGGCTTCAAGAAAGAGCGTGTCACTTATTTTTATGAGGAGAAAGAATATAAGAACTTTTGTTGCAAGCTATTTGCAGGAAGTCATAGTTGGACTTCAAGCTTTGGCTGATAGAGATCAGGAAAATATGTGTGGTTTGACACTTGCACAGATTCTCAAAACTGCCATGTGTGGCCTCAGCCCTCTGAAGAAAATGGAGTTGAACATATGCTCCAGGGAGTCACTGAGATTTCTAGCAAGGGAGAGGATTTTCCTCCCCTGCTTCCTCAATAGGGGGTTAAAGAGACCCAGAGAGAAGGCATCAGCTGGGCAAAAAGACTGATTAATCCAGTGACATAGTGACACAGGCCAGTCCCTGGTGTCCTGAATTCTCACAGAGTCATGGATTGCCCCATTAATATTTGGAAAAGGGAAAGATTTGAAAAGAGAGACTTATGAACAGGATGAGTCTTTCTTCCTTGTTTTTAATCTTTCGTCTCTAAATTGGGAAAAATTGCAGCACATGCTGGAAATTCAGTTTTTGCTGGGGGTTGTTGTCTTTTCCACACCCATGTATGTACACATTCAGGAATTGTACACTCTTTGCTAGTGCTTGTACTCTGTTTATATTGGCAGCTGTCAGAATTTCCTTTATAAGCAACTGAAAAGATGAGTAGAGCCGTGTATTGCCATGTCTAGAATCACTCTGCTGGTTTTCAACCTTCATTAAGTGCAGTTCAGTCCCCATTTCCTGTCAGAACTGCTGCAGTTTCAAAATACTTTGCTATTTTAGTAGTTTGTAATCCAGACTTCAATGCAGTTTTTTTCTCCTTGAGAAAAAGCCCTTTGGTAAACAGACCATTCTGAGTCACTGTTAGTCAGTGAAAATAGTCATTTAAAATCCTTTCATGTCAAGGATTTTTGGGACTTTTAATCCAGCCTCCTGTGGGAGCTGGTCATTAGTCTGCTGTCATAAAAGAAGGAAAAATCTGGAGAAAAAAGAAGATAAACATGGAAGAAGAGTTAGAAAGTCTGGAAGAGGTTGCTGTGGGTGGAGAGATCTGGCGATTGCTACTGTATGTTACAGAGTGACTCAAAAATATGCATGAGGTTTTGAGAGAGATGAGACTACTGTAAAAAGAAGTTACACTGAGCTTTAACTGTTTACTGTGGGACAGGATAGACAGGGAGCTGAAAAGTGAAGGAGACTGTTTGTGAAGAGCTTTTGCTTTCCTAGAGGGAAGTTTACAGCATTGAAATCATGTCTGCCCTTGTGTCTGAACACTGGAGTCTTTTGTTTGATAATCTCTTTTCTCTTTGTAACTGTCATGCTGAATTGGGGTTTCACCTACCTTCCTGAGCAAGACTGCAGATTTCAGCATGTTCTCCCCTTCCAGGTGGGGGCACAAAGGCAGAGCAATGCGTGGTCATTTGAGAATATGTTCAGCTTTACATGAAAGCTACTTTAGAAGGAAAAGGCTACTTTTTGTGCAGAGAGAGGCTTGCTAGCATTACTTGCAGAAATGCTGCCTCTCTAATTCTGGTGCTTGTGATGGTGCATGAACAGGACTTGCCTTAGCCCAGTGTGGAAAGCTCCTGGGTTCATCAAGCTGTTGAAAGTTATTAATTCCCTTTTGTGCTAGCTACCAGCCTCTGTTCAACACTGCTAAACTTAGGGGGCTGTGAGGAGCTGCTACTAACAATAAACTCTCAGTAACAGGTCATTTTCCTACCACTGATACGATCTTTTATTGCCCACTGCTGTGGTTTACCGGGTGCCAGCCTTCCCATGTATGAGCCCACTGAGACAGCAGCTCTACCACTCTACCACAGTCCTGCCCCTCTGTTCTTCATGGATTTGCTTCTGTTTGAGTGAGTAGGAAGCTTTCTCTGAAATATGCTTTACCTTCCTAAATGGGCTGCCCTTTCTGAACAGAGTGGTTCTGTTTAGGACCTCCTCCTGGCAGGATTGTGTCCTTTGGAAAACAGGTAAAGGGATGTATGTGCATCTGCTCCACGAGCGTGTGGGTAATGGAGCTGAGCTGAGATGCTTTGGCACTTGGTACAGCTCCCCTATCTGCTCCCACTGGGTATTGCTCCATCGTTGGAGATCTCTAGGGATTAATGGACCTGAACTGCCAGGAGAGTTATGTTTCTGACATGCTAACAGTGGCAAAGGCCTTGCATGCTCTAGCTTTTGACATCCGTTAAATTGTTGCTAAAGTTTTAAAATCCTCTTCTTGTCTGTGCTTCTCTTACCAATTGCCAAGAACAGGAATGTGCCTTGTTTAGGAACAATTTCCAGAAGCCTGTAGGAATGTGACCCTGGTATGAGAGATGATAATTTTCCCAGGGATAATGCTCTGTCTGGTCTCGTTTCCCACTGCAGCATGGGGGAGTTTAGGGACTGGGAGTAATCCCAGATGGAGGGTCAGCATGAGTTGAACTTGACCTGCAGCACAGCATAGCACAGTAAGTGCCAGTGCTCAGAGAAGATGCACTGCTGCCCTGGCTCAGGAGGGACAGATTGCAAGGTGCATAAACCTAAAAATGTAAAATAATGTAAAAATGGTCCTAAAGAGACCACAACACACTGGTCCTGCTTTCCTATGGAAATGAGCTGTCCTGGATTTTATAGATTGAAAATGAAGGTAAAAGAGCCACATGGAAGTTGGGGATAAAATAGCTGGTGTATTGTGAACAGAGATTTGGGCACTGAGGGCTTTGAGGAAAATCTTGTTACTGCTATTTAAAGAAAAAAAAAATAAGGGAAAGGAATTTGGCACAACAATAAGAACATTAATGACTTGTTTTATTTGGTAGAAATGAGAGTTTCCATGGGTGGAAGATGGTCATTTTAGCAGGAAATTAAGACCTTGCATTATAAAAAACCACACAAAACGGGTGCATTTCTTCAGTGTTACATAAAAAGCTACATTTTCTTTCCCATGTCATCCAGGTTTTGGGTGAAGAAAATTGCTGCAGTTCTAGAGAGGGTCTGCCTGACCTCTGCAGTGAGTTAATGGGACTAGATTTATTGGCAAAACTGGGTGAAAGCTGAATTGTGAAATACAGTAGGGTTGTAGTCTGTGGAGGAAGGCAAGGCTTGGACCCTTATGAGTCTTTGATACTCATATTATTGCTGTCGTCCAAACTGTAGAGACCTACTAAAATTATACTGACTCACTGCCTAAGGCTTTGCTGGCTTGATGCTGAGCTCCAGACTGTTTCAGAAACAGCCATCATTGAGACAGATGTTAAAGATTTTAAGTGTTAAGGACTGGTTTAAATCTCAAATTTGTGTTCTCCTCTTTTCACAGTCTTCTTTTTTGTGTGTTTGCTGAGGGAGTAGCACTTGCTAATCCACACTTAATCCGTTTTGCCCTGTGTGAGTTCAGTAATTGTGTTTGGAAAACAGTGGATTTGCTGGTTTGTGAACCTTGCTGATGAATACAGGTGAGGTGTTTTACTGTATTCCAGTGTTCATTTCACTACTGCTGTTGCTGAAACAGGAGCTGAAGTGGAAAAATGGCTGGGTCCTCATTACAGTCTCACCCAGTTTTCCTTCCTGAGTCTTGGACTCTCAAGATCATTGGATGTCAAGATCATTCTCCAGCACACAGAGCAGACATAGCAGTTAGCTACAGGTAGGGGATGGTTTCCCTACCTTTGCTGTATGTGATCAAACTGAAGGTTTTGCAACTTTTTTTTATTTTTTCTAGTTTCTAGGTCTCTAGAGCTCCAGAAATTCCTGTTGTCTCTGTACTCAAATAATCAACTGTTTAGAATAATGCAGGATCTCTTAGAGGGATTTATGGCTAGCACCTTTGAATGTAAGTCTATATTGGAACAGGATATGAGTAAAAGGAAGCAGTCAGAATGAGCAGGTGTTCTCATACCCCCACTTTTGGCCATTCTGAGAAATGTACACATCAGGAAAATTATATTTAGCAAAGTTCAATATCCCCCCATCCCATCTCTGCCCGCAGCATTTCTTCTGTCAGCTCTGTGATTGGGCCAGTGTGATCTTAACTTGCTTTGCCATCTTTTGTGGTCACTGAGCTCACCAGATGTACTCTGATAACAAACAGTCCCAGGGCATGCTTGGCTAGACTGTCACTTTAGTGCTGAGAAGTTTCTGGGGAGCCAGAAAATTCCCCAGGTGAGCAGAGATGGTAAAGTTTGCTTGGGTGGCAGCAAGACAGGAGAATGAAATTTATGCTCCAGCTGTTGGGGAGGGGAAGGTTACTCAGTACAACAAAGGGTGAAGTATATCAGATTTCTGTTTAAAATTCGGTCTAATATAGGAATCTTTTTTGGACTGCCTTTTGAATCTGATTATTCACAGCTGTTCATCAGGGAAGGACATCCAGGGACATTAGTCCATTTTTAGAACATGAAATGAGGAGTTTTCTTTGGTTGGCTCTGTTGTTTGTTAACTGGCTGTATTGGAAATGTTAGTAAACTGGTGTTAGTTTTGGACAGAGGAGTGTGGGTCAGCATGAGAGGTGGGGGTTAACAGCTGGTAAGAGGGAATGGGCCATGTGAGAGAGAGGAAATAAAGTTACATTTTCAGTGTTAAGAGTGTCTGTGTTTGCACAAGACAGCCAATGAAGGCATGGTTATTTTCAGATTTAGGTTTTTTTAGATTTAGAATACGCAAGCTTGAAAATTGAGCATTTTCCTGTAGGCTTGAGATGACTCATGGAGGGCACATACCTACTTCCTGGGGACCTGACTATCACCCCCATTTCTGCAAACGTATTTCAGGAGTTTCATATGCAGTGAGAAGTTGGTAATTAACTTGTATCCTGATTTGAAATGTCTTTAATCCTTCCTGCCATTCCCATGTCTCCTTATGACTCTCCAGGAGTGATTTAGGGGGACTTTTTCCCCCCTGTGACTGTGGAGCTCTTTTTCTGGTCAGAATTAGGTGTCAATCATATCACCATGTGGTGAGCACTGGGCACCTAGTTTCTACTAAACAGTGAAATTTAAAGAATCACACCCAGAAGTTCAGTAGCATTTAGGATCAAAAGTTTTTAATATTCAGTTTTTAGGCAGAACAAGCACTTTTAATTTGCATAATTGCTCATATCTAAATACAGTTCTGAGCTGCTTTGGGGCGGGAAAGCTCAGAGTTCTGCCAATCCCCAAACAAGCCAAAAATCTATGAGATTAAAAATAAATCTGAAAACTTTTTATTTGGTTTGTTTTTTTTTAACTCCTAGTAAGGCAGCCTTCATCCTAGCTCAGATGCAATCAGATCGTTGTTTTCGTGCTCTCCGTTTATGAGAACAAGAGGTCACTGGTTGACATTACTGCTTTGTAAATTTAGAACAAATAAAAGGAAATGCTGCTTCACCTAGTGCGTCGTCATCCTGTGGAATATACTGTTCCAGGATGTTAGTCAAAAGCTGTAGCCGGAGCATAAAAAAATAGTTGGATCATGCTCGTTTGTAGCCATGTGCACCAACAGGGATAACCAAGCCTTGTGTTCCAGAGTATTGGCTCATTGCAGCTGTAGCTGAGAGTGAACTCCCTGGACTCCTGGCTGGGAAAGAACAGCTTTCTGGGGGGAAGATTGGTGTGGCTTCTTTTGAGATGACAAGAATGATTTTATTTTTGTGCAAGATGTTAAACTGATCATTGCTCTTGCCTGGACAGCGCGGTGCATGTAACAGCCTTGGCCCTCTGTCAGTATCCTTCAGCAGGTGTATGTCTGGAGCTGAAATAGCTGGTTCAGAGAGAGGGAGGGAACAGTGGCAGGAGGGGTGGGAGTGAGAGCTTCTGTTGCTCAGCCCAGTGCCGTGGCACACGTGCTGCCCACCACACGTGCAGGAAGAAGCGGGCAGCTGCTGCACTACGGGGCAGGCACAAGCGGCTGATGCTCCCCCAGTACCCGGGCTGGGCTGGGGGGTGTAGGGTGTGTGAACAGCAGAGCTGCTGAACTGCTCTGCAAAGGAAGGAACCCTATTAACACGTTTCTGAATTCCTGATTATCCTCTTTAAGATGTTTAACTGTAATACTGCTGCATATTAATCAGGAAAACAGGTTTGTATGGTTTCTTCATTTCCCTAAATAATTGCTGCACTAGTTGCATTAAAATCTTGTCTGTCCTTCATAGTGCAATCTGAATTGTCCCAGTTTGTTCTCCTAAGGAGCAAGCTTTTTTAAAGAGGTTTATTCTTTTACTTCCCATCTCTGGTGATACCAGTAAATCCCAGTGCAAATGTTGCTTTTGAACTGACTAATATATTTATCCTGCACAGTTGCATTTATTTGCAGTTTTGTAGTGACATAATAGACCCTTTATTTTAATTCTGTGACTCTTTGTCTAAATGATTCATGTATGGAAATCTTTTGATCTCTTTATTTATCCTCTTGTCTTATAAACTTTGACTTTGTTTTTTGAACTGAGGGTTGTCTAACGCTGAATGTGGGGATTTTTAAAATGATGCAGTAGGTGACTTTAGAAGGAATTAGTTGTTTTCTATATTGGATGATCTGTCCAATGATCCAGGGAGTCAATAGCCTCAGAAATTAATTCTTATCAAAGGAATGTCTGTATTTCTGTATTTTATGTCACTATTTTAAATTGCTTGTCTTCCATTGTGATTAAAAACTAAGCTATAGTTTCCATTTTCCTTCTGTCCCCCAAAAAGGCAGAAAAATAGGAAAAGGGGCAGCACTGAGTAGGAGTGTTCTGAAGCTGTTCTTCCCCAGTGCTCCAGAGCATGCCAGTGATTCAAATGAACTGGTGGTTCCTTACAGAATTTGGCTGGTTTTACAGCCATGAAAGGTCCTTGGATGCTTCATCCTACAATGTTTGGACTTTATATGTGCTACTGTTGTATGTATGCAACTGTAGATGTTCTTGGCGTTATTAGCAGGAAGAAAGTGAGGTCCAGTGGTGTCTGAACAAATTAGTTAACCTTGGTTTTACTTCCAGAGAAAAAGCTGCTTCCTCTTAGCAGGACTCAGATATGCCCCTTGTTCTTCTCTGACTTCACACTGATTTATGCATCAGTGTTTCATGCTCTGGAAAAAGTTTCTCTAGGGTAGCCATTCTTACATAGCATGGTTTTTGATGGAAATACATTTAACTAAACACTTCCCTGCTTTCCCAAGGAAGAAGAAACATTCCTGTGAATACCTTCTTTGGAAATAAATTTTTTCAAAGCTGGAAATGTTTAAAGGAAAGTGAGGGAAGAGAGAAGGAGTTCCTAAAAGTTTTATTTTTAGAATAGTGTTAGTATTTACTTCTGTGTGCTTACAGATGATACAGATCAGGTCATTTTGTCCAAGATAGAATGCTCCAAATGCTAAAACTGTGTTTCTAACATTAATGACTAGTCCTTTATTTAAAAAGGGATTTAGCTCCGTTCATTGCCTACTTAATGTGCCTGTAGCACTGGTTTCTGGGTATTAGTTTTGCCTCTGGGTAAGGTGGTGCTATTGCAGGTGAATCTGCAGTCTGACAATGAAAAGAAAGTTTGAAAAATGAAGACCTTAAAATAAAGCAGAATTTTCCAGGTGTATCTTTTTTGTTGAAATTACATCCATATTTCTTGGTGGGTGCTCTGAGGCATTTCAACATCAACTAAAAGTTTGGTGTTCAATGTCAAAGGCTTTTATTTTTAATCTGTTTTATGAATGATGATGAAAAAACTGAGAAACAGACAGGAAAACGAGGATATTGTATTAGGGTGATGTGTGTGGGTGTTTTAGTGTTCATTAACAAAACTTTGGCAGAATGGTTGGTTCACTAGAATCCTAGTTTATTTTAAACCATTCTTTCAGATGTTATGTACAATTTGCCTGAAAAGCAGATGATGTTGACAAATTTTTTCATGTACAGTATGTAGAGGGGTGCAGGAGAGTCTGGAACTCCTGGAAATTTTTGGAGTTGACATAAAAGAAAGCCTTTTGGTTTTTCTTAACAGTCCTCAACCTTAATGCAGCTTTTCTTAAATCCAGGTCTTGAAAACACTTCAGTATTGGTCTAATTTAAGTCAGCTTGCTGGAAATCAGTACAGAGGAGTGCACAAAGAGACAGTGAGATAACTACACTGTGGGGAAGAAAGGCTTTTCTCTTAGGAAGAGTAAAAGTTGATATATAGTCAAGTCTGGACTCCAACTGAATGGCCAGCCCTGAGAACAGCAGACATGGTCCTCTGAAAAGCAGAGCACTTTCCTTTCCTCTGCTGCCACCAGCTGACTGAAGGAGAGGGAGTTAGTGGTAGAGGACACAGAGGCCAGGTGCCTCCTCGGGCAGCGGGAAACTCTGGCCACCCTGCATGTCTTCTGCTGGTTTGTTAAAATACTGGGTTTTTTAACGCAGGGCAATGAATGCATAGGAATTAGCCCAGGGTATAAACACACTGAGGAAAGAATTGTTAGAGGGAGGCAGACTCACCACAGCCTCATCTTGATAGGGGAACATTTGTTAGAATATCTTTTAGGTATGTAGAACAAGCCCTCAGGAAACATGAGGGTTCAAATTGCTTATTTTGTTTTATTTCTCCCCTCCCCATGAGGGAGACTAAACAAATTGTCATGACTAAACAAATTTTTAGTATGATATTGCAGAGTATGTTATCTGATTCATTAATTGCTAAAAACTGGTATACTGTGCTATTAACAAAATGTGTTAATGTTCTTACCAGTTTTAAAAATACAGTAAGTCCTTTAAAAAGACTTATACAAGGTCTGCACATAATTACTCCTGCTGCTCTGTGCTTGATCTGTGTTGTGCTGTAATTTAGGTTTGAGAGATTTTTTTTTACTCAATTTATTATTGGGAATGACAGCTAAAATCTGAGTGGTTCTGTACTTTTAGGAAGTACTTTAAGGTGTGCTGTGGTGGATGAGAAACATGATTCAGAGGTGCAAATAACTTATGTTGTGCAGCTCTGAAAATAGCTTCAACAGACTGCACTAGTGGTAAGGTGTTCTCTAGCTGTCTCTCACATGGACATGTTCAGTCCTTATTTTCTCTCTCTTCAGATTATCACTCCATGTCGGAAGCTCATCCTTTGTGCTGATAACAGAAAAGAGATGGAAGATTGGATTGCAGCACTGAAAACTGTACAAAACCGTGAACATTTTGAGGTAATGGGGAAATATGTTCCTTTATATTCTGTGCTTCCGCTGCTAAATCACAGCTTGTTTTGAGAGTCAGCTTCCAGTAAAGTTGATAGAAGTAATTTTATTGACTGTAATGGGTAATACTGTTAGGACCTTCTGTAAAATTGATCCCAAATACGTTGAAGTGATTCTCCAAAGAATGTTTGCCTTTGTATATGCTCCCTTGGGAATTTGGAGAGAATTTTCAGAGCATGGATAGGTTATGAAGCAATGTTCCCCTCCCACTGACTTTTCATTTTTCAATTATCCTCCCTGCTCTAATTCACATCTTGCCTGCTTGGTATTCTGCCAGCTTCAGTGCATCTGCCTGCTTCCTGGGGCTGAGTGAGACCAGCTCTGCTACCACAAAAAGCTCTCATGTTTTCCCAACTCCGATGCTTGCCTCCCTTATGCTGGCACAAGCATTTCTCTGCTACACAATGAGCCAGGTTGGGGAGCTGATCTTTCTGAAAATTTAATCTGATAAAAAAAAAATAAATTTGGGGATAAATTCTCCAGCAGATAAATTCTCCAGTTCATTTTCCTAGACACACTTGTAGTAAGACATGGATGAGAGGTGGTACAGGAACTGTAGTGAAGGTGTGACTTCTTTAGGTAGTCTCTTTTGCTTTAGAGATCTTCTTGGGTTTCAGCTAATGTGTATAAACTGCATGTCGCCCACTCTTTCCTAGTAAAAAAGTGTTCTGTTTCTGCTTTTTCAAACTGCTTCATGCAAATCTTCAGAGAAAAAAAAAGTTTTGTTGCTCTACTTTAGACCTTCCTGTAATACATTTGTATCATCAGTCTACCCAGTACAGCATGGACCATTTCTCAGGGATGCATAACTGGTACGCCTGCTCCCATGCCCGGCCAACGTACTGCAACGTGTGTCGGGAGGCGTTGTCTGGGGTCACATCACATGGGCTGTCCTGTGAAGGTAAGCGTGCCCTTCTCTTCTGCCTGGGAAGGAACAGCCTCATTTTATTTTTGTTTTTGCAAATATACCCAAATATTGCTATCCCTTGTTAAAATTGTGTGTGCAATGAGCAGATACACACTTCTGAGATATCTGAGAGAATATTCGTAAGAAGACTCCTATTCATGAGAGTAACTGTATTTATAAGAATGTACTTGTTAAGTGTTTGTGTGCCAGAAAGTTAGTCTTCCTCAGCTTTGTCTTAGCAGAAATGCCTGGCTGTGCACAGCTCATGCTTCTAACATGACTGCAGTGACACTTATGCTGTGTAAAATGATGGAGCAGTGTGCGACTATATAAATCATGTTAAATTTAACAAGGTGATCGCTAAGCTTTGTACAAACAACTGGCAAAAATGACAAGGCAAGAATTAATAGCTAGATCAGAGCACTTACAGCTGATCATTTTGATGGTGCTAAGAAGGATAGAGTGTGCCCATGCTTTCTTCTGGAGCCACATAGACACTGCCACGTTAGATCTCCTGAGGCAGGATTAATACATTCTTCTCTTCCTCCTTAGTGTGCAAGTTTAAAGCCCACAAGCGCTGTGCTGTGCGGGCAACCAACAACTGCAAGTGGACAACTCTGGCCTCTATCGGGAAGGATATCATTGAGGATGAAGATGGGGTAGGTGTTAGTCTGAACTTTTCCAGCCTTACCATGACATGGAAGCACTGTCTTGTGTTCTATAGCTTTCTTTCACTTCATAAATAGCAGATTCTGCCTTTACATGGAATAGATTTCTCCTGTCAGAGCATGAGATTCAGTGTGAAAAGGCCAACCAGGATAGCAAGGGATTCCTTAGTAGGAATAAACTGGTATGGACTGAGGGGAGTTGAGATTAAATAATTGCAAGCATGCAGAACTTGATCTTAGTTTTGGCAAAAGAAAAATACATGTTTGGAACAGCATCTTAGCATATTGGGATGTCTGATGCACTCGGTGCTTCCTGGGTAGCCTGGGGTGAGTCACCTGGACTCTGTGCTTGAACATGATGTAAATGATGTAAGAATTTGTCCTCAGGTGTTTTCTAGAAATTGTCTTTGGTGTCCTTAAGCAGTGCATATAAAGAGTTGCTTCTCTATGTATCTCGGAGTCATAAAGGCCTCCTGTATCTTCAAGCTTCTGTCCCTCTGTACTTTTTGCAGATCTCAATGCCACATCAGTGGCTGGAAGGAAACCTGCCTGTGAGTGCCAAATGCACTGTGTGTGATAAAACCTGTGGCAGTGTCCTGCGTTTGCAAGACTGGCGCTGCCTATGGTGCAAAGCCATGGTGAGTTGAATAACTGTGATCATTTCAGTAAAGGACAGTTTTTGATTAGCTCTGTGGTATGTTCTTTTAATGACACTTGCTTGGAATAAAATCTCTAACCATGCTGTCAGTGTTTGCCATGAAGGACTTTATTGTTCTGCAAGAAATAGAAATTTAATTTATGCTCAGAAGTGTTGCTGTGATACATAAAAGCAAGACCTGAAAAAAGTATCCAGCTTCTAGCCAAGCTCATTTTATTTTGGGAGTGAGCTTTCATAGAAGAATCTCATTACAGCAGACATGAATCAAAGCTTCAGTCATGGACTGCACTGGATTTTAAGGAGCCATTATTTATTATTTCTACAGGTTGAAAAGGTGCAACAAACTATAAAGAATACTCAGCTCTTTTTATAATAGCAATTTCCCTTCTGTTGCAATAGATTACTCTTGCCTAACCACTGAAGAGATACAGATCTTGTTATGTTTCCGGTTGTCTATAATACTAGTAAAAGAAGTATCACAAAATATGTTTTTAGAATGGGAGGCTCAAATGCCAAGCAAACTCTCTATCTTGCAGTCTTTATGTACCAGAAAAGCCCTGCTCCACTTTGTATTTCCTTTTTTGGGTGGCTTCATTAATCTCTTTTTTTCTTACCTCTTACGTCCCTCATCTCTTCCTGCTTTTTTTTTTTTTTTTTTGCTCTCTTGTTCTCTTGAGTTCCCACCCTTTTCTTTTGTTGCTACTTCAGATCTCTCAGCTGAGGCCGGGATTTTGAAAGCAGAATGCCTGAAGGCTCCTAAAGCCACAGAATCTGGTATCTGGTTCTCTCAGCACTCAAAGTGCTGTTCTCATCAATTCAAATGGCAGGAAAGTACATACTAATGGAAAGAAGAGAATTCATAGAAGGCTCTGATTAGATAATTCTTAAAATAACTTTATCAATAAATTCATCAATTGACATTTTTTGGTGATCACCCCCTCCGCCTTTCTTCCTCTTACAACTTCTTTTGGATGGCTTTAAGAGATATACCATGGTGTCCAAAAGAGTCTGTACCATTCTTTTTTGGTGGTGTTTCCAGGTACACACAGCATGTAAAGAGTTGTTGCCAAACAAGTGCCCTCTAGGGCTCTGCAAAGTGTCTGTCATTCCTCCTACTGCTCTTAACAGCATTGATTCAGATGGTAAGTGTTCCTAGTAAGTAGCACTTCTTTCTCTTCCTCTCAGTTGCAGTCACTTCAGCTGGCACTATTAATGTCAGATTCTGTCAGCTGAAAATTCTGCTTTTGCTGTTGCTGAAACTTGCCACTGGAAGCCATTGCTGAGTATGGCAGTGAACTGTTTGCTTTGCTTTTCAAAATTCAGTTTATCTCCCTGTAATTTCAGTGTTTGCTGAGCTGCAGCTGATTAAATTTATTGATAATAACAATATTGCAGAAGCAATTTGGGAAGGTTGGGGAAGCTGAAAATTTTGGCATGCTGCTAGGAGATAAGTGTGACATTTGGCAGCATGAGGTGTGGTTCATGCTGGATTCAGGGCTGTGCATGTTTGGCATTCACCCAGTGAGTGCCATAAGCACAGGGAAAATACAAACTGCTTCATAGCTGGGCTGGGGTGTGGGCTGTTGGTTTTTCTCTCCATCCACCCCCATGGGCAGCTTCACATCTCTCGGGTTTTCCTTCCTCTCTCTTCCCTTTGCCTCAACAGGTTTCTGGAAAGCTACTTGTCCACCATCTTGCACAAGCCCTTTGTTGGTCTTTGTCAACTCAAAAAGTGGAGACAACCAAGGCGTAAAATTTCTACGAAGATTCAAACAGCTGCTGAATCCAGCCCAGGTCTTTGACCTCATGAATGGAGGACCTCACCTTGGGTAGGCAGATATTCTATGGAAACAAAAATTCCTTATAAATACCCAGAAAGTATGAGGGATTTATTTGATTAAGCTCATCCTCAAATGTAACAGCGAACCTATTCCTCAGAGAAAACAAAACACATGAGGTTTGGAGGGGTTTTCCTCTCTCTGTGTTAAGTGTTATTGATTAGTTAAAATGAAAAATATTGTCAGAAGGGTTATTATATCCATTCATTAATAATAACAGGACAGCTTGAGGCATTTGGCGGGAATTCCAGAAACACTCCCCTGGAAGAAGACCAAAGATGGAAAGCTTGAATCCATAAGAAAACTTGTCCACAGTCTTGTAACAGAAATCGTGTTAAGAGTTAATTTCAGTTAACTCAAGTGAATAGATGGATGTCATAGATAGCAAATTAATATTGTCAAGATGAGAATTATTGAGATACAACTTACCTGAGAAGTCTGTGAAACTTCCATCCCTCAAAGACTCTGGGTGGTGTTGTGGAGAGATCTCATGAGTGTGTTTGGTAAAGTTGGTTCTGCCCTAGGATCTGTTTCAGACTTTTTGCCAAATTATGCTAGAATATCTATGGATATAAAAGAAAGTGAGTGCTGTGAAATAAATTTATTTTGTGTATTTATGTAACTCTCACTTAAAAAAGAGTTTGGTCTTTAGTTTGCCCACTTCCAAATGTTTTTCTGTTGCATCAGATTTAAGTAACTTTTGTCATTACTTGGTGCTCCTTAAAGTAAGAGCCAACACAAAGTGAATTTCCCTCATCTTTTCCTCACAGTGACTCCAAATGTTTGACTAGATCTGTAGATGCAGGGGGCTAAATCTGGGAGCATCTCTTCCTGGATGAGTGATCATTGGATTCTCCTGAGATCTGTTGTGGTTCTTTGCCATAGCATATTGCAAAACACTGGTATTTAAAACTGCAGTGTTCTGTTGAGGGGATGTGTTTGGCTGAAAAATAATTTATAAAAGACTTGTAGAATTAAGTACTTTTCTTGTTCCCCTCCCCAGCTGGACTGACTGTCACGAGGAATTTTGCTTTTAAGTAGCAATGGAGAGGAAGGAATCAATTACCTTCTTGAGCTGTGGTGCACACTTCTAAAACAGCTGCTCTTATATATTTGCTTAAAAAGGAAGTGATGGTACAGGGTAAAGCCTGCTTCTTGATAATTTGAATGTTTTCAGCTGATGCTAGTCAGACTTGTACCATAAGATGTTGTCATTTCTGGTAGTCATCTTTGTGTGTCAGCAACGCTTGATAAAATAAGGATTTTCATGTACTACAGCAAATCCTGTTTAGGTAATAATAGTAAAAAACCATATGTACAAAGCCAAAATAAAAGCAGGAGCAGAAGCATCTCAAAAATGTTCAGTGGGAAGCACAGCTTCAAATAGAAGAGGTTGTTTTTATTATTCTGGAAAGGGTGAATGAGAAATTAACACTGGTGAGCTGTTTGCCTGCCTGTGGGACAGTCAAGGCAGCAGAGAAGTGATTTATGTTGCTTTTCCAGAAGGACTAAAGCTTGTAATATTTTACAGCCTCTTGCAGTTGTCTCATGGCTGATTGACTGCATGAAGATCTCCGTCTTGAAGCTTTGCTTTAATTGGTGTGGCTGTGTCAAGGCAGTGACATCAGAGCACTTAGAACTGATGAATAACTAGTGTTAGGCTAGATGCAGCAAGGCTGCAAGAAGGAGTTATTTCAATGGATAATCAGCTATCACAAGCTAATCATGCTTGTCTCCCCTTCTGTAGAGACAGAGTGCTCTGCTTTAGTAGACGAGTATGTCTTGGGAGATATTTCTGTAGTGAATAGCTATTGTAAATTGCTTAGCTGTATTTATAATCCCTTAATTATAACCATTTTAATTCATCTGTGATCTGGCAGTGACCTGTATTCACTGCAAAATCAGTGCCTACTTTAAGCAATGCTGTCATGTTTATTATCTAGATTGGAATTATCATTTCTTTCTGTAACAGCTGATTGTTTTTCCCTCTTGCTTTTTTCTTTCTCTTCTCTGTAGTTTACGCTTATTCCAGAAATTTGACACTTTCCGGATTCTAGTTTGTGGTGGGGACGGAAGTGTTGGCTGGGTTCTCTCTGAAATTGATAGCCTCAACCTTCACAAGCAGGTACCTGCCCAAGAGCTTGGTTGGATGAAGGAATGAAATAACACAACAGCAGGGGCTGAAGAGGACTTTCCTTGGTCATGCAGATGTCATTCGCCCCAGGACTGAAGCTGCTGAAAGCTTACCATAGCAGGCTCTTGCATTACTTTTCTACAAGAAATTAATCCAGTAATAGATTAATTCTTTATGCCTGTCTCTAGTGTTCCTCCACAAGATCCAACTTTTGGAGTAGGTCTGAATATTCCTGCTCTGTTGCCAGCAGAGACATGCTCTGAAAGGGCTGTGGTTAGAAAACTTGGAAGTTCCGCATGGGTTATGCTCTGTTCCCTTTAATTCTCATGGTATAGTATCTGAGCCTAAGGGATAGGCAGAAACTTCACTGGGGTAGAGATATACAGTGTTTTGCCTGGGAGCTATCTGTGCTAATTTTACAGAAACACAATGGCACCACCTGATGGCTAAATATAAACCTCCAGGAGGTTTACTACAGTGAGGCGCTCATTGAGATGGTAGCTGTAAAATGCTCCAATTTACAACCAAAAGTAGAGGAAATTTTTCCTGAATTGTATACTCTTCTGGCTGTTTTCCCCATCCAATTACTTTCTCTCGCCCTGGGATTAACTGTTTCCCAGTGATTGGTGTGTGAAAGAATCAGTCATGTTACTCATGGCTATTTGTGACTCGTGTTTCCCCATTTGAATATGACTTTTATTTTCCTTTTCTCTAACGCAGTGTCAGCTGGGAGTGCTGCCCTTGGGAACAGGGAATGACCTTGCCCGTGTTTTAGGCTGGGGTTCTGCTTGTGATGATGATACCCAGCTCCCGCAGATCCTGGAGAAGCTGGAGAGGGCCAGTACCAAAATGCTGGACAGGTGAGTAATCATCACTAACATCATCTGATCTTCAAGAGTTGTGTGAAGATATCCTTCCAGGAAAACAGGGCAGTCCTGACTCTGCCAAGCTTCTGGACCTTTTACTAATGCCAGATAACATTTTGTAATTGATAATCTACTGTAACCTGCTAGCAGGAGGAAGTGGTCTGGCTTTCCATGTCTCTGCTGCAGAACAGTAGCAAGTGAAATTATCTGGGTTCCAGATATCAAGATATTATCAGATATCAAGTGCTATTATCTGGGTTCTCTCTACTGTCCCAGAGTCCTCATTAATTCAATTTGTCAGCCTTTGTACTAGTTTGAAAACAAACTTATGTTGTAATCTAAGAAAGCCTTAAAGTCATGACTTTTTTTCCCAGCAATTTCTTCTTGGTAAATCTAAACCAATTTATCTTGAGCTTGACTTAGAAATGAAAGCCAAATGTCAAAGTGGATGTCTACTCTTGGTATTGATACTTCCTCTATATCTTTGTACATTTAAAATTGTTTTATGTCTTTCAAGTTGCATCTTGGCATCTCTTACGTTGAATCAAGTAATGCCAACTGAATTTTTGTGGAGAGGGAAGAAGTACAGAGATGTTCCCTGTGCTGTAGAATACTTGTTCATAGTGTCATACTTCCTTCCCCATTTAAGCCCTTCTGTATTTCCATTGTCACTCTGTGGCTTCTTTGTATCAGTGGTGGCTCCCCCACGTGTGGTTTGTTCTGCTTTGAGGTTCTAACCTGGTATGTTTGGATAACAGAAGAAACCATCTGCATTGTAGTGACAAGTATGATTTTCAACAGGTGGAGCATCATGGTATATGAAACCAAACTCCCTCGCCAGGCCTCCACTTCCACAGTCACTGAAGACTGCAGTGAGAATTCAGAGGTACCTTTCAGGAGAGGGGCAGGGGACTGTAGCACCAGCCTTGGAGCACACAAGATAGGAGGCTGTGGTGGAGCTCCAGTGGAGCAGAGCTGAGCCAGAGCTGCTAAGATCTGGGGCTTTAAGTCAGTGAAATATTATGGAGAAAGATGGAGGTTGGGTTACCAGAGTCGACAACTATAATGAGGGATGAGGAGAAGATACTTTGGAATGGAAGAGAAAGGAAATTACTGCCTTTTATTTGCTTCATAACATCAAGCTGTTGAAATAGTGTCAAGCTGCATAGCAGTCACGAAAAGCCCCAGTGCTTTTAGCTTTGCAGTTGATCGGAGACTCTTAAGAACTGAATTGCTGATGATTTGTAGGTTCAGAATTAGCTTCCTCATCAGATCCAGGTCTTCAGTAAGTAACAGAGCCCTGGACTGTGGAACTTTTTCAGGGCAAAAAGAATCTGTGGAGTGATAGGTACCCTCAGAGGAGCCAGGATTTCACAACAAATGTTGTAGGGCTGGGAAGCAGCACCCCAGTGGCTTCTTTCTGACTGTCAACAGGTGCAGAAGATTCTCTGCTATGAAGATTCTGTGGCTGCTCATTTGTCCAAAATTTTGACTTCTGACCAACATTCAGTGGTCATCTCCTCAGCCAAGTGAGTACTTAGACGACAACTACTCCAAATTGCACTGTGAAAATCCTGTGATAATCCTTGTGTGATTTTGTTTTCCTCCTTTGTCTAGGGTGCTTTGTGAGACAGTGAAGGATTTTGTGGCTCGAGTAGGGAAAGCCTATGAGAAGGCAACAGAAAGCTCAGAGGAGTCAGAGGTCATGGCCAGGAAGGTAAAATTTGAAAAGATGTTTGGGTTTCTACTTCTGAAGTGTAAAACTGCTCTGTTTTCAGACAACTGGGATGGCAGCAATTCAGTTAACACTAAAACAATGAGCTACCCAGGCAACGGTTAGTTCTACTCAAATGTCGTTCTTCTTTATGTAGTGCTCTGTCCTGAAGGAGAAGCTGGACTCATTGCTGAAGACACTGAATGATGAAGCTCAAGCGTCTTCCTCTCTGCCCAACCCTCCTCCCACCATTGCAGAGGAGACAGAGGACGGGGATGGGTCGGGCAGTGCTGGTGACTCTTCGAGTGAGCTCTCGGTGGGCTCAGCATGCACTGCACGGCCCCAGATATTCCGTCCCCGAGAGCAGCTCATGCTGAGAGCCAACAGCTTGAAAAAAGCCATTCGCCAGATAATAGAGCATGCAGAGAAAGGTAACCCATCAGGAGCCCTGCTTGTCACTTCCTACAGCCTCTTAAGAACTGTAAATTTCCTTTATTTTGGGGGCAGTAGGCTTCTTTATTGAAAACAGCTTTCCTGAACTAGAGAAACTATTCAGTAAGCCTGGTCATTTAGTTTCAGTGTCATCTCTGCCAAGCTCCCCTTTTGGGAACATTTCTTGATAAATGAGTCTGAAGTTCAAGGTGTGTTTTCTTCCAGCGGACTGGTTTAGGAAGTTCCTACCCTCCCACACTGTTAATTTGCATTTCCTGTCTGTCCCCACCCATACCGCAATTGTGTCAGTGCAGCTCTCTGTGTGGCCTTGCTGTAAAACAGATCTGAAAATACTTGGGAGGAAGGGATTTTAAATATTTTAACTTTAATTGTTTCAATCTCTTTATAGCAGAGCCCAGCAAAACATTGCTGTGGTACAGCTGCAGAAGTAGGCAGGAACTTCTTAAATGAGCTTTGTCCTTGGGAAAAATTCATAATACTGCCCTTTAATGCAAGTCAGTTCTGTTCTGATGTTAACATCTTAGGCAGGTGACCGTCTTCTCCATGTCTTGACCCTTGTCTCTCTCCAGACACACATCCCAATGCTCCAAGGTTCTTTTCCTTTTAAAGGCAAGTTACTCCTAAAGCTGGGGGTTAACTGAGACCAAAGGAAGTACTTAACAGATTGTTACTGGAGATAAAAGCATTGAAGTTACAAATGTAGCATCTATGCACACCCAGGTGTGCACTCTGAACAGCTGTGTAGTAAGTTACAAATCATTGCAATGTTGCTTGGATTTCCAGCACTGTATACAATATTTGCTGAAGGTGAATAGTGGAAGTGAAGCAAACAGCCTTCTTCTGGTGAAGTAGGAGGCCTTGACCTCACTGCTCCCTCACTTTGCTGCTGCAAAGTTCTCTCCCAAATTTACCCTAAACCAAAACAAATACATTACCTTAGGCCAGTTGAATGTTTGTGAAGTTCTTTTGGAGCCCAAGAAATTTGCTTATTCCATCCAGGAGTGTTCCTGTTTCTGCTGTGCAAGTGGGTTGGATTGCTTCATGGGCAGTTCTGATGAACTACAGAGTCAGCACAAGAGAGAGGAAGAGACTGAAAGAAGGGTGTGAGATGTGCAGGCAGTGAGCTGGTAGAGCAGCTGAGAGCATTCAGAGTCGTGCCCTGACAGGGGATGCTGGGGAGGAAAAGACCTGTTGATTGCATGCAAAGGAAATTTTGATTTCTTTAGGCAGCATGCTAGCACTTAAATCTTACCAGCTCTCGAGCAAACTTCAGTTACATTTCAGATGTGTTTGTTCAACTTTTCCAAACTGTTTTTCTTCCAAAGTTGCGATCCGATTGCATTGATTGTATTGGTTTTTACTGACTGCTATTTTCTTCCTTTTTGATTACATGTGTTCTAAGTTCCCTTTTCAAGTGCCTTATGTTATTGCACCACTGCAGATTAAACAAACAGGAAATTCATTGATCATTTCATGTCTGTCTGGTTAGAATTGCTGGCAACATCTAAGTGCAAATAAATGGAAGCCCATCACCTCTAGCACAGTTTACATCTCAGGATGCCTGAGTACCTGTGGAATTAAAAATAGACACTTCTATTTAGAGCCCCACTGCTAAAGAGCTCAGCAAAGTGAACAAGGAGGCTAAGCCAACCTGGTTCCAAAAGCTCTCCAGAGCAGAGCTGAGATAAATGATAAAGGAAAGCTTTGTGTTATTCATGTTCTTTCCTTTAAGGAATCGGGACATTTAGAGTCCCATCCTGTTGTTATTTACATGAGTGGGAGGTATTCCTTGCCAGAAGAGCTGTGAGGCACTCACCTACTTTATCTCTTCATACAGCTGTAGATGAGCAGAATGCCCAGACCCAGGAGCAGGAGGGCTTCCTCCTTAGTCTCTCAGCCTCTGAGGAGGGCAAGGAGCTGAGGAATGAGGATAAGATTTCCATGCAGTCATCACACAGCAGCAGCTATGGTGTGTCCAAGGGGAGGAGCCAGAGGAAAGGTACTGCTCTGGAGCTGCCACCATGCATTTCTTGCCTGTAGATTACAATTCTGTTAGTTGTAAAAAGGGAAGAAAGTGTAATGTGTATTCATTTCTGTGTTCTGTTCTTCTCAAATTTTTGCATGATTGCTCTTCAGGCCTTGCACATTTCTGTGTTCTAGCCTGTGCCTTATACATCCCATTTTTTGCTACATCTCTCATGGCTGGTCCATGATCTTAATATATGAAGTCTAAGATTCAGAAATTTTCTTGCCCCTTATCTAGTAATCTGGGTTCCCTTGGCTTTCAGTGCTTGGACAACGACAGTTCTGAGCACTTTTCGCGTCATCCTTTGTAGATGACAGCGAACAGCAGCCGGTTTGATTTAATAACTGTGTTATACAAGTAATTTGTTAGAGATCTCTGATCACTGCAGATACATTTGGAATTTCCCCAAGTATTGATTTGGAGCCAAATACCCTGTCTGTTGTGCTGCTGGCACCAGCTTTTTCTCATCTCTATTTCTAATATTTTTCTTGTGGCATTTTGTACTTCCAATCTGTTGGGTTTTCCAGCAGCATGTATGTGACATCTCTGTCTCTTAATGACTGATTCTGTCAATTTTTTGTTTTATAGGAGCTCAAGTGTTTTGCTGTTGAGTGATTCCTAACCCAGTCTTGCTGTTTGGCCTGTGCTGGTCTGAATCACAGCACTATGTTTGTCAATATCCAAGTTTGTGTTTTGCTTTACAGCCTCCAAGTCTCCTTGCGAAAGACTAATAAACAAAGGAAGTTTGTCACTGGGCAGCTCTACATCCCTTCCTCCCCAGACAGGAAGCCGCGACAACTTGCCAATGCTGAACACAAAAATCCTCTACCCAAGTAAGTGTTAACACCCACCACTTCCCACTGAGGCAGCCAATTGGAGCATGGGTGACTGCAGCACAGGCTGCAGTCCCCATGTGAAAACATGAGATTGTCCTGCCAGATGTGCAGGGTCAACCATGAGAGAAATCCCTTCGTGGATAACTGCAAGTGGAGGCTTAGAATGAGCTGTAGTAGTTTCCAGTTTGTAGCTAAGACACAGGTTTTTATTAATGCCGTGAAGTGGCAGAATTTAGATACCAATTGCAAGGAGATACTTACCTCAAAGTAACTATGAGAAGAGAGAGATGATGCTGTTGAGAAAGGTTTGTGAAGAATGGCAGCCATAGGTTGGGAGCAGCAGTTCTTTTATATCAAGGCTAAAGTGACTGGAAGCACACAGACCCAGCAGAATTCCACCTCCTTCATGATGTGCAGCAACTTCTTCCCATCACTGTGAAAGAAAGCATCTTTCCATCTCTTTGCCCAAATTACTTGTTGAAATTGCTCCTTCTGGAAGCAAGTAATTTCCTTTCTCTCTGTCAAACCTATTATTTGTGGGTCACCAGTTAATAATTTAAGAAGCAGGAGGCAGTAATTCTTGAACAACTTGGATTATAGCTTCAGTCCTGCTCCTTTTCCTTTTCTCTATTCACTGTATCAGGAATATTACATGTCTCACCTTGAAACAAAAAAGCTGCTGCAGAGAGTACACTCCTATTTTCCTTTTCCATGTTTCTGTACAACTTTGCTGCTAGCCTTAGGCAGTACACTGTCAGTCAGAAACCCTGCAGGCAGTCCCAGAAACCCTTCTCCCTGTCAAAAGAACTGACCTCTGGAGTGAAAGAAAGCACTAATGCTGTTTTCTTTCTTCATGAATGACAGGGAAAAATGTATCAACTCTTGTTATCTTGTCTTTGGGATTGAAGTTACCTGTTTTCTGCTTATTATTAGTCTCATGCTCTTTTCCATGGTCAATTTTGCTCCAGATATCCGGGCTGGCATGTCAGGTTCTTTGCCTGGGAGCTCTGTCATCAGCCGATTGTTGATCCATGCTGATCCCTTTAACTCTGAGCCTGAAAATCTGTGAGTATGCTCAGGAGCTTGAAGGGAGGGAGTGGGCATTTGCAAACAAACCTCAGCAGAGGGGGATTAGGTTATGGACCAAAGTAATGGACTGCAGCAGCCTGGAGTTACATAAATGGATCTATATGCTGGATTCTAGGGTTTAAGGATCAGTTTATGGAATTACACATGCAGTGACACATCTGACACAGTTGGGCTTGGTCTTTTCCAATCTAACTGATTCTGTGTGAGATACGCAGCAAATGGTACCGAGACTTATGAGTGGAAGTTTTGTTCTTCTGTTTGGCAGTGAATGTTACACAGAGAAATGTGTCATGAATAATTACTTTGGAATTGGACTGGATGCAAAGATTTCTTTGGACTTCAACAACAAACGTGATGAGCACCCAGAGAAATGCAGGTGATCATTCATGCTTCTTCATGCTTCTGTGTGGTTTTGAAGATGATTGTGTACAATGTGCTAAATACACCTATTTAGCATTATTTGTATTGTCTACATAATGCTCCTTCAAGGCTTGAAATCATGATGGAAGAGATAAGTTACTGATTTATTACTGATTCATTGTGCTATAAGGTATTTAAGTTGCTACATTGGTGCAGATTTGGCACATTGGTTCTATTTATGTCATCTCACACACAGATTTTTCTCCTGGCCTTGCTATTTAGCTATGAGAGAAGTACATGCAATTCTAAATGTGGCAGAGGCTGGTTTTGGTGTTGATCCTGACTCAGTATAAACCACAGGTTTGGCATTTTGAATACTTGAGCAACTACAGGATGCTTTGTGTAGCCTGGGATTGGCTACATTTGCTGTATATGAGCTAATACTGCTGAGCACTGTTGACATCCTGGTGTATGAGATGGACAAGTTCTGTGCCAGGGCAGTCTGTGCGTGTTTCTGGTAGTGTCTGTTACTCATGCTTGATTCCTTCATGACATTTATTTAAAGGGAAGTAGTGTCCTAGGACAGTGACCACTAGGAGCAATTGACCCTTTAGGAAGCAAAACACCTTTGTGGTTTAGGATGTAGCAGGTACCATTTCAGTGTGAAGTTTTTATTCCTTCTTAGTGAAAGGGTTAATGTCTGTGATGAATTTTCTCTTTGTTTTCCCCATTAGAAGTCGTACTAAGAACATGATGTGGTATGGAGTATTGGGGACCAAGGAGCTGCTGCACAGAACATATAAAAACCTGGAGCAGAAGGTCTTGCTGGAGGTGAGGAATTAGCATCTTCTTCTGTTCCTGAGACTGGGATGTCTAATTCCATCTCATTCAGGCACTGTGATTTTTGTCATGGTGATTTGACTTGGTGACATTTGCCTGCCTGAAACAATGTACTTGGCTATATGGCACCCTGAGCTAACTAAAAGTTGCTTTTCTTGGTTCTGGGGCATAACTTGTATTCTCAGCCCATAAGGGAAGAAGTATAATCCTGCTGGAAGGTATTTGCTGTTCCTAATGCAATGTTCCTAATGCAGTGTTCAGTATGGATAAGATCGTTATGTTCTCTGTGGTATCTCACACGAACACATCATTTTAGATGGTGGAATTTAACTGTGCTGTGATATGCACCCAACTGGAAAAGAAATAGTTTTGTATAGGTCATGAACACCATAAAAGGTAACTTGCAGAAGAAGACCCTCATCACATTGATGTTTTAGGAGTTTTATTCCACTTTCTTGAGAAATAAATCAAGAGGCTTTGCCAAGCCTCTCATGTGCCCTGTTCCTGTTAGAGGAAAAGAAGCAAGAGTGTCTCTTTAAAATCTATGTCTGCCAGAAGATGTGTGGCTCATGAGGCTTGAATGGACACCTTCTACTCTTCTAGGCCAAAAATGAACAGGAAGAAACCTGAATTAATGTATTACTAAGATGGTGCTGGCTGTTTTCTGTTCACAGAGCATGTGCTCTGGCAGGAGGGTCTCTCTCCTGCTGAGCTGAGAGTAGTGTTGCCTTCATTTCTGTGCAGTGCGATGGGAGGCCAATCCCTCTGCCCAGTCTCCAGGGGATTGCTGTACTCAACATTCCCAGCTATGCAGGAGGCACCAACTTCTGGGGGGGAACCAAGGAAGATGATGTGAGTATTATCCAAGACCATACAGGAAATGTTTCTACTTACTGTTGCTTTTGAGGCCACAGCCTCTGAAAATAGTGCTTGGAAGAAGAGAAAGGGAGCCTGTCTGCATGCACTTTCTGTTGGAAGTGGCTGAGATACTGAAATCCAACCTTGAGCAGCTTTCATACCGTGGCAGTGTGCAATGATTCAGAAAAAACATCACCAGAGCATTTGGACCTGTAGGAAGTTCTTTAGGTTTTCCTTGTCCCCACAGAGAAGTAACGAGAAGTAAAGCCCCTTTAGGGAAAAGGTAGCTAAATTCACTCAGAAACATTGTACTTTTTGGAAATGGAGTGCCTACTCTCAGAAGTATAATTAAGTATCACCTTGTGGCCTACAGCCTTCATGTCTGCATTATACTTTAGCCACAGGAAGCCTCCTTTTTCTACGTCCTAGCTCATTCCAGGTCTTCACCTTCTAGCCTTGTTGTTAATTTTATACAGATTAAAGAGCACAATTGAAAGCCAGCCCCCAGGTCGGCACCAATAGGGGTAAGGGAAACCTCTTCAACAGAGCTGTGCCTCAGCTGAATTCTCTCTCCCTTGTATGTGGCAGACATTTACAGCCCCTTCCTTTGATGACAAGATTTTGGAAGTGGTGGCCGTGTTTGGTAGCATGCAGATGGCAGTGTCACGTGTGATAAACCTACAGCATCACCGGATTGCACAGGTATCAGCTGCTTTTGTGAACTCTTCCTGCATGCTTCCTCTCCATCTGATGACTTTTTAAAGCCTTTCTTTCTGCTCTCTCTGGTCCATGGAAAGAGCATCTACCAGGGCTGGAAATGGACATGCTCAGAGGCAATTTTAGTATGGAGTTGTTTGCTAGCATTCACTTGCTAGTGTGTGAGTGCAAGTAGCACCAAAGCTACAGCACCTGGATTTTGGAAAAACAGAGAATGGCTTATGCTTTTAGAAAATCAACATTTTAGAGCTTTTCTGACCCAGTCACTCTTTGCAGTGCCGGACAGTAAAGATAGCAATCCTTGGAGAAGAGGGAGTTCCTGTGCAAGTGGATGGAGAAGCCTGGATCCAGCCTCCAGGTTACATTTGGATTGTTCATAAGAACAGGGCACAGACCCTCACCCGAGACAGGGTAAGAGCATCCTGAATTCCCTGTGTAGTACACACATGTTTCAATGTCACATATTTCTGGAGGACATGGCAAGGGCCACATGTGAACATTATCTTTGTGAATGCAAGAAGCATATTTTATTACACACCATAAACCTTTTGGGAAAGAATGTGATTAAACTTGCATTCACCACTTGGGAAATGGCATAAATAAGATTGTTTATGCAAGCTTATTTTACTTCCTTTTCTATGTGCTTTGTGTCAGTGTTTCTTAACACGCTTGCATGCTGTTTTTTCCACAGGACTCCTGCCTCGCCAAGTGCTGTGGATTGTCTAGATTCAGACGGTCAATGTTTTAATTTCTCATTATTGTTCAGTATGTGACTTATACCTCATTGACCATGTAAAACAGCATCTTACAACTTGTTTAGAAGTGTGTGTCGGTCTCATCACACAATTTTCAAATATATCTGATGAGTACCAGCAGATAAGGAAGCCTCCTTGCTCTTTTGCTGTATGATTGAGCAGTGGTCAGACGAAGGAAAGATAAAGGCCCTACTGTGGCACAGACAGTCTTTGAGTCCTCCCAACTCTGTGACTGTCCATGTGTAAGCAGTTCGTTTGATAGCAGCTCTTGATACTTTCCAGCGTAACACCCCTTTACCCAACTTCCAGAGCAAATCAAAGTCCTCTGCAAAGGACTCACCTACTGAATCACAGTAAGGAGTATGACAAAGGGAAAAAGGGAAAGCAGCGTGATACAGGCCTGAGGCACATTGCCTGGCAGGGAGTTACAAAGGTGACAGTATGAAAAGGAAGCAAAGATGGGCATACAAACCCCCTGTCATGGTAGGATGGGGCACTGGAGATCTCTTAACTGGGAGAGCAGTGGGTGTTGATCATAGAACCACAGAATGGTTTGGGTTGGAAGGGACTTTAAGGGTCATCTAGCGCAAGCCCCACCTTGGGGAGGGACACCTTCCACTACACCAGGTTGCTTAAAGCCCCATCCAGCCTGTGGTCTAAATGTTGCCAGAGATGGAGCATCCACCACTTCTCTGGGCAACCTGTGCCAGTGTTTCATCCCCCTCATCATATTAAATCCTTCCTTGCATCTAGCTGAATCTATTCTCTTTTGAGTTCAAAGAGTTTTCCTGTCAGTTCTGATGTGAATGTTGTGGAGAGGAGACAGGAATAGTGCACACAATCTTTTGTGAAGGGTAAGAGAGCTTCTGCAGCATCACGCTGACACTTGGAGGGAGAGTGACTGAAGGAGATAGCACAGAGAGCAAGAGAGAACAGGATTGCTGCCGTAAAGGTAAAGGGAGATAAAAAAAGGAGAGGCAACCTATGTGTGGGCATGGTGGGGAAGGTGATGTGAAGCACGAGAGATAGAAAGGACAAAGTAGTCCCTTGTTAGTATGCTATGTGTTGGGCCATCAGAAGCCATAGCTATGATTGTACTAGCCCATTCCTAATTGCCTACCAACCTGGTTTAGCAGTCATGGAATTTCTGCTGAGAAAGAGGTTCCAGTTTTGCAATTGCACACTCAACTTTGTCTCAACTTATCTTTGTTTTTCCTGCTGTCCTTTTAAAGGTCATTGCGTGCCCCTTCTTTCACAGAGCAAACCTTCCTATTCAGGTCCTCCCTTCATGCATGTGACTCTGTACCTTTGGTAGCGTTGTTCAAATGTAATTTGGGATATATAATTTCCGACGCTGAGGATGGAAAAGCTCAAATTCCCTTTTTTGGCCTCATACTGAAGAGTCATAAGCAAGGGTGAAATCAGCAGGTAGCTTGCACTGAGCTGAGAGAGCCCGATTTTCTGGTATCAGGGGCAGTAGGGGAAGGGAGTACTTTACCACAAGGCTCCACAATTTGCATTCTCACCATATTCAATATTGATCCTTCTACACTGAATCTCTTTTATTTCTTCCCACACCACTAGCTGCTGCCCACAGAAATATCAGTATGGTTGCAGATAGGGCAGGTGTTAGCTCTGAGTTCAGCTGCTTGGCTCACCAGTTCCTAAGGAAGCTCAGTTTTACCTCCAGATAAGGAGGAGTCTTGAACATTTTTATTTTCAAGCTCTGGAGTGTCACAGTAATACTGAGGTGTAAAGGTGATGTAGCTGTTCAAAGAAAAGGCTGCTACCAGTAGGGAATTGTTGGATTTTGTTAGTCTGGCCCTCAGAACTGGCCCAGTAATTTTGACTAAAACTATGCTTAAGCAGAAATTCAGCCAAGGCAAGCATGTGGCATGGAAAACTTCATCCCAGGCAGCTAGTTAGCAAAGTTACAAGCGACTTAACTACTGGGCCCTGCAGTGAAAAGTGCCTGTACCAGATCTACATGTTTTACAGGCATAGGCACAGTCACTGATTTTTATAGGAGCTTTACAAGGTACCTTACATTTTGCTTGCTATATTTTTAGGCGTTTGAGAGCACCCTGAAGTCTTGGGAGGACAAACAGAAGTGTGAGTTGTCACGACCCTCCTCTTTCTCTCTGCAACCAGAGATCATGTCTGAAGAAGAATCCACCCAGATCATCCAGTTTGGTCAAGCTGCAGGTGCTCTGATCCACAGGTGTGACTCAACTTGCTTTTGGTGAATAGAGCCTTCTTTAGGGCCTGAAGTTCTTGTCCTGCTTCCTGTTTCTGGAGATGTTCCTGTTCAGTCTTACCCGCTGCATTGCTGGCCCATGTCACTGGGACTAGCGTTATTCATTGTTCAGTGTCCCAGATAAACAAAGACTGAAGCTGAATAAGCTTTCTTCAACCATTTTTTTTAAAAAAAATGTTGCTTTCATGAGCTAATATGGATCACTTAATCCTGAAGGAACCTGTTTTCTTTGAATATAAAGTATTTTTTTCAGAAAGGAAACAAAAGCCTCTGGAAGAGCTCAGATGAAAACCTGGGTTCTTATAACCCTGATGCCTAGGAGAAATTTTTGTACGATGCCTGGAATGTATGCTTGCCTACTCATCATAGTCAGGCATTCCTTTGGGCTTCTGAGAGAAAGTTCCCAGAATCGTTAGAGAAGGTTGCTGTAAGTGCAGCTGCCTTTCACATCACTCTGGTCATACTAAAATGTCTGGATTGTATTTCACACTGATCCCACTTTGTGTGCAGAATTGACCATGTGCCTGTGAGAGCTGCATTTCTTTGCCTGGAAATGCTCATGCTCAGTGTGGCAGGAGAATTGCCCTGCTTTGCCAGAGGCTGTGCCCCTGCCATGATCCAAACAAATCACTTGGATGGGTGTTAAAATGAGATAAACAGACAGGAGATATCTCCTGCTTTGAGCATATGTATGCTGATGCAATGTGTAATTCTCTCTTTAGCATTCGGGAAATAGCACAGTCCTGTCAGGACATGGAACAGGAGCTTGCCCATGCTGTCAATGCCAGCTCCAAGTCTATGGACAAAGTCTACGCTAAATCCAAGTCTACAGAGGTACTGCACTCACTTGGCATCTCCCATTTTGTCCTTGCTCCAGAGCTCTTGGTTTTCCATTCTGATTGACCAAAAGTAGGCCTTGCTAGCCTGAGACTTCTTTCTTTTGACTGCTCAGACCTCTGCACTTCCAAGCTTAACCTGTGCATGAATTGCTTCCCTGCAGGGTCTGAACTGCAGCCTTGTTGTAGAGATGGTGAATAATGTCAAAGCCCTGCACAATGAGACAGAGCTGCTGTTGGCAGGCAAGATGGCACTGGTAAGGAGCACAAAGCAGGAGGAAAAAGCAGCCTCTCACTTCCTCCCCTCTCCTTCTATTGCCTTGGCCTAACGTTTTACTGGTCTTGTACTCTGTAAGTCAGTTTAGATGTTTTCATCCAGGAATCATTTGCTACAGAAAATTTTGCTACATGGGTGTGCTGTGGAGCTTGGAGCTCAGAAGATACAAGAATTGTTAACTTGGTCTGGGCAGAGTACCTGGTCTGCACTTCCTTTCAAAAGGAGGAACTGCTTTGTTAGCTATGAATTTCAAGGCAAGGGCCTGGCTGTGTGTTCTGCCATGAGGCTTTTAACTCTGCCTTCCTTCTATTCCTGATCCAGCAATTAGAGCCTCCGCAGAAGGAGCAGCTCCAGGCAGCCCTGGCAGACATGGACCTCCAGCTGAGGAAACTGGCAGACATCCCTTGGCTGTGGCAGCTTATGGAGCCCTGTGATGAGGAGGTGAGGAGGATCAAGGCTATTTTTTCCTAGTTGTTCTCCTTTTCCCTAGTTTGCTCTGTGTATTTGACTTCCTGTTAGTATAGGACCGATGTGAGAAAAGATTATTAAGAAAGAAACTTGACTCCCTAGGGCTAAAGAGAGCAATTTCCTACTAAGATCCCTTGCCTAACATGGGATCAGCTTTCTCTGCTTCATTTTCTGTCTTGATCAGAGTGAGTTTAGGATTTTTTTTTTTTTCTTAACAAGATTATGGAGCTGAGCTTGACAGTGCTTGCTGCTCTTAGTCCATTGCAATCAGTTTGAGTGTGTGCATAATTTTCCCTTTCTGTTCTTGCAGAACCAGATGCTGGATTATTCTAAACGCAGCCGCAGTGGCAAATTCCGCCTGGTGACCAAGTTTAAAAAGGAGAAGAACAACAAAAATAAGGAGACTCACAGTAGCATGGGATTGCCGGGTACCAAGTCTGCTCATTCACTGTGTCTTTTTGTCACATCAGTGCGGTCACACCACTACCTGTTCTTGGTCTGTTTCCTCACACATCCTCTCCTTCTGTTTAACCTGCATCTGCCTCTTCTTGCAGGTCTAGTCAATCTTTTTCATGTGGCAGAATAGCTTATTGCTCCCTTCTCAGTCATGGTCCCCCTGTACCATGAAAATATTCCTGAGCAGGAACAGGAGGTACTCTCTGAAGAATTCTCCCCTGCATTGTACAGATTTTCAGGGATATTTCAGAGGGTGCTTATGGAAGTGAATTTGAGGATTTTGGCATTTTAACTATAAAAATGACTGTGGGGCCCAAGTCTGCGTAACTCGTCTTTTCACTGCTTGTTTTCTATGATACAGCAAATGATATTTTTCTCATGGATTCACCTTCAGGCTTTAATCAAGTTTCATGTCTAATTGGCTGGGGATCAGCATCACCACAGGTGTTCCCTGACTTTTAATCCTGTTGGTCAGTAGATAAAAACTGGCCATGAATCAACAAATTGCCATTCAAGACACTTTCTCTCTAAATTGATCTAGTTGATTTTTGGTTTATGCTCTCCTTATGAAGGCTTTCTTCCAAAATTCAGAAGTATGACCTGTTCTGTTGGCTCTTGGGTCCTGTCCTCTGCCATGGAGTTGTGGGTGTAGTCTCCTGTCTGACAGACTGGTGTTCATTCACTGCCTCCCAAAACTGGGAAATTTTATTATTCTCTTATTGAGAGACTGTGCAAAAAGGTGGAAGTCTAAATTCTTCCTCTCTCCCTCAAACTAGGGCGAGAGAGGTTACCATTTTGTTTACTGAGCACAAGTGGTTGTACGTAATAGTGTGCAAACTAATCTGTGCTGTTGTTTTCAATCACATATTTTATGAATCTGTTGTTTTGTACACAGAATTTACACAATGAATTTGCTCTTCTTAAACATGGGGGTAAACATGAAAAAAGTTATCCCCATCAAAAGATATCCCATCCCATCAAAACAAATATGCACTTCCTCCTGGCTGTACTGCAGCAGGCCTCTTCTTAAGAGAACATCTCTTACCTTTTTTTGCCCTACCTCTTTCATTTGAGATTGAAGGTTGTGCTGCCCTCTCCTTAGTTAAAGACTGTGGTCCTGTTTGCCCTCCTCCTCTGGCACTGAGTGCTGTGGTGTCCTCATCTCTCCCTGTCTCCTGGGATTCTGGGTACTCAATGTACTCCTGCTTTTCCATCTCTGACAGTTCACCTCTGGGGAACGGAGGAGGTTGCGGCATGGCTTGAGCACCTCAGTCTTTGTGAGTATAAGGATATCTTCATCCGGCATGACGTCCGGGGCTCTGAGCTCCTGCACCTTGAACGGAGGGACCTCAAGGTACTTTCACGGTCGGGTCATGAGAAATAGCCAGCTGCATCTGCATGACCTTCTGTGCTGAATGTGCTTGGAAGTGGTCTGCCCGCTGTTCATTCCAGGTGCCTTGGCAAGATGAACAGATTCACTACAGCCTCATTTTATTTTCTCACCGTTTTGGGTCACCTGGTTTTTAATAGCCAGGGGGTAGAAGAGGTGGTTGAGGGACCAACTGTCCAGTTCTGCCACAGCTTCCTGGAGATCTGATACAGTCCAGCACACAGATTGCCAATAGTGTTCTTGAGACTCTCTGATTTTAATGATGGAAGTTTTTCTCAGCTACTGTACCATCTTTGCAGAAGGTGCTGTAATTGGGAAGATTTGGTTCTTACCCTGCAGTGACTGGACAAATAGATCATCACTTCTTTGTTACAAGAAAAAGTGATTGTGCAGTTTGATGAGGTGTATGGATGGAGAGAATTTTTTTAAGAGGGCTTAACAACTGCATTGCACAACTTTTCATCTCCTCACCAGGAGACATTGTTTCTACTGAGAGAAATTGAAAGTGGTAGTTCTTTGCATGTGCAAGAGACTTGTGTCATCATTCTGGTGACTTGCATAGAGCAGGAAAACACTAGTTTTTTTTAAAGTAGTGTGTGGCATTTGTTCAATGCGCCTTGATTCTCTTTATTTATCATTTTGACCATCTTCCCATGGTGAGGATTGCTGTAACCTGTGTAGCTGACCCCTCTGCATGTCATCCACCTACAGCCCGTGTTTTTTGCATGGTATCCAGCTATCAGATGTGACTGGTTAGTTCTTCCTGCATGTTTTGGCTACTTGCATAGGTCCTTGATGTCTGTGTGCTCTTTCTGTTCTCACAGACTTTGACAGCCAAAACAACTTGTGTTTCTGGCTAAGTCCACAGTTGTTTCTCTGCATTGCTCTGTGCCCCCTCTGCATTCCTTAGTAGCTTTTTGACATGTGGTTTGAGGCTCTGTATATAACCCTCAGGTTTGGAATTTTTCTGGTTGGTTTCCTCCTCTCTTTGTAACTGGCTGACTAGTTTGTAACTGTTGCTTGGCTACCTGGAGTTTCCCTCTGCCTTTCTCTTTAATGTAAGGTTTTGCTTTTTCTTCCAGGACCTGGGTGTGACCAAAGTGGGTCACATGAAGAGGATACTGCACGGGATCAAGGAGCTGAGCCGGAATACTCCTGCCAGCGAGGCTTAGCCTCTGTTTTCACTGCCTGTGTCTACCATTCTCCCTAACTGCACAGCAGTCACCTCACAAAGCAGATGTGCTCACAACTATCTCTGCTGAACAGCCAAATTTTAGCTGTTCAGAGCTCATATCAACCAAGCATGGTGCTACATTTTTCCTGTGGGGTATGGCTGCATCCAGTGGAGAGGTGTTTCCTCTGCAGTTGGCAGAGCCTCCTGGAGAGAACTCACTTGCTGTTTGAAGAGCCATGTCCTGTGTCGTGGGAAGTTCTGGTTCCAGGGACAGTGCAGGACTCCTGAGAACTGCAACACAGATACATTTACTGGATATCTTCATCACAGTAGAATAATTCAGGGCAAAAGATGTATTGGCCAGTCTTAGTTCAGAAGTATCTGACAGTCTTTTCAGACCCAAAACTTCCCTGCTCAGCTGTATGTCACATTTGTATTTAGCATATTTGAGTGGGATAAAGCCTCTCCTTGCATCTTACTAATCCCTTTTTAATGCATCTGTAGTTGTGTGCAATTTGCATCTGAAATTCAAAGCCAGTTCAGACCTCTTCTGATGAACATCCATTTATTCTCATTCACTCATGCTTTTGCAACAAACAGTTCATGCACTTCAAACAGGGTTTGGAACAACTGGTGGGGCCTTCTGCTGGGCGTGCTCTCCTCTTCCAGCCAGGGGTAGTAGTGCAACCTTTAGGTTTTCACAAAAAAATGTGGTGCTGAGTCATCATAGACAATTGTTCAGAAATTCCTGGTAGTAAGAAAAGAAAATTCTGGAGAGCCAGATGGCTACAGGAGATCAGCTCTGACATTCCTTCTTCTGAATTCATGTTTGGAAGACCAGATAAAAGGGAGAGGAAAGCTAATGAGCTGTTTGGGCTGCACAAGAAGGGAGATATAGGACAAATTGCTTCATCTTGGGGTAGGGAGCAGCATGACTGGTAATGGCCAGATGTAGCTTCCTGCCACTTAGTGCCACTTCTGTGGCCACAAACACCAGAGCTGTTTCTTTACTTCAGCTTGCAGTGCAGAAAACTATTTCTGTCACAGAATGTGTGATTTAAGTCTAGTACTTGTATCTATTCACGTGTCTTGGTTTTAGTAGCTTTTCCACCTTGCTTCTCTTTCTTGCTGCCTTGCTCCTTCACTCCAGGGTGATACAAAAGATTAGAGTAGCTCAGTTCTCCTGGGCTGTACCCCTAAGGGAGAGATTCCTTATGCTGTCAAACACTGGGGCTCCTGTAAGAGCACTGAGAGGATTGTTACCAAGCAAACAAGCATCATAATGAAAACTGGAATATGTTGATAAATTGTCTTTGGTACCAGCAACAGTGGAGCTGGAAAAAGTAGTGCATCTGAATCAGTTTCTAGATGGCTAACCCCAGTTAGGTGGCTGTTAAAGCCCAAGACTAGCGTGGATAGTTATATCACCATCTTTATCACTGCAAAGGGAATTCAGCAACAGTCAGTGCTGTAAAACTTGAGAGACAGCAGAAATTTTTAATTACTCTGTCATTTTCTGTGTATTTTTTTTTTAATTAGTACAGAGTGGCAGCTGACTATGGCTGCCAACAGAAAAGCCCACATACACGGTGGCATAGAAGATAATTTGCTGAGGACATCATTCTTTTTTTTTTTACTTGTAAGGATTTTTGTTGAATTGATATCACTTCTCTAGTCTAATAACAACCAGTCAAGTTACTTTATGGAAAGGTTTGTCAGCTTATGAAGGCTCTGAGCTGATTCCATTTCAGCTGGGAAAACTCCATTGAATTCCCTAGTATTTCATCAAGGGTTATTCTGACTCTCTCTGTCCATTCTAACCAGATACATTCACCCATGTGTCTCCTTTCAGCCTGGTGAGTGACAGGGTTTGCTCATGTGAGAAGGTAAAAGAAGACTGAAAGTGCTTGGTTCAGCTAGAAACACTTATGGTATAAATACTGCGGGGCCTGAGCAGGAAATATGTCCAGCCTTGCCCTGGATGTATTTCTCCAATGTATACATTGGCAATTGCTTCCATAGCTGTATTTTTTATTTATCAGTAAAGACTCCCTCTAACTATATTGAATTCCTGAGGCATCAGGTAAGTAAGAATTGCAAACATACTGTATTGTCCCACTTGATTGTTGAGGCACAGAGCAGTGTGTGGATGAAAATGAGGAGAAACCTTCCTGGGAGAGCCCCAGGATGCAGCCATCCTCAGTGGTGGTGTGCAGTGACCTCACAGTGTGTGCATCCCACTGTCTATCCCAGAATTGTGCATGGTTGGGACATCCATGTGCCTTCCCAGGAGAGTGCAGCAGGGGCTGAGGCAGGTGGTAACTGTGGAGAAGAGGTGAGATCTGTGTTTGTTCCTATATGTAGTGAAGGAACTGTTCTATGAGCTTTCTCCAGGCAGCCTCATGGTTAAAAATGTATAAACAATAAGTGCTTGCCTTGCATAATCCTTGAGGGATTAAATTCTTGCTTCCATAGAAACAGCTTCTCTCTTCCTGCCCAGAGCAACAGAGGAATCCAAAGAGTTTTTGCATTCAGGTGTGTTCCTTAATTCATGCCATATCTATCAAGACCTGATGGCCATTAGCTATCTGCATGAGTGATGAGGCCTGCACAGACCCATCTTCATTTCTTTTGCTTATATGATGTGTGTGTCAATGCCTTTATATCCTTTTTGTGCACATGCACATTTATCAAAGGGTTGACAGCCACTATATTCCTGTCGGTTACTTATCAGAGGCAGGGAGGGAGTTCTGCCTTCTTTTAAGAGCTAGAAAACAGGATCTTCATTTAACCTGAGTGCCTTTGAATATTTATTAAGGTATAGATTTGAAAACCCCCAAAGGGTTGTAGTTCTGTGTGTCTCACTGGGAATAGTGAAGATTTCTGTTGTCAGGATTTTTGTGAATAGATGAAGACAGTTTGTCATGAACATCAGTGAGCACTATATGCAAAGTAAGAAGCCAGGTAGAACTCCTGGCTACATTATTCTAAGTTTCTCTTCTGACAAGTGATAATTTTTTGTGGGAGAGAAACTCAGGAAAGACTATTGGTAAAAAATGTGCTGCTTTGAAAAAAAGACTGTCCAGCAGTCTCAGGGATACCAGCCTGAGAGAAGCTAGAACTGTCACATATCACACAGGTGTTTAGTCCCTGAAGAGATGCAACTCCTATGAAAGCCATGCGGCACTTTCTGTTCTCATCCCTCACCCCTGGCAGTGGCTGCAGTTTCTTCTGCTTGGAAGAGGCTTCAGTCTGTTCTCTCACATTCTGGCACCATCCTGGATATTTAATGGCAGATTCTGGGGAATGATGGTTGGGGCTAAGTGCGATTGCATGCAGTGGAGACTGGAGGGAGGTTTGGCTGTTGGCAGTGCCCTGCCCTTGGGAGGGCTGGTGCAGCGTCTGTGTTGTAGCCTGTGGGACATTGGCAGGAGCTGGAATGGTGGCCAAGGGGAGCTGTGCCACCGGGTCCCTGCAGGTGCTGGCCTGGCATCTGGGAGCCTCCAGCTCTGCCGAGGCCTTCAGGGTCAGTGCCACAGCTGCTTCTGCACCCAAATCATATGGAAAGCTTCGTTCATTGTTTTAGTGTTATTTAAAAATGTGCATAATAACGATGTGATTTATAAAACAGACTGTTTACAAGACATATTTTGTATCTTAAGATGTGTGTACTGTAAAAAAAAAAAATGGCATCTGGGAGCCTCCAGCTCTGCCGTTTTTCTACAAGTGTCAGCAGTGACTGTATGTCTGTATCATTGTCCACCGACCGTTGTTCCTCAGGGGTCTCCCCACCATTCCTGTGATCCTGTCAGAAGCATCAGGAAGCAAGTGAATCCCTGTACAGTCTTGGGAAGAAGGTTTTGTGCCTTAAGAATGGGACCTGCTTCCCTCCTATTTATTTTATTAATTTATACAGTGATTACCATGGAAGTGTCTCTTGGGGTTTTTTTTGTACATAGTTTTCTTGTTGTAAATATGTTTTTCTTGTATATAAAGTAAACATGTTTCCGAGCTTCCAGTAAGGATTCTCTGTTGCTGATTTCATTGTGAGAGGGCTGTTGTGCCCATTGGGTGGGAACCAGCTAATAAAAACCTATGCTGTGATTAAATGGTTTAATCCTGGCTTGCATCAGAAGTTCAGAACTGTTCCTTAGAGAGGAGTGAAAGGGTAAATATAAGTGTTGTACACTAATTTTGTAGCATTTTTCTGTTAGTTTAATTGGCATGGAGTAGAAGACATCAGGTAGTTTAATTTTTTTTAGCTATGTCTTGCAGTGAACAAAAGATGTTTTCAATGTGGTGCTTCTACTGGTGAGCATCCTGATCAAAGCTCTGCTGGCAGCAAACCCACAGCTCGATGGGAAGGCTCTGTCAGGCTCAGCAGGGCTGTGTTGGTTACCCCTCCTCAGGTGGCTGTTCCTGGCCAAGGTAATGCACTGCCAGGATGGGACGGGAACAGTTGTTCTCCATTTGGGCCTCTGTGTGTTCTGTTTATTGCAGGCAATATGTACAGTGTCTGGAGTAAGTGAAAATGCATTTACAAAAATGTGGGAGAAGTGAATTTTGAAATGTAGGAACTGAGTGCCGTAAATGAAACCTGTAAACTTGAAACAAAAAAATTTGGAGGTGTTTGAATGAGCAGTCCATAGACTGGATTGTGACAAGCTTTCTCTTCCATCTCTACAGATTGGTATGTTCATAAGATGCTGACAGGAAACTTCCAGCAGATTTATTTAAACTGAGAGGATGGTTGTAAAGTTCCACAGTACTGTTGCAAAGTGGGTGGAAATTAAGTTACAATGGTCATGAACATTTTCTGTGTGAAAAGCATCTTTGTACGTGATAATTAAACAGAAGTATGGAAAGAATAGTGTATGGAAAAGGAATATCATTCTAAAGTTACATATTCTTGCATGATGAAAATGGTAAAATTGAGCATTACAATGTTGGTTACCTGGAACCAGAATAAGGAGAAAAGAAAAACTACTGTGTTTACTCATGCTTGCATCAGACCCTGAGTGTCAGGCTCTGCTTTACGTGGCACTACCGAAAACATGCGAAGAAAGTGGCGGCAGAGAAAGATGATATTCTTATTCCTCTGCTACAGGTTAATTAATTTTGGTCTTTTTTTTTTTTTTAATTATGTGGCAGAAGATAATTGCAAAAAACTAACTGCCCCACTCAGTGTGTCATTACTGAATGTTAGACTGCCTTCTCAGGGCTGCCATCCTCTTGGTTTGATTTAACTACCTAATGGATCTCAGAAGGATGGAATGGATTGGGAGGAAGGTGTACTGTGGAGATCTCTACCAATGAGTTTAAATAAAAATACGAATAGCTGTGCAGCCCCTTGCTGGGCCTGGAGTAGCTTGAGGTGTCTCATGTGGGCACAATGAAAAGGTCCTGAGACTGGAAAGTGACACTCCATGTTGATAACAGCTAAGAGTCATGGCAGTTCTCCAGCAACTTCTGTCTGAAGAGCTCTAGCATTTTGCTGGCTTCCCCAGTGACCTGGGAGTGTTTTTCTTTACAAGAAAGGGAGAGCTGGGGCCATGTGCGTATGACCTAGAAGACCCCTTTGGTTGACTTTATGGTCAGTTGTGACCTATGGCTTTTCTTCATGGGAGCAGGGAAGGGGGTGGCCTTAGCCCTCATGTCCTCCTCCATGAGCAGGTTGGTTTGCACTGATGGGCTACTCCAGGGGAGGAGTTGGAGCCCCAGCAGCACTCCCAGGTGTGAGCTTCCCAACCAGGGAAGTAATAGGCTGGGAGGAATTTGAGATCTGCAGAGGTTGTCAAATTCCTCTTGTTCCCAGGCTGCAAACTGGATTCACAGCAGCACCTTCCAGCAGCACACAGGTTCTCCGTGGAGAGTTGTTCTTGCCTTTCTGGCAATTACCATTTCTGCTTACCAGAGAATCAAAAGGAAAAAGGGTTTGAAAAAGGCAGAGCGGGTGCCTCAGCTATTTCACTTTTCCCCTGTATGCAGGTAAATGGTCAAGCTCTCCCTGAGCACTGTTTGTTTAACTAAAAAGAAAGCACTTTATGTCACTCCAAAGAGTAAATATCTGAAGTTATGGATTAACTAAGTTCCAGCAGAGCTCATGGAGGAAGAACAGATCACGCTGATTCCCACTGAATAAAAAAGCAGTAAGTGCTTCAAAAATATTGTATCCTTTCAGACTTCCGAGTACAGCTTACTTTAATGGAGCATGAAGCTTGTAAAAAATGTCCAGTGGCAAGGGGAGGGTGTCAGAATAGGCCAGAACTGTTCTGGGAGAGCTGCTGATGTATTAAAGGGAATGAACAAACAAGTCTGGAGGGAATGGCTGCTCCAGAGCTGGAGTCAAGAGACAGGGCACACCAGAGCATTCAGCAGGGAAGCTGCTCTCTGAAAAGCAAGTGAGTGAGCTGGCTGAGCTAGATGGGTGGGAACTGTCTGCAGCAGGGTCTTGTGTCACTCTGCAATGTACTCTTCTTGATACTTGCCTTCTCCTCCTCCTCAGGTGACTCCTGCTGCAGGATGTGGAAGCTCCTCACCATGGGGCTGCTGCTGGCTGCTTGCTCTTCATGGGGCTTTGGCACCTCAAGTAAGTGTTCTTTTGACAGATGGCCTTCAACCTTTCCCAGCCACTGCAATTGCTTTTCCTGCCCTTCTGCTAGTCAGAGGGAGTGGCTGGAATTGTTCCCATTTGGGGGGTTTGACTTCCTTCAGCAGAGGCTGACAGTGCTGGGGCCATGGCAGCTGCCTGGTCAGAGCCCTGCTGAGCCCCATGGGCTGTCAGAGTACCACAGGGCAGAGGCTGGAGCTTGATTCTGCAGCACAGCACAGACAGCACATGGTGTCTAGGACAGCCTCTCTTGCTGTATTGGAGAGAAGCTGTTGCTCTCATAAGTGTCCTTTGGGAGGCAGCACTACTAGTTTTCAGCCAGCACTTTTCTCTGCTTGTGCTTTCACCTCTTTGCTTGCAGTATTTTACAGCAGTAAAGATGCAAACCAAGTCCTGAGAATCCAGAAGCGGGCAAACACTTTCCTGGAGGAGCTCAAGCCAGGCTCAGTGGAGCGTGAGTGTGTTGAAGAGATCTGTGATTTTGAGGAGGCCAGTGAGATATTTGAAACCAGGGAAGCAACAGTAAGTTGTCTTTTTTAAGGATGAGTGGGGAATTTAGCCAATTAATTATTTTCTTAAAGTATTGCAATCCAGGGCACAGGAGATCATGCTGTTAGTACTGAATGCAGATCTCTCCTGGCTTCTTGGGTGTGGGCATGGTTTTGAGTGTCACCGTGTTAACAGTGATTGTCAAGTTACCCCTCTATGTGCCACAAAGCTTGGCTACTCAAGCATGTCCTACCTGACCCACCTGGTGAGGTCCCAGACAGTTAATTCCAATCCTTACTTGACCCCACTGGCGGTTCTTGCTGCTATTAAGTTTTTCCCAGTCCTTCTAGTCTTTCCCCTTTGTTGTCCATTCACCAGTCCTGGCTGCTTTTCAGCATATCTCCCAGATATGCCTGACAAACATTTCTCTTTTCACTATGTTCTTTCTCTCCTTCAAACTCCTATTTTGAATTGGACACTATGTTTACTGTCTGCTGATTCCTGCCCCTTTCCACACTCAGTTGTTGTGTTGGGTTAGACTCTGTTGCTATTTTGAGCAGAGCAAGCTCAAAGCATAGGATGACGCAGTCCTTGCTGTCCCTCAGACCCCAGAGGAGAGAGGGGCTGTCCTTGGAATGCCCATGTTTTGTCTAACTGGGCTCAAGTGAACTCAGGTGACTTTCCTGGCAGAAAGTGCCAAGAAAATAGCCTGCAAGCAGAGCAGGGGGGTATGTGCTTAATACAGACAGTCCAGGAGAATCACTGGCTGGTTTTCTTGGTTGGTAGTGCCAGTGTAGTGACTGCCAATTAGAATGAGACCAATGTTACTGATCCCAGTGCTGTGTCCTGTTGGCCAGGACCACAAAACACTTTAAATCCTTCACTTGTTAAAAATTATTTCCTCACTGTAATACAAATTTCGTTTCTCCACAGCAAAGTTTTTGGACCAAGTATGTAGGTAAGTAAAGACTTGCCTAATCATTTCTCTGTGCTTCCTCAGGAGCTAGTAGTACTCAGCCTTCTTCCTGTCATGTGTCATATACTGATTCAAATTCTCATTCTCTCTCATAAGGGGTGTGCAGAGGATGTTTTCCTAAGCAAGCAGCCTTCCTAAAACACTTGAGGTGCACCTGTACCTATCATCAGTCATCTTCCCAGAGTTAAGGAACTGGTGAAAAATGCTTTGGTGCTCTAACCATGCCTGATGTGGTCCGGCAATAACCTGCTGCTGCCCTGCCTGCCTCAGGCTTTACTCTTTCCTCCCCTTCTACCCACTCCACTCACTCTCCAGATGTAATTGAGAACCCAAACTGATGGCCCTGTCACTGGCCAAGTGCCACAGAAGTGTGAGCATTAGGTGCCAGAAATGTGACTGATACTTGGGAGTCTGGGGGAGGGTCCGTTCATGTTGATGTTTGATCTGTGAGCTGTGTATGGTTCAGTGACTGAGTATTCCTACCTCTGTTTCAGATGGAGATCAGTGTGAGAAACAGCCTTGTTCCAATGGGATCTGCAAGGACGATATTGGAAAATTTTCCTGCATCTGTAACAAAGGCTGGGAGGGGGTTTTGTGCAGCTATGGTAACACTTCATTTAATCCACTATAAAATAACCTCTGTTGTGACAAGGATCTTTGTGTGATAGGGGTGGACACTTCAGTCATTGCACAGCAAACTCTTTCTTTACTGCTTTCTTTACTACTGTGATTTCTTATGCTTGATGTAATGAGAGGTTTATCTGTGCTTATCTAAAGCAAAATTAACTTTGTGTTGCCATAGGAGAATTTTAGAGATATGAGATATCTAAATTTTGGACAATACTGGAAGCATTCAGAAGCAGGGGTTGACTTTGGAATTATCAATACAGGGATTATGGTGGGGTTTTTAAATACAGGGGAAAATACAATCCACTGCAAATATTTTATTACTGTGACAGTTCCTTCCTTGGACAAAAGCTGGATAGCATATTTAGTGATGAGCACTGTATGTCATGTATCATCTACAGTTTCCACTCTGACTTGGCACATAGTGACACGGAGTTTTCTGTTCTCTGGTTTACCTGACAGTAATCTGTTTCCTCCATCTCCCCACTGCCTGTTTCTGGACCTAGGTCTGTTTGCTGTCTAGTGGTCTGAGTGTCATTGAAGCCCACAATGCTCATTCCAAATCCATTGACAGCTGTTACCCACTTGAAGCACGATGTCACTTTGCCACCTTGCCTTTCTGACTTCCCAACTCCGCGTCTCTCTTGCTGTTGTTCCCACAGAGGTCAAATACAGCAACTGTTCCGTGGATAACGGGGGCTGTGAACATTTCTGCAGGGAGGACCCCGCTGAGCAGCATCGCTTGTGCAGCTGCGCATCGGGGTATCAGCTCAAGGATGACCACACCATGTGTGAGCCTGTAGGTAAGAGCAGGATGTTTGTAGTCCAGCTTTGACAGAGGATTATTCAGACTGATGTAAAAGAGTTTTAGGGGAGATTTGTCTGCAGTGCACTTCGTACTCATTTTCAAAACATCTGTTCCATGAAGAATAACTCTGCCTGCATTTCCCAGCTCCACACCCACTTGATGGCCCTTAATCCATGTTTGCCTCATGGAGACAAAGAGGAGAGTCAGGAGACTGCCTCCTCTTCCAAACATTGAGGGACTTCCATGAAGCCTGAACATTATTGCCTAGACAGAGGAAATCCTCCAGAAAGAGGATTGGGTAATCTGGGCTTTGCTAGTGAACTTCTCTGCATCTTCTGCAGTGGAGTTCCCCTGTGGAAGAGTGAAGTTTAGCTACATTGAAGCCAAAGCAGACTTCAATATTCGGCTCATTGATGGAACAGCTGGAAGAAGGGGAGGCAGCCCTTGGCAGGTGAGGAGAAAGGGATTCTTTGCTACAAATAGTTCAGGCTCTTCCTGAACTGCTTTGCCTGCCTCTCTGCTCCAGAAAGGCTCTTGCATTGTTACTAGTGGTGTCATATGAAATTAAGATTCCCTTAGCTTTTTCAAAAGCATCCCAAAGATTGGAGTAGCAGGAAAAAATAATTTAGTATCTGTGAGGATTCTTGACCTTGTTGCTGTTGCTAAGTTTTTGAGCTTACTGTACCAGCATTGCTAAGACAGAGGATGGTGATGGTGCTCATCTGCTCTGTTGCTCCATCCTGGGGAGCTCACAGTGTGTGATGTTTGCTTCAGCTCCTGCAACAGCCTTCCACTGTGAGGTGATCTTCCTGCCCTTTCTTATAAGCCTTGTCTGTCATAAATTCAAGTTAGCAGATTTAATCAGCAAAATATGCCATGGCAGGCTGGGTTATCGCAGAGAAAAGGGAGATCTCACAAAGCTTACCATGGAACTAGTGAGTGCAAATAATTAGGGCCTGGTTCCCTTTGATATTAAAAGGCTTTTTACACTGTAGTGTGAGAGCTGCAGCCTGAGATGATGCGCTGCCTCTGGTGTAGGACACACCCCTCATTTGTGCTCTATATTTCAAAACTTTAAAGTACAAAGTGCTTCTTTGCAGTGACCAGCATCACCCCATGCTGATTTGGGTGAAGCCAGCCCTCATTCAGGAAGGACATTCAAAACTTTTTGTAGGTATTTCATAGAGACACTATTCATAGAGCTTTTGTCCCTCTGTAGAGCTTTGGCTTCAGTGAATGTGACATGCTTTGGTGCTTGATAAGTCTGGGTATTTGCCAGCATCTAAGAAGAATGAGTATAGTATTCTGAGCTGTGCTCCATGCAGTGTCACACCTCCCTTGTCTTGTTTCAGATTATGCTGCAAAATACCAAAGGGAAGTTTCTGTGTGGGGGTGTTCTCATCCATCCAGCTTGGGTCCTAACAGCAGCACACTGCCTCGAGGAGCACAAGGGGTTCAGAGTTAAACTTGGTATGGAAAAATCACCTGTCCCTGTGTTTTTTAAATATAACTGTTTAATTCCTAACATATACCATCTCAGGGAAAAGACTAGAAGGTTCTGAAGATGAAAGTCCTTGGCTGTAAGAGTGTCTGTCTAGGCAGTATTTAATATGCACCTTAGCTTAAAACAAAGTATAGTAAAAATCTGATTTAATTGGAGCCATTATCAGCTTTAGTCTGGAAATGAGCTGATCTCTTCTGAGCACTGCTGCTGTTCTGTAGAGAGACTTGGTCTCTTCTGCCTGTGTTTTTCTGGTGATGAAAATATTTAGGCCATCTGAATACTGAAAAAAAAGTCTTGATCCCAGAAGCAGAATATCACAGGGTCTCTTCCCGCCTTTCTGTGTATTTAAATACTGTTACTTAAGAGTGTTTCACTGGAGAGGTGCTGCTGAATGGCAACACTGCCTTTACTTGCTCTGCTGCTCTGGGGCATCAGAAAATGTCATTTTTCTCAGAGAAAATGTCAAATAAGTGCTTCTCCTGAATTAGTAGACAAAAACAATTAGTATTTCATTTACACTTACATAGATTATTTTTTTTAATTGTGTTTTCTATCTACCATTGGTGCTGAGGCATAAGCAGCTCCACTGCTTGCTTTCCATTAGTGAAAGGACAGATTATTCCCAGTATTTGTGGAGAGTCCTGCCAATATATTGTCTGTGTATACAGCCTTGAAAATAGATGGTCTGTGTGCATGTTCCATACACACTGTGGATGTGCAGGTGCTTGAGAGCAGAGACAATAAGTTTATGTATGTCCAACATAAAGAATGAATCAAAAAGTGTGTGAAGTAGCTTTGGGTCCTCTTAGGGCAAGAATATTCACCTTTTCACAGAGAGACATCTGTCACTCATGAGAAAAACCCAGAGACATCTGTGAGGGACAAGGAGCAGAGCTTTGGATGGAGACATTGCCATGTCCTTGGGGATAGCCAGGAAAGTGTTTGTACTGAGCCTGCACAGGTGGTACTCAGCCTGTGTCTGTGAGGCTGGGATACCCCACACCCTTCTGGACTTGTCCCACTGCAGCTTGCCATCCGTAGGAGCAAAACAGGAGGGAGAACTTGCATCTGAATTTCCACTCAGCTTGGAGAGAAGTCTTGTAGCAGTGCTTATGTGGCATAATGCACCAGAAGTCAAAAGGGGGTGAGGGAACCTGTCACTGCAGTGTGAAAGGTGTCACCCACTGGTTGATGGGTGCCTCACTATGGAGACAGTTGGGGGCTGTGCTGGTGTACCAGGTGTGTGACCCCACAGCAAGTGTGTTCCTGCACAGCCACTCTGCCTTCCTCAGAGGAGATGGTCTGACAGCACTCGAGTTCAGAGTTATTTCTGAGGCCTAAAGCAGAGTTTGTGTCTGTGAAGGCAGGAATAAAACCCTGCCAGCCAGCCCCCAACTCTGGTGGCTTCAGGCTGCCTCAGGGGTGCTGCAGACATTGTCACCACAAAGAAAAGAGACTGTGATAGGAGGGAAAAACTGATTTGTGACTGTTGGCTCGATATTAGCAACTCCGTCAGGGGCTGGTGCCACTTAGTACAAGACATCAGAGCATTTTTCAGCTGTCTGCTCCAGCCATGTGTGAACTGTCCTTTGTCTGCAGATGAGTAAGAAGAGAAACTCAGAAATAAATGGGCAGGAAGACCAAGATCCAAAGCTGGATTTAAGGGATCTTTTGAGAATATATGTATGTAACAACTGTGGCCTGTAAGTCCCCATACCTGGAGACACTCCTTACAGAAAAAAATCTTGCCAGACCTCATTGATAGCCTGCCAGAAAACGAAGCTCTGCCTTTCCTATTGCTGTGTATCACAAATGACTTCTTGCATTTCTGGCCCTTTTCACCATAGTCTCTTGCTTGCTTTTCCGTAACTCCTTGGCCCATGAGGTAGCCATGATCATGCCACACAAATAGCAACTGAGGAGTCTTAAGCAGTGAAAAATTCCTTAAAATACAGATGTAAGATTTCAGAAAGGAATACTCTTACCTGTCAGTCAACTTTATCTTACAAATCCTGACATTCAGCCACCCAGGCCCTGGCTATTCAGCATAAAGCTCATGTCCTGTTGTAAGTGTCCTATTTTGTGGTGTGCTTGCTCTCCCACCTGCTGGAGATGGCTGGCTCCAAGGTTTTCCTCCTGAAGGTGACTCACATTGCACAAGTGTACTGAAATATGAAGGCCACAGGGCAATATTCTTACTCAGCTGATGACCAGAGCTTTAGAGCTCTATGGGTATTCATGATTTCTGTAAATACAAAAAGTTTAGAGATTTGTCCATCTGTTAAGAACACTGTCAAGTTACAACATAAACAGTTGTATTACAAGAGAAGTGAAAACATGGAGAGCAGTCCTAACGACCAGTGTAATCCAGATACTTCGGTCTTCAAAGTAAAGGAAGCTTTGACAGCATCTGTCATCTTGTTTGCTCTTCCAGGTAAATTCCGTTTCCGTCCTGAGGCAGATGAGCAAACCATTTGGATTGATAAATGGGTGATCCACGAAAATTACACCAAGACGACCTCAGATAATGATATAGCCATGCTGCACTTGGCTGAGCATGTGATGTATTACAAATACGCGCTCCCAATCTGCCTTCCCACCCGCAACCTGGCAGAGCAGGAGCTGATGAGGAGTGGGAAGCAGATGGTGGTGACAGGCTGGGGCAGCACAAGCGAGCGTAACACCAGCTACGCCGCTTCCCTCAGGTACATCGAAATCCCCATTGTGCCCCGGAACGAGTGTGCCCAGGCCATGAGCTTCCCTATCTCTGACAACATGCTGTGTGCTGGGAGCCTGGGAGACAGGAAAGATTCCTGCAGTGGGGACAGCGGAGGCCCTATGTTCACTAGATACAAGGATACTTGGTTTTTGGTAGGACTGGTGAGCTGGGGTGAAGGCTGTGGAAGAAGGGAGAAATTTGGAGTCTACACCAAAGTTAGTCAGTACCTTGAGTGGATCCAGCATCACATAGATATGTCAGCTCCTTTGAAGGGTTGATTCTGATCCGGAGTCTGGAAGGTTGTGGCTCTGGGCTAGTGACAGTATGCAGTGTAATGTACTTTCAGATCTTCAGTATTAAATATTGAGTATGTATTAACCTTGTGTGCTGTTTTCCTTGGTATCTACCTTTTTCCTCTTTTTTTCTTATTTACATTGGTTTGTTGCAGGTTATATTGTTTATTTGTGGCATGGTCCTACCTCGGCCTTACAGGCAAGGAAATACCTTCTGTTCGCTGAGATGCTGTACATGCAACATTGTAGAAAATAAGGTTGTCTGTGATCAGACAACTCCATCTTTGAAATAAAAATTTCAGTTATTTAAAATGTCTGAACTGGTTGGGGTGGAGGCATGTCTTAGTTTAGGGCAGGAGAGGACAGAGAAAAGTGTTTTGCAAATAACCCTAGAGATGCAGCTCTGTCATTTCAGCTGTACTGCAAAGGTATTACCCACAGTAACTGTTCTGGTTTGCTCGGTATTTGTATAGCTTTTCTTTCAACCCAGTGAAATTTTTATTATATCATTACTACCTCCTGTTCTTCACACCTTACGCCAGCGTTCACAGATTGTTTATTCGGCAGGTGACTGGAACTTACCTGTATTTTTTGTTCTTTGTACACTTGATGCCTAATTTTACCTTCCCAAACTTCCTTAAAAGAGAATGGGAACTCGTCTTTCATGTTATTCATAAAAAAACCATCACCACCACCACCAAAAAACTCAACAAAAACAACAAACAAACAAACACCAAAATAAAACACAAAAACAACAACAACAAAAACACCAAAAGAAAAGGAAAAAAACCCCAACCAACTTCAATTCCAAGATTTTGCAGGCTCTATTTATCATGAAGTCTGTAATTCTCTTCTAATTAACAAGCAAACAAACACTTCTGTTCTGGAAAAATGGAAATTATCTCTGCTCTAGTGATGTTTCCAACATCTTGATGGATGCGTGTTTGGATCAGTGAAGAACTTCAGTCTGCTCTTGTGATGAGACTGTTAAACAAAAACCCCCCAGGTGCAATGAAATTTTATTAGTTTGTAAGAAATTTAATACTATATCAGTGAGGAGGCTTAATAACTCTTAAATTCGTTCCCTCAGAAGCTGCCTCTGTGCTTATTACCCAAGTGAGGATTCTGAGTCATGCACTGAAGAAGTAGCAGTCAAATCAACAGCTTCTGTGTCACTTGCTGGCTCTGTCCCTCTCCTCCTCTTTTTGCCTTGGGACAGGATTTAGGGGTGGATGAGTGTTAAAAGAGTAATGCTTTGAACAGCAGCCTTCAGGCTGCACTGGGAAGAGGGGACCTGTAATGCTGTCTTGCAGGGAAAAATACAATTTTGTTCAAAGCCAGTAAAACAGAGGTCTGAGTAAGAGCAGAAATTGTAATGTCAGAGTGGCTGTGACTGTGACAGGGCAGTATTTGCCTGCCTGCAGGTGACTGCTGTGAATCTTCCTGCACACTCCCAGCTCTGCATATTTCAGAGGTTTACAGAGCAGCTTGTGTGTTTTCCAGATCTGCTGGTCTTACCTGCTGGAAGGTGATGGAGTGTCAGAAATCTGCTCTCAAAATTTAAATATTTTCCTGCATAAATCTGTTGCAAAAGGTGGCTTTTATTACTGAAGGATATTTTTTTAAGACCTTTTGATTCTCTTTTTAATGTACCTTTGTATATGTGTGGAAACACACATGCAATTTTCTTCTGATTTTGGGTTTTTAATGTGTTTCATAGAATTCAGGTTGTCTCTCCTCTGTCAATATTTGTGATGAGTTAATGATCAACCTCTCGACCTCATGGCTGTTCCTGGTATACATCCAAATCTCTTTCCTGTCTTCCTCTAAAAGATAAGGAAAAAACTGAGTATATTAATGAGCATGGTTCTTTGTAAGATGAACTCACTCTGGATCCTGTGTATTTGAAAACATGCTGCAGGCAGTGGAGGGTTAGGTGCTGTCAAATCCTGGTAAATCCGCATGAGAATGTAATGCCAAGAAACCCAAACTTCTGTCTTGTACCTGTAACTCCAGGTATGTGATGGTTGGTGCCTGGCTGGAGTTGGTGTGGATGATACTTGCTCAGCCCATCAGGAATTGCACAGTGGCTGCTGTGACTGCAGGAGCTCGTTGTGCATCTGCCCTTGGCACAAGAGCTGGCACAGCAGGGACTGGGCTGTGGCTGGGAGCAGCGCCTGCTCCTCTGGAGTCGGGCCCCTGCACTCCCGTGCTCCCCATGGCTTTTCCTTAGGGGCTGTGGCTCAGAGCCTGCACCTCAGCCTGGGCTGGCCCAGCCTCTGCCTGTGGGGATTCCTGCTGGGGTGGCTTGGAGAAACAAAGGACACAAGGTCAGAACTGGGGAGGTTCTGATTTCTTTGTCCCTGCTCTTGTCCTCTTGCTTCTACTTAATCTTTATTGCCGATTGTTTTTTTGACAACATACTAAGTTGATTCTTCTCTTCCCTCTGAAGGAAGTTGGAGTGTTCTGAATGCTCACTGACATGGAGAGCAGCTCCTCACTATTTCTCCTGCTGATGTGCTACATCAACAGCAGCTGCCTGTTTTCATATTCAGGTACTACTTCTGAGTTACTTTTTTAACTTGTACTACTGTGGCAATTTCAGCATTTAAACTGAAACTACATTCCTGTTCTGCACACAAAGTTCTGTGAGTTGAAGAAACACTTCCTGAAATGTACAAGAAAAAAAAGACTATTCATATATATCCAAGAGAAAACAGCCTTTCTTAGCTTTCTACTTAGCCCATTTTCCCATTGAAAAATATTCTCCTTGTGATATTGAATCCAAAAACCATAATAATTTTTGCATGGCAAACACTTCCAATTTGGAAAGATAAAATGAGGCACTCTCAGCATGTATTCTTGGACCTTGTGTTGACATAAGGTTTGGAAAAGGCTTCAGAGAACTGTAGAACAGGAACAAGAGTGTACAGGGTCTCAGGAATCATTGTGGCTGTCCTTGCAGAGGAGGAAGATCAGAGCTGGCAATGTATCTACACACTGGAAGGCTCACCACAGGCATCTCCTCTGTGTGGGACACCTACTTAGAGCAGATGAATCCTCTGAGGTGACCCCAGAACACAAGGGGTGGTGAAGGGAAATTTCACTCATGTACATGAAAGACATTTTCTCTGTTACTGGACAGCAGGATCTGTCAGCTGCTGCTGAGGCCTTGCATTGACGTGTTTGGAAGAGGGGCAGGTGGTGAGGGTGCCATTTGAAACTCTTGGGCCAGGAAACCTTTCACTGGCTAAGGTGTTTGTGAATCTGAGCTTTTGGTTTGTTTTTGGTGCCAGGACAGGCCAGTTTGTGCACTACAGGGCTGGTCCACAGTGCAAACAAAAGCAAGTGGCATGGTGCTGCCCAGGAGGTCTGCTCTGAGAGTGAATTCATGGTTCTAATCAAAATGTCAGTTTACATGGACTCTAAAAAAGGAGTTTTTAAATTTATATTTTCAGTAATAAATATGATCATTTATGACTGTTCTCTTCATTTGTGATTTCTTCTTGCAGATGGATTTTTGGTTTGATTACAAAGGTAGGTAAAAAAGGAAATTTTAGGAAATGTATATCTTGTGTCCCTCTTGGGTACAAAGAATTACATAGCAATTTAGAGCCAGATTTCTCTTAATTCCTGGGGTTACACTATACCTTGTTTCTTCTCAGTAGATTTAAATCCATGCAGTACAAATCCCTGTAACAATGGTGGCGTGTACAGAGTAAGGCACTACAGTTACTTTTGCATCTGCCTCCCGAGTTTGGAGGACACAACTGTGAAAGAGGTGAGTACAGGAACAGACACATTGACACATTGCAAAGGAAGGATGGCATGTGGTCATCTCCCACCTGCTTTCAAGGGATGACAGGGAATTACCCCTTCTATCACTTCAGAGGGATAGCAACTCTAGTAACTCCTGCCATAGATGTCTGCACTGGAAATCAGTCGTGGTGAGGCTCTTCTCTTTTACTCAATCATCAAACAAATGAGACAGAGCTTACTGTAAGCAAAAAAAATTTATTATATTTATGTTGTAATATACTAATAATAGAAAAGGCAGGAGAAAAACTGCCTTCTCTTGTCAGATTTTTAATCCTCTGAAAGTCTGTATTCAGTTTGTAAACTGAGGCATGAAATAACAGCAAAAGCCAAACTAATGTGGAAACTATGAATCATAAGTAATTTTTTTCCTCCAAGTGTCAACTTTTTCTCTGTATAGTGAAGCAATTAAACATGAATATTTTTAATGTAACAATGAATAAAAATCTCAATTTCCCAGAGAATTGGCCATAAAATGCCCTGTGCTTTAAACCTGCCTTGATATAAAAGACAAGGTGGGCAGATGGATCAAAACCAGGTGTATTTAGAAATGTTTGCTCTTCTAGGCCTTTACTTGCCCCTGCTCCACAGGCAGAAAGGCCTTGAGCCCAGCTGTGGCCTCAGGACAAAGTTGGCAAATAGGAGAACAGTCGAAACAGAACACCAAATATAAAGTCTGGTTTGCTGCAACTCAGCCTGAGTTTCTGAAACTATAAGAAGTGGTTCCTTCTGTTTCCCTGTGAGATTCCAGCAGATGTTTTCTTACTTTCCTTGATGCTGTGGTAGCTCTGGGAGCTGCCCGGGGCCCGTGTGCAGCTGTGACTGCGCGGTGCCGGTGTTTTCCTGGCAGAAAGGTTGGAGTGCTGCTACACGAACAGTGGCTGCTGCCAGCACTGCAGGGACGGTGACAGCACCTTCCACGTGTTGTGTTCCGGCGTCAGGGACTACGCCCTGCATGAGGATGGGAAGAGATGTGTGCAGGCAGGTAAAGCAGAGAAGGCTCGAGTTACCTCAGGCAAAGGGCACCTTGGCAGGCAGTATTATAAGTAATAGCAGAAGAGCTGTAGATGCTGCAGCTACTGCAGCTTGCAGTTAGTGTGTGAGAAGATTGGCCTTATTTATAATCACTTTTAAATGTTAAGGTTTCTCTCTATTGGGTGTTTGTAATCCAGTGTCCCTGTGAGCATGTACTGGGTCATGGAGCAGCAGGACAATCAGTTCTGGATCTGTTCCTGCTGCATCCAAGCAGGCTGAAAGGAGTCGTGATGCTCAAGTGCCAGTGGGAAGAGGACAGGACAAGGGCTTTAAAACTGGTTAAGGCAAGCAGGAAGGGAGCACTGGGCTTGCATTCTGTCCTGAAGAGGGCCCTGGACAGGCTGCTCCTGGCTGATGCCAGTGACTCAGAGAAGGCACAGCTATGGGCCCGTTTCTGGGCAATGAGCTCTGCACACCTCAGTTGGGTGGTTGCTGTTGAACATCACAGTGTCAGAGTTGTTCCTGGGCTCTTACTGAAAGGTTGAGTTCCATCCTTGGATAGGAAAAGCACTGCGTTTTCAACACACCACCACATATCCTAAGCTCAAGTTTTGTTTCTGTCATTCCTCCCTCCAGCACTGTTTCCTTGTAGCCTGATCAAAGCCAGGTGGGCTTCGGAGGAACAGCAGCTAGGGCTGAAATGACTCCACAGGGGCCAATGGGAGCATGGGGATGTTGTCTCCAAGTGGAATGGGAACACAGGGACCACTGTTAGGCAGACAGAGCTGGAACATGGCAATGTTGGGGGAACAAAGACTTTAAAAATGCTTTTGGACAGAGCGTGTGCACAAAGGGTGACGCTGGACACAGGAGGATGGCAGATATTTTCAGCTGGAACAAGACACTGGTGGGCTCTGTGACCTAGAAGCCACTGTGGGACAGTGCTGAGGGGCAACACGGATGTCCCTGAGCACCATGAGGCAGTGGAGGAGACTGCCAGGCCTGGCAGGCCCAGGGGAGGCAACCAACCCAGGGTCCTGCAGGGCAGAACAAGACCACAGCACCTGCAGCCAGGCAGGAAGGAACAGTGGGAAATGCAACAGGGCAAAGCCAATGATGGGAGGGCTCTGGCGGGAATGGAAACGGGGGCTGTGCAACATGGGAATGAGGGGCTGTATCAGGGTCGTGACTGGGAAGATGTTTTGGACACAGCTCAGCCCACCCAGACAAACATCAGCTCTACTTAAGAGCAGTATGACTCCAGGGTAACAGGAGGAACACTGTGTCATTGTCCCTGGCCGGCAGTACTTGACTTCCAGTTTCACCATAAACACCACACCTAAATGCTTTTTACTTTTTCATCACTGGGTCCATCATGAGGAGCAGAGTTAATCAAGCCATTATAAAGTTGTTTTTTCAGGTCAAGAGCAATGGAACCACACATATTTCTCAGTCTTCTGCAGGGTTTTTTGTTGCACACTGCCTCAACCTCATCAGCCCCCTGCACAGCATGCTGGGTGAGCACGGGGCACCTCTGATTGCAAATGTGCTTTGTGTGACACAGCAAGGCAGGGCTGAGACGAAACAAGCCCAGGCTCTCTGGCATTTAGGGAGCATGGCCTTGGCACCATGCTGAGGGGCTCCAGCTGGTACCTTTTGTTTTCATTGGATTAAGCATAAAGCACACGCCCATTTTGGCAAACTCCCTGTGCAGAGACTGAGCATAGCTCAGGGACACTTCAGGATGAAGAATTCCTCCAGGGGCCAGTCTGTGCTCAGTACCCTTTTGGGTTTCAATTAGCCTTAATTTCCTCCTCTGCTGCCACTTCCACTAAGCCTGTAACTGCCTCAGAGCACAGCCACAGGAACTGCACCCTTTGTAGTAGGAATGCTGCAGCAAACACAATTCTGTGCTTGAGCCCTCCAGGAGAGGAATGTGTAGGAGGAGCAAACAGCATACTGGGCACCTGACAGGAAACAATTCTCCAGACTTAAGCTGAAGCTGGGTCTAATGCCGATGTCAGATTCCTGAGGGGAAAAGATAAACTTGCATGGAAGTTTAGACAGAACAGTGCTTACTAAACATGACTGAAAGTTTCTATGGGAAATAAATAACGTCTGTTGGTGTGTCAGCATATAGGCTCCAGCTCTGGCTTGCCTCTAAAGGGCAGCTGGAGAGTTCAGACTGCAGGATCACAGCCTACAGCACCAAAAGTCATTGTCACAAGCAGGATTTGCCTTGGAACAAAAGATCAAAGCATTATAACCCACTATCCTTCCTGTTCCCTGTGACAGTAGCACCAAGCTTGTTGAGTTTGCTTAACATTTTAACTTGTCCTGACTGCACAAGACTTTGACAAGTACCAGAGACAACTAAAGGAACAGGAGATCGCTGTGGAACGGAGCTGGACACACCCCCATCACAATTCCAACCACTACAATGGTGACATTGCCTTGCTCTACTTCAGCAGCGCTGAACATGTACGTGACATCTCATCGCCTTCCCTGCCCAGCCCTAACCTGGCTGCACCGCTCTCCCTGGAGGGGAGTGGGGATGGTCAGTGGCTGGGGAGCCACACACAAGAGGGGCTCCATCCTGTGCTTCCTCATGAAGGTGTGGCAGCCCCAGGGTGGGCCTGGAGTGCTGCCAGCAGATGATGGACAGGCAGCTCACCAACAGCGTGTTCTGTGCCTGCAGGGGGGACCTTCCACTGTGTCCCACTGTAATACTTTGTTCCTCCTGGCCCTTGTCAGCTGGGGCAAGGGCAGTGCTGAGCAAGGGAAATAATGGTGTATACACCAGAGTATCCATCCAATACCATGTATACCACAGTATCCAACTGCATCCCCTGGATCAAAGTGCTGGTTGAAAGCATTGCAGATTCATAAAACTTTTTCACTGACTTAGTATCACCGCTAAGAACACGATCAATTCAATTATTACAGTGTTTCAATCAATGACACTATGCCTGCTCCCATTCTTAATGCTGTAAAATCAACTTACCCTCAAAGACATTTTGAAATGCATAAATTGCTCATTTAAGTATTGCTGAGTAAAGTACTTGTATAAAGAACTATCTGCAAGTAACAGAGGAGATACCTCTTCTTAATGTGAATCAGGAAGATTTTTTTGTTTTAGAGAAACTTTCCCTGTCTCAAGCCTACCTGTGTTACAACATACAGGCCCACAGCCCTATGTGGATTCCGGGCTCCTAGAAGGAAGTACAGCTATGTAAGGGTGGCTGTCAGGAGACAATGCTGAACACTGGGAGGGAGCTCTTACGTTTGGCACCAAGTACAACCTCGAGTACAAATCAGTTACAGATCTGTATTTACAAATCTGCATTTGTATACAAATTTGTATAATAGATTACATTCATGGAAGTTTTCCAATACAAAAACCAAGGTCTGTATGGAATTGTACATAAACCAAGCAGGAGAAACTGACCTAGCTGCAGGATAAAAGGGTTTTGTAGTAGGAATCTTAACAGTTGATCTTTGTGTTTCATGTCAAAGTAAGTTTTGATTTTGTGACTCTTTCTTACAATTGACTATGAAGTTATAGTTACAAACCCCCAGCACTTGTCAAAGTCCATTCTTACCGTTCCACAACTGAGTCTTTGTTTTCCTCAGACAAGTAGTGCTGAGCTATTATGAATAATTTTGACTGGAAGAATTTTATTAGGCCTTGCACAAGATCACCAGGTTCAGTACTTCAGAGAAACACCTCTCAGGATGTAGAAGTAACCCCCAGCAACCCCCATAAACAGTATGACCAAACTGTAGCACTAGAACTACAAAAAATGTGGGGGGATGAAAGAATTAGTTCTAATTCCTCAACCTTCCAGACCAAACAGCCTCTGACTCTGAACAGCTCCACACAGTTCACTTATTTTTCACAGTTTCATCTGCCACTATGGCAGTAAAGAATGTCTTTGCTTTCAAGAAATTAATTAAACCTAAAAAAACCCCAGCACCATAAACCCTGAAGGGTTCAGCATACTGAAAACACATACGTGAAGTGGTTATTGCATTATACACATACCTGGTAAAAGCAGGAGCAGGTCTGTAGTCCCCTAGCCAGCACAGGTGCCCTCCTTCTTGATTCAAGCTGGTGCCCCAGCATTCCCTCCACTCAGAGGGACAAATTTAACAAGTGACCTCTACACACACTTGCAGTCTCTCCATGATTGGTGCCAGCAATAACTCAGCCATCACCAGGATTCCCAGAATTACAGAGGCTCTGCTCCTCCAGCACAAAGGTGACTTTTCTTAATGAAAAAATGCCAACTGCCAATTACCTGTGCAAGAAGAGTCAGTCCTCTTCTTGGAGGCAAGCTCAGCAGAGAGCCATTTTCAGAGGTAAAGACAAAGAAGCCACAGAGTACCAGATGTTATTCTGTTGTCAGTCTGTAGCAGCAGGAACAAAGAAACAGCATTATCCCCCCTAACACAAGAACGTTCTCCTTCCCACTAGTAAAACAGACTTTTACAAAGTCACTGGTAAGGTACAGTGACATTTTAGCTAGAAGCTGCTGGAATTTTTAATGGTCAATCTGCTAGCTTTCTCCTGAACTTCACGTTAGTCTTCATGAACAGAAAATCCTTTGCATGGAAGATGATCAATATTTCTAAATCAAAAGCAACAGATGCAGATCTCCAAAGATATAACAACTTATTAATAAAGCAATGACTAAAGAGAAAAATAGCAAAGTTGAACAAAAAATTAACCCCTCAGTTTTTCCACATCCCAGGTGGTCTGTGCATACCCTTCATCTGAGCAATGAACAGGCAGTCCCCTCCCAAAAAAACCCCAGAAGATGTTTTATTTTTTAAAGTGTTGCAATACAACAAATACATGATCTGTACAAACGAAACGACAGGGCCAGTTTAAATACAATCAGGAGAAAGGAGTCCCCATATTCACAGTCCTCAGACAACATCTTCTACCAGAACCTGAATCAACAATTCAAGGATTCACTTAAAAAACAAACTAAAAAACCAAACCCACCCCAAACAAGTTAAAAAATTTAAAGGTCTCCAAAGAGTCTGTGGGTGTATTGTCTTACAGCAGAGCTCATGGGGCATTCTGTGAAGGGTCACAATGGCATCTTATTGCCCTCAATGCTGATTTTCACTGCATGGGCCGATCTGCTTTTTTTCCTGATATCTGTGAATTTCCGCATCTGTTTGTCCAGTCGACTCACCCCTTTCTTAGAGGTCCCCTGGAACTTAAAAAATAAAACTAATAATTACTACTGAAAAAAAGCAGACGCCCCAGAGGTCCAAGGCAAGCGGCACATGCGAGGTTGCATCTGGGCAAGGAGCTGGGGGAGCCACTGGGCCCAGCTGGCCTGTCTGTTCTCTTCCCACAAGGGGAAAATGCTTCCCCCCCCAGGACCCAGCTGGAGGCAGTGGCACTCACAGCCATCACAGTGCAGGGGCAATCACTGTATAGCTGGATACCCTTTGGAAGTTTTATATCTATTGGCTGGAGCTATGTCAGAACCACAGTGCGCCAGTGTCACCACTCTAGACTTCCTGCAGGAGAGTTACACACAGATACACTGTGACTAAGGCTGACACATCAATTCCACGCTGTCATTTATTTTAAAGGTCAGGGATTAGTATTTTGAAAGCAAGGGATTACTGAACAAAGGCAGTGTAGGGGGTAGCAAAAAGAAATGTCTAAGCTGACCACACAAGCTAGTGCAAGTTATTGCATTTCATCTCTGTATTTGAACTGCAAATGAAAACCAGGTGGCGCAACAGTTACTCTGCACAGATTAATAGTGATGGTGTGCTGAAACACCACTGAAGACAAACAGCAAGGACCTTCCAAGCCATAGCCAGTGCTTCCTAAAAGGCAATTTTCCTTAACTAGACAACAGAAACAGTAAGTGATGGAAACACGACACCTTTAAGTTTGGGAGAAACATTGATATTAAACACATGCTACTTAGTATCTGAAAAACACATCCATTAGAAACTTGTTCCCGTGGCTAAGGAAGGTGCTCCTGACATGCTGATTTCAAATAAGCTTTATTCATAAATCTGTTCACTATTCATTGAAATTACAGCTAAAATATCACAGTGATGTTTAAGAAAATATCTTTTTAAAAACAAATAAATATGAAGCTTAATATGAACTCAACAGATATCTATAATTTGTGCTCACCTCTTCCTGTCACTGTTAGCTTGTGGCAGCCCTGCTCACAGCACTGAAATTCAGACCAGGAATTGTCAAAACAATTCCCACATTGATGTAGGTTCTCCCAGCCCACACTCAGAGCAGAGGATTCTTCTCCCCCTGGTCTCATTCTGTAGCTCCCATCAACCATCCCTATTGTCTCACATCATTCTACTTCCTTGAACAAGCAGGTGTGAAAAACACCTCACTGTGCCCCAGTTAGAGGTCAGCCACAGACGCCAGCATGCAGTGACACGAGGTCCTGTACCAAGGGCTAAGAATTCCCATGTGTCACTTCAGGTGAATCTGGAAAACCTAATTGTGTCAAAACAGCATTCAAAACCACAGGTGGTGCAAAGCTGGTTTTGAGCACAGGTATTTTCACTGAATTCCTGTCATTTGGTACCCTGAAGCTGTGCAGGCAGGAGCCATGGCAGATGTTATGTGCTAGAGCCTGTTTTCTCCTGTACAAGTTCCCTTGTAGGTCACAGTACAGACACGAGAGAATTCAAGGAGAGTTTTCCAGGTGGAAGTTAGGGTGTACACACTCCTGTCCTGCATGTGCAAACTGCCAACAGCTGGAGCACATGCACTGTTCACACCTCCCTCAAGGGATACCTCTCCAACTTGGGAAGGCAGTGGTATGGCTACAGGGGCATCCTGTTGCCTTCAATGCTGAACTTGATGGCCCGATGCACTTTGCTGAGTCGTTTCTGTTCAGCAAACCGTCTCTTGTGTTTTTCCAAGCGACTAATACCTCTCTTAATAGTCCCGGGCTAGAAACAACATCTCAATTAATGGACAGAAGGAGAAAGAACAGCAGACAGCACAGCAATTGTTACTTCTTCCACTTACACATATTCTACCACATATACCCCTTTTAAATGAAACTGTATGAGCGGATGGATGAAGACAAAACAACACAAAGGCCTCCACTGAAGCTGTTCACGTTTACCAAAACCTCAAAGGTTTCCCAAACTGGAATATTATCAGAACATGATACAAAAGCTGGGAGAAGTATAAAAGCATCAGTGCAGTGACACAGGTACTGAACTGCACCCTTAGCTCAATATGCTTTAGAGCAGGAGGCCTGTAATCAGATTCTCACCTGAGAGAAAAATTCTAGAAAAGTTAACTCAAAATCTCTTTTTTGGTCAGAGATATTTTCCTGTGAAAACATGTGATGAGCTTAGAGCACCTACTTACTGGAGAGTTTACTGTTCACACTCACTACAAGAGCCCCTTAAAAGAACTACCCTCCTGTGCAGTAACCATGGTGATATGGTGATAGAATCCCAGGCTCAGGAACAGTCGCCAGGACGTTGCCAGTGCTTACCCTGGAGGACTCCATCTCCACATTCCACTTGGGCCTGACCACGTAGTCTTTGTTGGAGGGCATTGGCACCCTCGCACGGGCACAGAACCCAGGGTCCCCAGGCCTGAGAGCCCTATGGAAAAAAAAGGATGTGACTTACGGACAAATCTTATCCAGAAAGAAGTAAAAGCACCCAGTGTGCTCTCCTCTGAAACACACTGCATACCACTGCCTCTAAAACCTCTACACAAATTCCACAGTGGTAGTGCCACTAATATACTTCACAAAAAATAAAATAAAAACAAAACAAAAAAATCCAACCTACTTTTCTTCTCCTGTTAACACTTTCTCCAGGTCCCTGCGGGGAGTCTGACCACCAGAGCTGCAAGAAAAATAAATATTTACAAGCATGCATACACAGGGAAAAAAATTTAAAAGACCATCAAGTATGTTAAAAGAAAAGAGACCATAACTTACTACCCTTTTATTTCCTTTAGTATTCAAACACCACTTGGTTTCTCATGACGGAGTCTTAGACGGATTTAATGTTTCTGCCTGCTACTCCTACCTGCTCATTTTCCTTCGATGAGGCATCTGCTCCAAATCTCTTTGCTCCCTCTCTTCTCTGGTCATGCCTTTGTAGTTTGAGGTAAGGCCGAAGATGGGTCGAGACCATTCATCTATTAAAAACATGATTAGTTAACGATGACCAGGCCTTTGTTTCTCTCAAACCACTCTGGTGATCAAGTACAGCTTTTGAAAGTTTGTGGCAAGTATTTACGTTTCCTTTCAACCAAATGATTTTTGAGCCCTTAGTATTTAATGGAAAAACAGCCTTGTGAACAGATAGCAAGAGCTTTCATCCCCAAAGTCTCTTTGTTGCCTGCTCTTTTAGAACATCTCCAAGCTCTCAGTGCCAGGAGCTCCTGCACAACCCAGGAATGCTATTTTATAAGTATGCAGAAAAGTTCCCAAAGAACTTAAGTTTATCCTCAGTCTGCAGCCATTCTGGAAGGAATGCACTCCACATGGAGTTCAGCTGGTTGAGTAGTAAACATTCAGTCAGCCAAGTTCTCTCTGAAGTCCATGAAACAAACAAACCTCTGGCAGCACCTTCCTGTCTTTGCAGCATATACACAAGATGTGGACAATGAGCCAAGAGAGAACTGAGGCAAAACAAATGCCATCCTCTGGTTTAAGACAATGAAACAGGTGCATTGCAGAAGTTAATGTAACAGTGTTTGTTCAGAGCTCTATAAAGTTATGAAACAGATCAGTGACGTTCCTACATTGCAGAATCTATTCTACAGACAGCAGTAGTGCATCAGAAACTGATGCAGAAGTTCCATTCATCATCAGTGGAATCTCAGACAAGGCACAGGCAGGTGTACGTACTGATCAGCTTCCCAGCCATGTCCTTGTTCGGTCTCGACTCCTTGGGGTGTTTGTACAGGTACATCACAGCCCGTCCAATGCCGCTGTGCTTCAGGGTCTCTTGGCTCACACTGGGCAGCTGAAGAGAAAAGTCAGAAAACAGCAATAAATTATGTCTGAACATTAACGGTGTCACTGAAATTTGCAAAAAGATCAAAACTCACCCGTCACTTAAATCAGCTTGGAAAAATTAATGTTTTCATTGTCCCGCTAGGAATTGTTTAAGGTATCAAACACCTAAATCTAGAAATTTGCCATAACATTCTTGGGTTTATACACAAAATTAGGTAGCTTTCTAGAACTTTTTGCTCCAAATGCTATTTACCTTATATTACCCCAAAACCATGCTACTGCCTTCAAATCATTCATTCTTGAAAGATAAAAACTTAAATGGCAGACACTCAAGCAATCACTTTAGCCACAGATACTGAAAGCCTACACTGAATGTGAGGGGCCTTCCTGTGCACTGCACACTTTAACAGAACAGAAAAGAGAAGGGACCACAAGGGAAGAAAATTCAGGGATGCACAGTAAGTAACTCATCACTTAAATCTGGATATAAACCTAAAACAGGCAGGCAGAGCCTGTTTAAGAATAATCTAAATTCTTTTACACAGGCACATCTGTTGTGCAGGTTACTTCCTTGTGTTTCACTGCACAGCCCATTGGTAGCAGCTGCAGTTCATTTATCACCTCACATTTCCCTAAAACATATGACTGTAAAACTGTGGAGAAGCCCCAAATCAAATGTGGTTAAAAATCAGTTCCAAACCTCTTGCAGGATCTTCAGAAGCTCCTCTCTTATCTTTAGTGCTGGCAGACTTCGGTCTGGAAGAGGAGAAAGCCACTCTTTGATGGCAGACATAACACCACTGTCGATGAAAGTTTCTTTGAGGTCCTGCCTAAATGGTTTAAAGAGAAGCCCAAAAGTCATGAAATACAGCAAAATCTTAAGATGTGCTGTTCCTTCAGGAAAATGGCACATTTGAGTTTGTTTCATGTTAAATTAAGAGGGAAAATTACATATAATTTTAGGTTTTTGAGGTCACCTAGCTTCAGCATTTACTTGGAATAAAAAGTGTTTTACTGCATATTCAGTACAGCTGTACTGTAACTCCATGAAATCTTATGAATTCTGACTATTTCCCAAGGTTACAGTTAACTGGAAGAATGACAACTCACTTTTTAAGATGCATAACTACAGTTGGTAACAAAGTTAATTTCTTTAGTGCTGGTTTCTTTTGTGTATTCAGCTGACGATCCTCCTGTAGAGTTGAAGAATCAGCAAGAGTTAATCAAAGAAAGAAATGAGCAACTCCCATTCTTTGCAACACTTACAAGAAAGTCTATAAAACTAAAAGTGCAACTTTGGTGGGATTACACTAACTTTGTCCCCTGCTCCAAAGCTCACAAACAATTATGCAACAGTTTCTCTGAGAAAAGGGGAATCACTTTAGTCAGTATTTCCCACAAAAGCATCACATTAGTGGAGTGCTCCTAAATTTACATTTTTTTTCCAGTTTATAACTTAGATTGACTACAGTAACTGAAGGTCCTCTATACTGTGCATAGATAACACTTCATTAGTAAAGCCTCACCTGAAATACAAAGCTGCTAAGCAGAAAAATGGGAAGGGAGAACATGTTTTTTTCAACTCTGTCATTTCAAAATTACTTTCATCCAAGGTCTGACTGTCACTGTTCAGTCCTTGTCTCCCGTATCAAAGGCACCCGTTGCAATCCACAGATTTCTGACCAGCTATGGTAATTCCTTTCTACTAGTCCTAATCCACTGAAGGCTCTTTCTGTGCAATGTTTGTTTTATTGCAAGGGAGGAGATATCTTCCAATGCATTGTTTTCCTCTTCCTGCCCCTGTATTTCAAAATTTGCCAGTTCATTCAAAACATCTGGCTATCATCTTGTTTGAGAAAGGCTTTCCTGTCAAGCCCAAGAAGTTTCAGTTGACTTCCAGACTGCATTCTCACTCTCCCCATCTTTCTGAACTCATTATCCTTCTGATCTTGTTCTCAGGAAGGTTTTTTTATTGTTGCTATTTGTAAAGCTCCTCTTTCTAAAGTCCTGTATATCCCTCAATTGGTTTTAATGTGTTTCACTGTGCTGTTTATTAATTTGATTACTACTCCAACAAAACAGATGACACCTGACAAAAGGCAAGACCCAAAAAAAACTTCCACAGTAACATATTAAACCTTTTTCCGAGAAAAAGGCAGGCTGTCAAGACAGAAGGTCCCATGAATCTGTTACTCTGACATCATTACCACAGCACTGTCATTCAAACAGTTTGGAAAAGGGCTCTTCACAGGAACAAGTACCAAAGTATGACACATGCCAATAACACTATAATGAAATTAAAGCACAGTCCATTTCTCAGTATTTAACATACTTCTAGGTAGTTTATAGAGCACCTATATATCCCTTTTTATAGAAGTTAATCGCAACTGATCGAAGTTCAGTTTTTAGTTTTTAAAATTAGTATTTTATCAAGATTTCAACAGAATAAATGTTTTCATTTAGAAGAGCAAACTAACATATAAATGCTTATATAGACATTAGAAGCTTTCCATTGTGTACACATTACTCTTGCTGAATACAAGCCAGATTTTTGTATCTTACTAATCACACGGTTTTCCCATAGAAGGGAATTGAATTTTAAGGTGCCTTTGGAGCCTGGAAAACTCACCTCAGCAGCTTCATTCATCTTCACAATCATGGCACTGACCACATCATCTGCGTCACTGATGAAAGTTCCCCCATCGCGGTTCCGCCTGCGCTTGCCGCTCATGCTCTTCTTCCGCTGCAGCATCATGTCAAAATCTGACATGAAGTCCATGCTGAAACAACCACAGGATTAGCTGATGGTCCCTGGTAGGAAATAGTTTTGTGTTTTTGTAGTGTACAAACACTGTCTCTCAAGGTCCCTGTGAGATAATTAATTATCTTCAGTATGCAGGACTAGTAGAGGGCTAGCAATGGCTCCCAGACACCCTCAGACCCTGCATTTATAATACTCAACATGTGCACACCTGTAATATCCAGTGTCCATAATGCCCTTTCACCAGAATCTGGCATTAAGAAAGGAATAGCTAACACAATGACTTACTGCTTCCCTCTTTTGATGTTATCATCAGAGTCTGATTCATCTGCTGTCTCCTTCATGTCTCCATCACCTTTCTCTTCCTCCAAATCCTCTTGGTTAAAACCCTGATGAGTACAGATAGTGCAAATGAGTGAATGGATCAGGATTGAGCATCTACTCAGGTACCTGACACTAAAAAAGCTTCAGAGGATCTAGAAAGATGAACAGTCTTTTTAATTCCCCCTGTGACTAGTGTCACACCAACAACTCTCCCAAAAGATGAGCTGTAAATGTTATTCAACCCAAAGGCTACCTCAGTGAGTCTGGCAGATACAAAACTGACCTAATGCAACATTTACATTATCTTCAGATCTAGCAAGTCAACAGGAGACCTCCACAGTAACACCTACCGTAAATTCTTCCTCTTCCTCATCACCAGATTCTCCAAATATATCTGCAATCAGGTTCCTGTGAAAGTAACAGCAACATTTATCTGTTTGGACTACAATGAGATGTACCTTTTCTACAAAATCTCTGATGACTCGTAAAGATCTCCCTTTTGTTCTGTCTCCTTCTACTGACCTTTCTCTTCATGCCACCAATGAAGGTGAACAGTCATTCTCTAGTTGGGACTTATCTGTTTTCCATTCAGCATCACTCCCACTGTCTGCAACCCCGAAAGAATTCAAATTCTTTCGCACTTACTCTTGTTCATTTCCAGATTCACTGTCACTGCCAAACAGATCTTTCCCTTTTTTCTTCCCAGCATTGTCTTTTCCTTCTTCTTCTTCCTCCTCCTCACTATCGGATACAACATTTTTCTTCCTTTTGTCAGATTTCTCTGAAGCAGCGTCACTATCCGATTCTTCAACATCGGAAAGGATTCGTACCTTTTTTGCAGCTGCCAGCAGAAAGGAGCATTACTACATGTCCCAGTAACAAGAGGGGACAACTGTTACTTTCAAATTATTCTGACTAGTCTTTCTACAGCAGACTACTGTCATTTCTTAAAAAGCATATCCATTCTGAAGTGTTTTATTCAATCAGCAACTGGAGCTTCCATACACAACCATCTACCCACAAAAAAATTGTAATTTCAAATCTCTCACCCGCAGTATATGAAAAAAAACACACAGGAAAAAATTACTAGAGAAACAGCAACAAAGTAGTAAAATAACAAACTACCATGTCAACAGATGCCACTTAGATCCCTACAGTCTTCTGTCAGATTGCTTATTACTCTTCAGTACTAGATACACATTCACACAGCAAAACAGTCAGAACAGCCTCTACAAATGCAGTTCTGCTCCAAAACCAAGTCTGATTTATGGTTTCTTTCCTTAGAAGCTTTATTCACATAAAAGTAATGATTTAACTTTCACACCACTGCCTGCCACATCACGCTTTCACAGTATAGTTTCTTACGTGTTTTCTCACTGTCATCCTCACTATCAGAAAGGATGGCTGTTTTCCTCTTCACCGTCTTTTCTTCCTCTTTCTCATCTTCATCACTGTCTGATATTTTACGTCTCTTAGGAGCTTCGTCTTCACTGTCAGAGCCCTGAAATCCTTTCCTTACATGTTCATTATCTGAATGATGAGAGTCATTCTGCACCTTTTCTTTCCTGTCCTCCCCATCGCTATCTTCAGACTCTATCTGCTTGTGTCTGGACACATCCTCGCTCTCCGAGTCGCTGGCTGGCTGCTTCTGAAGCTCCTCGCTTTCAGAATCACTGGCTGGCTGCTTCTGGAGCTCCTCGCTCTCGGAGTCACTGGCTGGCTGCTTCTGGAGCTCCTCGCTCTCGGAGTCACTGGCTGGCTGTTTGTGGGATTCCTCATTTTCAAAATCACTGCTGTGATCCCTTGGAGGGTCTCCATTGTCAGAATCACTTGCTCGATGATTTAAAGCCTCTTCATTTTCAGAGTCACTTAAATGTCGGTTTGGATGATCCTCAGTATCAGAATCACTGTCTTTCCCTCCATGAGTTGCTTCATTTTCTGAATCACTTACATTGTGATTTGCGGGATCCTCATTATCTGAGTCACTTTCTTTTTGCCTTGGGATATCTTCATTTTCAGAGTCTGTCATATGAGGCTCTCCCATTTGCCCATCATCTTCTCCACCACTGTGTTCATTCTGAAACAGAAAAATAATCTCAGACAACTAAGCAAAAACACCTTAAAAAGTAAAGAAAAAAATGTTCTGAATTTTTGCTTGTCCTTCCTCCAATTTGGTTACCCAACGTGCTGCGAACTGAAATAATTTCTATGTAGAAATAATTAGACAATTTGCATCAAAAGACTATTAAATACTTCACATCAAAAAAAGTATTAAGAGATCAACGGAAGTATGTCCATCCTGCAGCTCCATGGTATTTTGAAAACAGTAACGGAATTCATACAACACTTAAATAAGCACGTCTAAGAAGGGTCCAGTTGCTCAAGGGTAAAGGCTTAGTATTTATTTTAATAGGTCAGGCTTTCAAAGTGGTTTAGCTGAAGTTCCCAGTAACAAAGCAAGAAAAGAATATCTTGCATTTGTCATTTTATTTTCCTGAAGACCTCAAGCAGATGTTTTTTGTGTGAAATACATCTTACTGAAACAGCACATGCATTCTGCTCAAATGAAGATAGCACCTGCTCCTTCTTTGTCCAGGAAGCCTATTTAAGAACAACTAAAGACCAAAAGCCTAGCAAAAAACAAGAATAAAGTTTTAGTCAGACATAAAGGTTTTATTACCTGTCTCAAAGGTTTTATTACCTTTGAGTGTCATTTCAGGGTACTATTGTTAACAAGTTTTGTGTTTCTGTGTGCAAGAACAGATTCAACAATTCTCTCCCCTAAGCTGATAGCTCCCATACTTATCTAGACACCCAATATAATTCATGCACAAACACACACCCACGTGACAATGTTAGAACTGAAACAATTCTTTGACTTTTCCACACAGCAAAAAATACTGAGCCACAGCTCTGTTTTTAAAAGAACCACTCACAAGCCAACTTGCTAAGTATAATTACTGACAGCATCATCTTTTATCTTTCTATCATCTAATTTCTACTTGGAAAAAAATCTCAATTGTGTTTACCTGAAAATATGAAATTAGATTCTTGAACACTCATTCCATTAATTCAGTTCTCACAGCTACTGTCACCATAATACTCTTCAGCTGAAAAGTTCCTTGTACAAGGAACTTCTCTTTTCCATACTCAACTCAAAGCCTCAGTAAGGCTTTCCTCAGTCATTTTGTCTCAGCTATAAACTTCTTCTACTTGCAAATGGAGTATTTATTGTCCTAGGAGATGCTTTAAGACCTTTATGTCCTGAAGTTTCCAAATCTCTTTTTTTCCTCCAGTTCAATTTCCTTGGAAACAGACTATATATTTTTATTTTCTGTAGTCATTCTACTCCCACATTCAGAGGCATAGAAAAAGTAGGTGTAGTACCTACAACACAGAATACTATCCATCTTTAAAATGCATGAGGCAGGAAGAGTTTTAAATAAAATTAATTTTAAATGCTTTTAGGAACTACTTCCTCCATAATTATTCTAAGTGGCAAAGAGCATTGCTTTTTAAGACTTTGGACTTTATATACTTACTCCTTTGGCTAACACTTGATAAAGATCTTCTAAATTACTACAGAATGACTAACAAAGTCACTGAACAATGAAGATAAACCCCATGACCATGCAATTTTAAAACATGCACTTCAAATTCTACTTCACTATTTCCATGTTTCTTAATGCTAACTACAAATAGCTGCTGTGACAATCTGAGTTGTTTTCTCTCTGTTGCTTGTTTCTGTTTCAGTGATGCATCTTTTGAATCTTTTGTAGCCAGTAATTCTCATTTCTCCTCACAGAAAGCAAACATTGTTCTGTTAAAACTTGAATCTGGAATTTTAAAGCATTAAATATTAATATTAGGAAGTGACAGAATAGAGGATGTACACTCAACTACTCTCAGCTTGTTACTGTTTTTTTTCCCTTACCAAAAAATCACTTTGATTGCCCCTCTCCTGCCTAGTATGTTCCACATAAACCAATCACAGGTCTATGTAATGGATCTTCCTTGGCCATATTACTTTAGACGAAAGAAAACTGCAGCTGGAAACAGAACAGAAAGCAGATTCCACAGCAGTTACAGGTAAGGTTGTTGAGAAACACTGAAATCAAATTGGTATCTATAGTAACAAAAATTATTTTATTATAATCCTTGTTTTTCTACCATTTTATTTTGGTGGGTTTGTCTGTCTTCTCTTAATGTCAGATGGTGAATGCTGCATAGTACTGATAATTATATTAGCAGCAATAAAAGGATTTTGCTAAACAAACCCAAGAAAATTAATAAAAATACTCCTTTAAGATATCAGGACCATCATCTTCCCAGCTTCTGGTTTAGACATTATTTGGTGAACAAATAAACAAAAATAAGAAGCAACTAGAATCAGTAATGATTCTTAGTATTTCTAAGGTCAGAAGTGTGTCTCTAGGTTATATATGCACTGGTTCAGAATTAACCACTAAATTACAAAGAACTTACGCAAAAGCTTGGTGAGAAGACACTGTAATTACAAAGCATTACTGCTGAAGATTTTTACAAGACCCTGAACCTTTAATCTGTTACTGCAAACAGACAATCACTCCTGAGAATGAAGATGTTTGGTGAGGGAGAGCAGACCCACAGCTGGAAGACTCACCCAGTGGTCACAGCAGCTCAACTGCTGCAGTGTGACCACCTGAAGCAGCAGCCCCCCCAGCAGCACAGGTGTCCCTGCACACCCTGGGCACACAGAGGCAGCACCTCCTCTAGCCCAGTGTGGAAAGCTGAGCCAGACAGCTCCACCATGTCAGTGTCTGTGTCAGTGAGTGCAGCACTGCCCCAGAGCCCCCCACCATCATCACAATGCACCTTCTGCAGCAGAGCTGACACCCTGCACAGGGAAGGACCTGCCCACAGCACAAGAGGCTTCTGCATGCAATTAATGAATCTGCGAGTTCTGGAATATAATTGATATAAAAAGTGACCAACTTCCCAATAAATGACAAAAAGCTGCTGGATATGTTTGATAGTCTTTACCTTCCCTTTTTATTAGTTTACCTCTAAAAAACTGTTTTCAAAGAAAAGAAAGATTTTTGAGTTTTCTAGTTTTCCTTTTCCAAATGCTTGACTGAAAGATCAGACATCCTCAAAACTGAGTAGGTCTCAGGTAATTGCTACTGCATTTTTCTCTAATTCCTTTGCTTTCTTTTCTTCCTCCTCTTTATCTATAAACATTTTAATTGAGATGTCCTTAATTTTTTTTAATTAATAAGTTCTATAACATGAGGCTTTAGTACAGTATAAAATAAGGAATATATTAAAATCAAATTTACAGTGTTACACTTCTACATAAAAATTACAGCTACCGAGCAGTTTGTTGGATCAACATGCAGCTACTTTTAAGAGTTACTTCTTCAATAATTCAGTAACTCCAACAAAACTGAACCCATCCACTACAATCTCATGAAAGGTGAGTGCTAAACTAAGACCTACACAACCATCATGGGCAGATCAGCAAGTTCTTCCTTTTTTTCAGAAGTGTCCCATATTTGTGTTTGTTAACAGTCACAGTTTAACCACAACTTAATTCATGAAACAGCAGCAACTTGGTGGAAGTGTGAGAAATAAGTTATTACAGATTTCTGTATAAGCCTGACTTGGACAAACACTGTAAACGTGATTTCAGATTCATTACTGTACTAAAACTAATTCTAATTGTCTAAAGCAGAATCAGTAAGGACATCAAGGAGAACATTTATAGATAAAGTGGGATTGGGGGAAGGAAAGCCAGAAAAGAATTGTGGAAAAGAAAAACCCACATACCTGAGACCTACATAAGTAATTCCTCAGGATTCCCCTTTTCTTTAAAGTTAAGAACCTGAAAGAAAAGTTTGAAATTTTAAAACTTTAGTTCTTTATATCTGAGTTCTAAATTAGAGACAAAATAGTAATTAAATAGACTTAACTGATTAGGCTGTCTCAAAGGTTTTATTACCTTTGAGTGTCATTTCTCCCACATACTCCTGAAGATGAAGAAAATAAGAGGATGAGAGAATATTTAGAGTAAAAAATATTACAAATGACTGAAAGCTACTCCTTTCAGAGATGGCTGCTCCACATTACAGCCTTTTGAGTACTAAGTGAACTCAATGGAGGGAAAGAAAAATTAAGACTTTATAGCAAAACAATATATTCAAATTTTGATTTGAGCTGAATCAAATAAAGCATTAAGCCTTGACAGCTCACATCTAGTATTGGTCAGAAAGGTGGCTTAGCTTGGCTCTTTTCTTTTAATTTACTTTCTGAAGTATTTTACCTATAGAGGAATATTCAACGGCCATCACAGAACAAAGTCTTTAAAATAATGCAGCATATGAAGAGGGCCAGTTAACAACGGTAACTGGTACTTTCTGTTCACCTAAATTGGAAGAGGCCATGCTGCAGATGTAAACAACAGTCAACTTCCCTGCCACAGTAAGTAAAATTAAAATCTCAGAGAAGAAAAGTAAGAACCAATGATCAAACATAAACCATAGACATAGTAGAAAAAGTTTAATATCATTGTAGCAGCATCATGACTTCACACACTGATCACACTTCTCTTTCATTAAAAAAGAAGTACTAAATCCCTCCAGATACTTGTTTTTCCCACGCTGAGAAATGTGTTTCCCACCACACTGAAATTGCAACTGTCACAATGACAGATGCTGCCTCACCAAAGCTATTTCTTCCCTTGGAAATATCAACACCTTTCAGAAAAAATAAATTCCAAATGTGCTTTAATTAAGTTCAAATACATGGGAAGAACTTTCATTTACAAAAATACAAAATCTTCATACACTTTGTAACTCTAAGGGAAGTATGAATCCAATAAAGGCAGGGAGAAAAAAAAGAATAAAAAGTAGGGACTGCAAGTTATACCACAGTGGAGTCAAGCCTTCACTCACATCAGCCTTTGTCGCATTTTAAGTAGTTTCTAAAATGTGTGACACTGAAAACCCAGTCAGAGTTAGTCCTGATTTTTACATAAAATACAGTAGAATACACAGAATACTATGAAATGGCTTTGATTTCAATTTTTGTAAGTATCAAAAAGTTCTCTGTAACTCTTCTGGGTAGAAGACCTGAATTCACAGGCCAAAATTATTTGTTCCGACTAAGACCTAATGTAACTTTATTCTGAGTCACAAACAATTATTAAAAATTAAATCCCAAATTAATTAATTAAAAAAAAAATTAATTCCCACACTGTCCTAGAAGTCTAAAGGGAGCCTTCTCTTCTACCATAATCTCTTCTTAGCCCAGTCAATCCACAAATGAAGTGACTCTGCCCCAGAAACAACCTTAGACCAAAGCCTTTCTATACTGAATACTTCTCCAAGTGGGAATCACTTCGGAGGAAAAACAGGTCCCATCCAGGAACCTTAATCTGCTCCACATGCACACCTGCTCCTTTGTGAATGACAAGGTGAAAACCAGCACAAAGCAGACTCAAGAGTCAGTGCCCCCATCTGACACAGAAGCTGGGAGAGCATTTATTCTCCATCAAGGAAACCTACACCTCCAAAGTGTGTGGTTTTACATTACTGTGCAGAATTTCAGGTACCACTTCAAATACCTCGTAATCCATCTCTTACCCTTTCAAACTCCAAAATTTTATCTTTGTGAAACTGAGACCAATCAAGTACAACTTACTCAAGCTCAGAACAGTGTGTGCTATCAAACAAGAAGGAAAAAACCAAACAAAAACCCTAAGCCAACATACTTGTCAAGAGACTATCCAACACTTTTTTTATGAAAATAAAAGTTTTGCCCGATGGAACCCTTAAGAGGAACTGAATAAACACATATGTCTTGGTTAAGAGAGAATGCCACTTTAAACAACAGCAAAAAATAATTCAGAGCGTAAATTTTATCTAGATAAAGCTCCCTTAGTACCTCTGAATGGTGCCCTACACTTCCATTCTCCGATCCAGAGTGTTGTTCGTTTCCTTCATCTTCCACATCAGATCCTGAGTCTCGCTCGTCTTGCACTGGAGTAGCTCCTCCATCATCTATTCCGAGATTAAAGAAAATAAAGTAAAACTCAGCGTTTAAAGGAACCGCACAGGAAGCCGGCGGGCTCCTGCTCTAACGGGGCAGGGAAACGGGGCTGTCCGAGCACACCACCCCAGACACCCCCGCACAAATCCTCCCATATCACGCGGGCAGCGTGATGCACTGCCCAGACACCGGACTGTTGAAGCAATTAACGCCGTGCTGCCCTCAGGCCAAGGCCCCACCGCTGTCCCCCCGAACCCGGCGGGCCCTGCCGTGCGCGACGCCCTCCCCGGAGGCTCCTGCACCCCGCTCCACTACCTGACTGCTCCCCGCCGTAGTAGTGGGTGTCCATGCCGGGCCCCGCGGTGGCGGCGGGCGCTGCCCTGGGCGCTCCCTCAGCGCAGGCCCGGCCCGGCCCCGCCGCCTCGCACAGGAACAAGATGGCGCCTCCCCGCCCGGCAGCACCCCCGCCCCGCGCGCACGGCGCGCCGGATCTCGCGAGACTCCCGGGGCAGCGGCCGCCAGGGGCCGTTGCACACTCACAGCCGGCCCCGCCCTGTGGGCTGGGGTTCGAGCACAACAAACCGAGCAACATTTTGTCCTCTGCTTTTGCTCCCCCGCCCTTCCCCTCATTAGAATATGGATGAATTTCAGCTGGATAGCTGAAGCGCTGGGGAAGCTGAAGGAGCCTTGGAGCATAAAATGCTATTTGTAGCCCCTGGGTGACCACGGCAGTGCTCAGCTGCAGGGTGACATGGCTGTGATCCTGGCAAAGGTGTTGCCTTTTCTGAGCCCTGCGGGAATTTCCGGGAGACCAAACCAACCCCTAACACTCCTAATGGCTGCTTGGAACCACAGCCCCGAGCTACGGGAGAGTTCCCAAAAATCTCCCTTCTGCCAGAAAAGGGCCATCTGGTGCCATGCTTCCCACAGTGATTACGGGTGGGAGATCTGGAGTGGGATATAGAGCAGAAAAGATTTTGCCATTTAAATAATAGGTCAATGTATCTGCTCTTTACAAGCCAAGTCGGCAGGATTAACGTGCATCTCCACAAGAAGGTGGCAAAGCAGAGCCGGAGCTCAGGCACACGCTCACAAGTGGGGTTGGCAGTGCTCATGTTCACAGTTGGCTGGAAGGGGACCCACCATGGCCATGGAAAGGAAGGACAGGTTCTCTCAGCAAATTTAAGCCTGGCTGTCCTGACTGAAGCTCCAGTTCAATCTAGTCCATGCGTGGGTGGTTCCTTCAGATTTAGCCTTTCAGGATTGACTGAAAATTCACCCGGAGCTCCCGGGGGGTGACTTCCGGAGTAAACGTGGGCAGGGCAAAACAATGCTCGTATTTTTCAGGGCTTGTTGTGTTCTGTTTCAATAGCCCCTATCCTCTGAGTAGTAGCATTACTCAAGTATTGGCATGCCCATGATATGCTAGTTGAGATTTATTAGGGATGGCTGCTGTCATTTATGCAGCATTTCAAAATGATGAGTCTAATAAATGTGTATGGTGCTGGTGTCCTGCCTCTCTGTCTGTCATAACACCACATTGATTTTCTAGGGAAATACAGGTCAATATGAGATAGAAAACTGCTGTGTGTGTCATTTGGTGTATTTCTGAACAACAGTGACTTTAATAATTCTGCAGGTCTGACCCTTGTTCAGAGTCATCAAAATTAAGTAAGTTGAATATTTGGGGCAAAATTAGTCTATTTCTTCTGTACTAGAAGGACCTTGGAGTGGATGGCAGAGAAGTTAAGCCATTATTAGCCAACACTTTCTGTCCAGCAGCAAGCACAGTTTCATGCAGAGCATTCAGTGTACCAGGCTAAACACAGCTGAACTCTCAGGACTGAGTCATTACTCAACATTTTCTACAGCAAAACACTTAGAAGGAGAAATTGGCCGTGGAGTCAGATGTTTCTTGGATACAACCCAAAATTCTTAGCAAAAATGCCGAAAACCTTTTTTTTTTTTTCCCTGAAAGAAGCTTTCATAAAGCACAGATAATAACTCTTTGTTTACAGCTCTACTGGTCTTTTCCAGATAGCCTCAAAGACACTTAAGTGAGTCTCAGGACCATGCTTTTAATGGTATCATGTCCTTTTTTCCTACTCCTATATGATTTTTACTTCTTTTAGGTCTTTGCACTGTGTGGTTTCACTGAGATCTTTTTTGGAAGGAGCAGGCACATGTGGAAGTTTGTGATAGGAGTCTCCTGTCATTGCAATTCTTTGACTTCCATAAAGAAATTGAATGACTTTACACAACTGACTAAATAGCAGGTAGGATGACAACTTTACAACACAACAAATAAAGGAATAAGGAAATAACTTGATGTAACAGAAAATAATGGACAAGGGAAAACATAAATAGAAACTAACAAAAAATCCCAGAAAACCTCTGTTGAATAATGTGTAACAAGGTACCTAGAAATTGTACCAGGCTGCCTAGAAAACACAGAAATCTATCCCATACTAAAGTTCCAAGAGGATCAGAGTATGATGATAATCCACCTTGGAAATTAGCACTTTATAGATATGTGTCGTGTTCTGCAGTGATAGTCAGCCACTGTCCCAAATTCCAGATGCACTGAGGCAGCACTGATGAAAAAATAGAGATTTTGTGCATTTACTGAGTGGAAGGAGGCACAGAGATTTCTTCCTAATAGTTATGAATTCCCATCTTTCTGAAATGAAACCTCCTAACCTACTTGTGACATGCCATATGCATCACACAAGGGAGGGAGCACTGTGTCTGAAACAACCTCACCTCATCAATGCTGAATAACTAGGCATCCATTCCAGCCCTTGCTCTGCAGGTAACGTGTGTGTGCACACCAACGTGCACAAGCCTTTGTTCCTCATGAGCCAGAGCTTGGCACATATCAGACTGTAATATATTCTTTTAATACCATCCTGGCAGCTTCCCAAAAGGAAGTGACAGGCAGACCGTAATGGGATTGCACAGTGGGGGAGAATGACCTGTCTTCTACCAAGCAGCGTAAGCAGCGCCCACTTGGCATGTGTGAAGGTGTGTAATGACACAGATCCCAGAACCCTGCCAGTTTGCCTCACTGTGCAACTCCATGAACTGGCTGGAATGAAATAAGCCTTTCCCTGAAGAACAGAATGCTCAAGAAAACCATGCGATGCACTTGGAAATCCTTTAATGGTATGTACTTCTTATTTAGTTCACTTTGTTCTCTGCACTGGCCCTTTCAGAGTTAACAGACATCAGTGACTTAGAGCTACAAATCTGCTTAGAGGAAGGGAAGGAGGTTAGTGTGGGCAAGAGGACTGCTGAATGAACAGTTTAAATTGCAAATTGTTACACCCAATTCATCTCGCTTCAGAAACCTGAGAGAAGTAACTAGTTAAACATAAAATTATGTTTGGTATCCAGGACTTGGTGATGCAGAAATGACAAGGCCACTTTGATTTAGCTGGAGAGAAAATAGGAAAGGTAGTGCCATGTGCAAACTAAACCCTTTGATCCTGACATCAATCTTTTAATTAGGAAGGTGTCGGGAAGAGGCAGTTTCGTTAACACATATCTCTCTGGACAGACCTATTGCTTTGAACAACAGCAGGATTAAATTCACCAGGTTTCATCCAATTTTATTTTGTTGCTTTTCTCGGTGCAGCATTCATCATAGAATCACAGAACGGTTTGGATTGGAAGGGACCTTAAAGCTCATCCCAGTTCCACCACAGCAGGGGCACCTTCCACTATCCCAGGTTGCTCCAAGCCCTGTCCAACTTGGCCTTGGACACTTCCAGGGATGGGGTAGCTGCAGCTTCTCTGGGCAGCCTGTGCCAGTGTCTTGCTACATACTTAATAAATTTTTGAGCTTTATTACTTAAGATGTGACATCACAGTCTTCCCCATCAGCAATTTGATTAAAGGAAAGGTTACAACAATTAACCAGCATAGACCATGCAACAGGTTACCTCTAATTACCACTACAAATGTTCCTGTGCCCTGCACAGTCCCTCACCAAACTCTGTGTTCAGCAGCACATCACATTGTTCATTCCTGGCAAGTTCTTCTGCTGGCATTCCCCAAAGCCCAAATCTGAGCTGTCTCTGTGCACACACAGGGCCTTCTCTAGAGGCACCTTTAGCCTGCTCATCTCTTGTTAGCTGTATATGCTGCACAGAGCATCTTGGCTGCTTCCCTTGGTATATCAAGTCCCTGCTCCCTCAGCTTTTGTTTTCTATCTCTGGAGTATGTCAGCTGTGGGAATCAATCTCCCTTCTAGTATATATTTCAGGTGTGCAATGAGTTGTACTTTTCTTTCAGATGGCCTCAATTTCCCTATGATTCCATCTAGTATAGTGTCTATAGGACATAAATCCTGTGCTTCTCTCTGAAGTAGCACAGGCACTGTGTCTTGGGCACAAGTGTTAACAACGTAGTTAATTTTAGTATAAGATTCTCTGCCCCCAAACAGGCTCCATTTGGAATTTCAGCAGGTATGTTTTGTTTGCTGAAGGAATATGCATGGCATTTTTTTGTCCAATTATGCAAAAAGCTTTGGGTTTAGATATCTGCCTTGGTAGTATAAAGGTATGTACTTTGATTTCTTTGCCACTATTTGACCTTTACCTAATAAAATCAGTACTTGGAATTTTGTTAATCACATACTGCATATAGACATCTAAAAACTGTATCAAAAGTAAGTCTGCTAAAGATCTACTTTGAGGCAAAATCTTTGAGTAGGAATGATTTGCACAGTTAGAAACTTGAAGAAAGCTCTCTGTGGCTGCTTCTCTCCAAAAGTCTCTGAACCCCAAAGGGCCTACATTTTATTTCTGCACCTGTATCTGCTGCTGTAAGACTTAAACAAAACTCAGGTAAGGAGGCTGACATTAAAACGCAAATATGTGGTGTTGATAAACATGCTACTCCCAACTATTCATTGCCATGCTTGAATACTAGCAGGGGGCCCATTATACTATGCAGCCACACTGAACCTAGGAAACAAGAAAATAAGAATTAGGGTATTAGGTATACTAGCACGTGCTCACAATTATTGCACATCTACATTTGCATGTTTAATAGTGGACACAGACTAGTGCACAGTGTTACACACAGGGCTCTGGAGGAAGGTGACAGCTGGGTTACGGTACATGGAAAAAATCTCATCTTCACTACTTGGGCTCATCATAAGGGTTGGAATGTGCTTGACTCCTGAGTTCTTGCTTTGGCTGGAGAAACCCCATATCTGCCTCTCTACAGATGTACTACACTTCTATTTCTTTCCCATACTGGAATTTAACCCAATTTTCAATAAAAAAAGAGATGACATATGGAGCCAACTAAAAGAGGAAAGCTCTTGGTAATTCTGTCCTGTTTTGGGAACAGAGAAGTGGACACATAGGGAGTTAACATGCACCTAGATTCTGGAACACAGGGACAGAGTTTGTTGAGAGATAAATTAATGATAGTGACAGGACATTTTGTCCCATTATATAGGTGTGTGAATGAGTTCCAGTTAAATGTGATGAGTTAATTTTGGTCTAAGCTCTAGGTACTGTGAAATACAGACCAGACAGGACACAGACTGACAGACATTTTCTAGCAGAAAAGAGCTATAGAAAACCAAGGGGAGGTTTTGATGAAGAGATGAGGGTCCGATTTTCTTCATACCTAACAGAGTGAGAGACAGTCCTAGGGAAGTCAGTCATGTTGGAGCAGGACAAGACCAGATGCTAAAGGGTTTTCTTCTGGAAGTGCTTCAGAAATCTGAAAGGATACAGGCCCAGTGGAGAGACTGAAGTTTAAGATTCACTCAGACAAGATACAGGCCCAGTGGAGAGACTGAAGTTTAAGATTCACTCAGACAAGAATTAGCCTTCATGCTCACTGGAACACCTGACCTGGAAGTGACATATGCACTGAACTGGGAGCAAAGTCCTATAATAAATAACTGTGCTTCAGTCATTTCCTCCTTTGTGCAGTGGAGAGCTGGCACTTAATGGCACCAGGGCAAATTTCACCTTCCTTTCCTTTCTTACTCCAATGCTTATGAAAAAGAGGGACCTGAGCTGCAAAAGCCACACAGTGAAGATTTCTTCTGGAGAGGTAAATTCCCATCCTGTGGGGTACGATTTGGTTTATGGTGCAGCATTACTTTGTCAAGAAAAGGAGCAGAGAGTGCCAGGCTTGGCCAGGAAGTGGCCATGCACCAGGTGCAGGGGGTGGCCACTTATGGCTTCTCTAGGAATAAGAATTTTAAATGCTGGAACTGCATATCCTGGGATTATATGGGATCTCATCCCTACACTTCTGCTCTTGGCTGCTGTCAGACCGGATCCGGAGCCAGCTGTCCCTTTGATGTGACACTGTATGGCTGTCTCTGTGCTTGCATCTGCCACTCCCTTCTTGTTCAGGGTCAACATTTCTACTCTTTTGCCATATTCTGGTTTCTGGTGCAGGTGAAAAAGTGCTTGTCAGTTGTGAATCACTGCCTGTGGCCCATCTTCAGCCTATGTTTGACAACCTGCACCATTCACAGCAACAGGCCATCTCAGTGTTGAAGCTGATATGTACGTCCCGCCTCTGAGTCCTGAATATGAACATGAGGACTTTGCCATAAGAATAACAGAATACAAGAGACCAGCTGGCAAATAATCCTAATCATGGAATCACTCCCAAAATCCAGCTCTGTAGGACAGAAGATTTGAAGATTTGCTTTGAAGATTTTAGTTTCTTGGTTAGGACAGCCTAAACTGTATCATCCCTTATTTAAATAATTTCTGTAGATTTCTGGCCACTGATATTTTGTCTGTTATGTTCTTGATAGTGAGTTCCTAATTTTATTGTGACTCCCTGCAGTCCCTTATTTTGCTGTTCATGCCTTGATTACAATCCCTCCCATTCCAATCAAGGAAGGTGAACTCTAGGCCTCAGTTTCTGTTTGGTGGTGGGTTCAAGCTGGAGGGTCTGAGGAACTCAGCTCATAAAATATGAATTAAACCTGTGTCTCTGGCATAGCCACTGAACTGCTGGGTCAATGGACTCTACTGTGCATCAAATCACATTGCATTGTGTGGTCTTTTAATTGATGAGCCAGCCTTGAAGTTCAAACTTCACAGTAATTGTGTCTAGCACTTGACTAAGAGAACTACTTGGTATGAAAATGTGCACAGTGAAATCTTTAGGGCTGAAAGCATCTCCAGAGTTATCTGGTAGAAGTCATAGCACCACCCCAGTGCTGCAGGTTCTTTGCTTTTTGTAGATGATGTCATTGTTTCTATACTGGATGTATCTTACTATGATCTCTTCTGCTTTAACAAAATTATTTTAAGACATTTTGATGTTATTTTTTTGCAAGGAAACTCTGCTGTCTGTTCTCATCAAAGCCCTTTTCTGACCTAACATTATTTTCTTGGCATGCAGGTTACATACAGTGATCTGAAACATAATGGTGGTTTTCAGAAAGGTAAGTCCTACTCTTTGCTCTGACTGAGTAATTAGCTTGAGGCCCAAAGAGGAGAAAATTACCTTACCATCATGGTTCAATCAAAAGAAAGTAGCAATAACCCAGTATCAACAAGGTATAAAATAATTTCAGCCTAGACTAGGGAAGCAGAGGAGTCTTGCCACACCAGGCCATGCTCTTGTTGAGCAGATGACCTCTGTCACAAGGTGTGGCACTGAAACTACAGCAGTGGAGCTGCGTTATTGTTGTCCTTGGAAAAAGTGTTGCCTCATTTCCTCTTGTGAGACAGCTGGGTTTGATGACTTGTCCAAAGTAAAGTTCTAGATCAGCTGTGGAGCTGGGAGTAGGATTCAGAGGTCTGTAAATGAACTGCCTGGAAGCAGTAAGAACTTAGCCAGTTAAACACTGCTAAAGAAATCAAATCACTAAAAAAGGAAGACCAAGAAGTGTTTGCCTGTGAGCTACACGGCATCAAATATGTCACTATACTTGACAGTAGCTTTTTTCTCCCCAGGGTGATCATGTGTGGCTGGACACTCAACCAAACAGTGAATTTAATGTCCCTATTGGGGCAATTGTGAAGGAATCTGACTCAGGACGGATCTTGCTCGAGGATGATGAAGGCAAGGTGGGCTATGTTATAACTTTCTGTAAAAGATGAACATAAAATGAAAAAGTACAAAGTACAAAAGAAGGCCCTATTGGGTCAGAACAAAGCTCCATCTATCCAGGTGGTCTGACTTTGATATAGGTAGGATAATACTACAGTAAAGACTATAGAAATAAGGCTATAGATGGACCAGCATCTCCAGACCCAATCACTTGGAAGATTCAGAGCTTCATAAGATAGAGGTTATATCTACGTGGTTAGGAAAAGGAAATGGATGGGTTCCAATCCCTAAATTTGGTGAAGTTTTAGGTGGAAACATCATCCCAGTGAAATCAGTTCATTCCTATCTCATACAATGTTCTGCCTCTGATGACAGAGTTGCCCTCTGAACAGTGTTAAGACCGGTGCTGTTCAGAACCCACCTGAATGGCTTCATTCAGTGTTTTAAACCATCTTGTCCTGGGGAGCAGCAAACCAGTTAATTCCTGTAGGCCAGTCACCTGTGTGTTAGAACATGCTGGCTTGAGCATGTATTAATGCTGAAGCTCACTCTAGTCTAACCCAACTCTCCCTTGCCTCTGAGCCACAGCATCACATGTTAAAGTCCGTGCCTTGCCTTTGTCAGGAGCACTGGATCACGGCTCGGAACATGCACATGGTGCGCCTGATGCACCCTTCCTCTGTCCAGGGGGTAGAGGACATGATCCGCCTCGGGGATCTCCATGAAGCTGGCATGGTGCACAACCTCCTCATCCGACACCAGGAGCACAAAATCTATGTGAGTGTCACAGTCACTTCCAGGAACAGCCAGGTCACTTCCAGGTCACTTCCAGGAACAGCCTCTAAGTTTAGCAAGTGACTTGAGCAGCCTGTGAATCTTTCACACGTGGGGCCCTCTGACTTCTTTAATGACCGAGGGTGCCAAAGAGACGCAATGCTGTTTCTCTTCTCTTTCACTCGAGTACTTTGGCTGTGAAGAAGAGAGCTGCCAGCAGCCCCTCAGTCACACTGCTGGCACAGGTAGTGACCCCACTTACTTTCTCCCAGAGCAATCATTGCCACCAGCCACTGACAGTGAGCTAAATCCAGCCCGTGTTACAGCTTAGTGCTGCTATTACCTGCAGGATCAACCTAACTGAAATGCAGTGATATGATTTCAATTGTACCCCAGTCCAAGCCAACATTTACTTGTTTTTAATAACAATAATAAGATGGCTAATGAATAAATCTGGATATTTTATCCATTACTGGTTTTATCTGTAACTGTGAAATTTGTTATTTTAGTTTTCTTTTTTCCTTTGTTTCCAGTTTCTAATATTATAATTAATATTCAGGTTTTCCATGCTTTGCCTCCCTTATTATATACACTACTGGAGAGAAGCTGCCTCTTACAACATAGGTGTGATGATATTTAGTGTAAAAAAGAACTGATCTTATAGATTCTACAGTTTTAACTACCAAGGTGTGTTTATATACCTGTTATATTAAACTCTAGCAGCCTGCAGTTGTTTCATGTAGTTTTCAAACAATATTATTGCTTTGCATCTCCACAGCCTTCAACAGGCTCCTTCATTTCACTGGTGGTGCTGTATGAAAATGTTTCTAAATCACTGTATGAATAGCACAAGTATAACTTGGCCTATTAGCAAAGTCCAGCTATATCTGCACTAGAATACAAAAGCAGCTTAACAAAACACTGCAAAACACCTTACGATAACACCAAAGTGCCAGGTCAAATTGGACTTCCATGTACTTCAGCTTGAGACAGAGAACCGAGCTGTCATTTGGCAAGGAGATTACACCTAGCATTCTTCATGGGGAAAAATCCTCCTTATCCTGGGATGTTTAACAACAACTCATAGTGAGGAACTGGGCTCTCAGCCTCACCCAGGTGCTGCTATGATCTCCCAAGCTTCCCTCCTGCCTCTGTTTAGATTTATACTGCAAATGGCTTTGGGTGTATTCTTGTTTGCAGGTTTGCTGTAGAGATAAAGCTCACAACTGTTTTCCAGACTTACACAGGATCAATCCTTGTAGCAGTGAATCCATACCAGCTGCTGCCCCTCTACACAGTGGATCAGATCAGACTGTACTGTAACAAGAGGATTGGAGAGCTTCCACCTCATGTCTTTGCCATTGCAGACAACTGTTACTTCAACATGAAGAGGAATAAGAGAGACCAGTGCTGTGTGATCAGGTGAATGGACTCAGAGAGGACAAATAGCAGAAACCAAGTCTGGCATGGTTTGGGGCACCTTGTGGACACAGGAGACCATCTAAATGGAAGGGCACAGATAAAACTAGAGACAACAGGAAGGAATTTTTTTTCCTGCTCCTTAATTTTCAGTTAGGGCTGCAATAGGTAAAACATAAGCAAAGGATTTCTGAAGTCCATTGTTTTCCCCCAGAATCTTTGAATGTGGTTGTACATTCTGCACGTGGTCACTACATACAGAAACATAACACCTGAGCACGTGTGATATAGGGCTATCTTTTACCTTGGAGACAAGATATTTATGTTAAATGTAGTTTCTGAGACTAGATATTTCCTCAAGAGAAATAACCTCTACTAACCCAAAGATGGATGGAAGCTTTCTTCATCCTGTAAAGAATCCATTTTCTGTTTGTCATCAATATGAAGAGCCAGAGAATCTCATTGCAATAGTATCTGAATATAGCTGAGTCAACTTAGCTGATGTGCTAACACTAGCATTGACAATCTGTTAATGCAATAAAGAAGAAAAGCAAGTGGTCATTTAATTTGCACAGGTACAGAATGTTTTCTATGAATTTGCTTGTTTTTAATTGGTGGGAGAATTTAATTCTCAGCCTAAGTCTGAAAAACAACTTAAATTTGAGCAGATAAGATGATGAAAGACTTGAATTTTCTAGTCCTCTATGAAAGACAGTCTGATCTGCCATTCAAAGGGTTAACTTAGGTTGGGTTGCTTTTTTTTAACTTGGTCTGCCATGTTACCAAAAAAAGAAAGCAAGCCTGTAATGATTTTTTTTTTTTCTTACTGCAGTGGAGAATCTGGTGCTGGTAAAACTGAAAGTACAAAGCTAATACTACAGTTTTTGGCAGCTGTCAGTGGCCAGCATTCCTGGATAGAGCAGCAAATCCTAGAGGCCAATCCCATTCTGGAAGGTGGGTTACTTATCAAACATGGCTGATTTACCACATTTATCTCAGGATAAAAAAGTCAAAAACAGATCCTTGAACCATTGTATCTGTTTAACTGGTAACTGCCCTAAAACACTGGTGATGCAGTGTACATGTTCTCTATACTTTCCTGCCATGCTCCCATGCAGTCCACAGCAGCTTTGCTCTCATGCTGTACAAGGACGTACCACTGTAGTATATACCCTGGAACTGCCAGGAGCACAAGAGTCCTTGGGACTGCAGAGCCCAAAGCAAAGCCCCCCTGGTTTGGCATTTGCCCTAGACAGTGACAAAGTGGCTGGCCAAGCAAAGATGAATCTGTAGGGGAGCTCCCTGAGACACCCATCTTTCTCTGTATAGGGATCAGCATGTTCCCAGTAAATCTTTCTGGAGGTCTTCAAACTTGCCCAGATCTCTTGGCTGGCCAGATATAGACCACATTTGGATCATTTGAATATGCCTTTTAGGACCCAATTATCTGGGTGCACAGTATGCCTGCTCCTCTCTTCAGGAGGCAGACTGAGACAAGACATTCTCCAGTGCTCCTCAGTACTGTCATTTGGAACACAATGTGTAAAATACCAGCAGCAAAGTAGGAGGGGAAAAAATAGGCTTGATGTTCATGAACTGCAGTAATACAGACACTATCTCTGTCCTTTGCCCATCAGCTTTTGGAAATGCCAAGACAATTCGAAATGACAATTCAAGCCGCTTTGGGAAATACATTGATATTCACTTCAACCAAAATGGTGTGATAGAAGGAGCCCGGATAGAACAGTTTCTCCTGGAGAAGTCCCGGGTTTGCCGGCAGGTGAGGGCACTGGCACGTGTATATTCTTCCTGTTCTTGTGTTAGAAGCTTATCCCGACAAGGCTGTCCATTGGCCTATTTCTTTTATTTTTAGGCTCCAGAGGAGAGAAACTATCACATCTTCTACTGCATGCTAATGGGGATGAATACAGAGCAGAAAAAGATGCTGAATCTGGGCACTGCTTCAGAGTACACTTATCTCACTATGGTAATAATCTCTACTTTATTCTCCATTATCCCTCTGCCATTTGCTTCTCCCAGTGGGCAATTACAACCACTAGGAGCTGCAGATGATAGTTACCAAATATGAATAGTCCTCCCCTTAGAGTACCAGAAGAAGTAACAGCAAAAGTGCTGTGAGCATCAGTTTCAGACATTTACTGTATTGTCCACCAGCGGGAAGCAGCTTCTGGCAGGTCAAAGCTTTCTGTCCAAGTCAGACTTAAGAAACATAAAGAACATCTTAAAACAGAATGGGGACAACATCCCTCACGTTACCAGACACGCAGATTTCAAAGGAATGCAGGGGATCTCATGCCAGGGAGAATGGTAATCACATATGTGTACCTTAGAGGAAAATCAATCAGAATCCTAGTCCTTATATCTAATAAATCTTATATACATAATGCAGGCAGCTGGCATTCAGCATAACCTCCCATGACTGATGCTAATGACCATGTCTGGGTTATGATGTCATTGTGGCAGAAGTGGGATCTTCATAGGTGAGGTTTTTGAAAATAGCTAATTGAGTGGTTTAGGACATGAAAGCCATGATGAAAATCCTGTCCTTTAGCCTATGTATGTACCTCATATTAGATATGCCTGCTGGTTAGATTTGGGCTGTTCTACACAAAGAATGTGTTTAAGTCTTGCCTCTACTCAAATTAGCTGGAGCTCGGCATCTAATTTCTAGGAAATGAAAACAAGTCTGTTTCTGGTGTCACAAAAACAGAACCATTAAAGTTGTGGAGATTTTTTTCAAATGTAATGTTTTCAAAATGGCAGTGATCTTGCAGCAAAGCTGATGAGTGTAATTAGTGCAATTGACCTGCTGGCCATTCCATAAAGAGACCCCTAGGTCAGCAGTAGGGTAGTTTGATACTGAAATAGGAGGATCAGATTAAAGGAGAACATATCCATGGTTTTGTAAAGGTCAGCTGTTCGTACAAGCTGGCATGTTTACATGCTGGAAACTGAAATGTCTAGGTATATTTCATTTTTGTAATCATCACACTATATTGTCAGAAATGGCAAGGGTAAAAAAGGCATTTCCCCACCTCCATTATGGATGAAAAGAGTTTCCATCAGAAGCAGCATCCTAGGACCTGCTGTGCAGGCTTTGATGAAGGTTCTTTAGATGCTCCCCTTGGATGTTTCCATTTGCCTTCCACTAGGACCTAATATTTTTATTTTGAGATCTGCCTTCTAGTACTTATCCAACCTGACTTGCTTTGGTTTGGGATGAGGGCTCTTAATTTTCCATTGACAAGGCAGAGAGAGGAAACCAAAGAAACAGGCATGCCCTTGTAAATGTAGGTAACTTTGTCAAAGCTTCCTGCCCTGTGCTCCAGAGCAGTCTTCCCATTAGCTTTTCCTTTTGGCTTCTGCAGCATTTAGTCTAGCCCTGGAGAAATGCATTATTGAGCCCTCTGTTTATGAGTTCTTTTTGAGAGAAAAGATGAAAGAACATACAATCACAGGAAGAGGATATAGAATATCTAAATAGGTTTTTGCCTTGCATCCTTGTGGACTCACAGGATAGCCACTCTGTGTACAAAGGCTTGTCAATCTGCACGTACTTTCTTCCTTGTCTGGGTAGCAGGAGGATTTTCCTTACCTGTTGGTGTGGTGCTTGCAGGGTAACTGCACGTCCTGCGACAGCCGGAATGATGCCAAGGATTACGCCCACATCCGCTCGGCTATGAAGATCCTCATGTTCTCAGACTCTGAGCACTGGGATATCAGCAAGCTGCTGGCTGCAATCCTGCACCTGGGGAATGTAGAGTTCCAAGGTAAATTCAGCATTGCCTGTGCTTATCTTTCCTCAGACTTGATGGTTAAGGTATTTCCCTTAGGTGCTTCCTGCTTCCACCTGCACAATTAGGTTGTATTATATTCACCTGTATTAACAGGTGAAGAGAGTTGGAAGGGCAGGCAGATAAGCACCATGAAATTCTGATTTGTGACTCCACTGCCATGTGTTTTGAAAAACAGCATCTTATTATTATTTTGTCACACTGTCAGGTCTCCATAGTTGTAAATAGGCACTTATCACACAAACTGAAACAACAGAATATAATGCCATGTTACACTTGCTGATTGCTCTACACAGGCCAGAGGACACAGGAGTGGTGTTTGCCTTAGATAATAGCAGTCATCCTCCTGCTTAAGTCTGCTGAACACTCACCTGCATACGTGCACTTCTGGTATGGACAGGCACAGAGTGACAGTGTGACCTACCAGCATATGCCAAAAGCTTTCACATTTTAGAAAAGAACTCCATGCTTTGTGGTATAGCGGGCCAAATACAGAGATGCCAGGTGGACTCTTTGGATTAATGTTGACTAGTAAAGTTAGGGATTTCTTTTATTCCTCTTTGTTGTCTAAATTTCCCACAAGCCATATACACAGGAACACATTTTCTGTAATCAAGTATCACTTCCCCAGATCCCCAAGAGTTACTGTTTTAAATAAACAACCTTGTCAGTTTGGCTGCTGTTTTTAGCCTGATGTTCTAGACAAGAAAGAGCCCTGCAGATCCCAGGATCCAGGTGAAATCAGGACCCTCCTTGGTAAAATCACCAAACCTGTCCATTTCAAATAAGAACTGAGTACCTTGCCACATGCCCAGTGCTATGGGGTCACAAAACCACAACTACATTACAACAGTGATGGTTCCCCCTGAGACTGGCTGTTTCTTCCTTGCAGCGGCCGTGTATGACAACCTGGATTGCTCTGATGTGATAGACTCGCCACACTTCTCCATCGCCACCAAATTGCTTGAGGTAATGGACTCTCATCTTCCCCTGCTGGTTCTTCCCTCTTCTTTGTTCCATGAGCACACTGGTGGAGCAGCTCTCTGGAGTTTATGTAGGAATGAACATTCAACAGGCATGTCCCCTGTCATGCTGTTGCAGATGTGTCTCCAAGCTGGGAGACCTTTAAATGGGACAGCAAGTTGCCAGTGGATGCTGCTAGACAAGCAGTTTGTCATAACTCTCCTCCTGATTCAAACTTTGCTGGATCTCCTTTATCCACCTGGAATGACCAGGTTGCCATGGCTGTTTTTCCAGGTGGACTCTACTGAACTGCAGAACAGCCTCACAAACCTCTCCATCATTGTCCGAGGAGAAAGTGTGTCCAGGCCTCTGAATGTGGTTCAAGCTGCCAATGGGAGGGATGCCTTTGTGAAGGTACTGGTGCTCACAGCTTCCCTGTTTAAAGACTGGGATGCTTTCAGAGCTGTCTTCCTTCCTGGCTGAGGAGCCTTATGTGATAAACACTGACCCAGAGGGCTCCAGGCCCTTGCAGTTCTCAGGCATAGCTTGACAGCACAATAGCAAGCAGTAAGTTACATCCAAAGTCTCTAATGATGGGCTCTAATTCCTCTCATTTTTTTTCTCAGGGTATATATGGACGGATTTTCTTGTGGATTGTGAACAAAATCAACTCAGCCATTTTCAACCCAGCTTCTGAGAAGCCTAAAGACAGACATCAATCCATTGGACTGCTGGACATTTTTGGGTTTGAAAACTTCAGCAACAACAGGTAGGAAACTCCAGATGTAATGCAATAGGAAGCTGAAAAGCAGCTGATGTAAATGGAAAGAATGAAAAAACAAAGAGACACATGCTCTTTCGTCATCATCCTGATTCTCAGAAAAGTGGTGAAAATTCATTACTGGATTTTCCCAATTATGATCATGCAGATTCCATTTTCCTTCGGTCTTGATCATATTTCTGCCTCTTTTTAAGACGCTCTTTTTAAGCCTTCATTTTAGTGCAGCCATTGTACATGTCTATTCAAAAACCTGAGGAATTTTCTATGGGGAGATGGTTATGGAGCTACTATGGCAGGCAGCTAATATGTGAGGATGTAGTATATCCCTCTACCTCTGTACCAAATTTTCCTGTTCCACAGCATTTCACGATATCTCTTGGGATATGTTTGGCATGTAGTACAAAGGAGGCTGTGTTGTGTTTCCCATTTCAGCTCATGCTTACATCCTTTCTCATTGTTCTCCCATCATTCTGGTTTTTGTTTGTTTTTGTTGTGGTGGTTTTGTTTTTTGTTTGTTTTTGTTTGTTGTTTTGTTTTTTGCTGCTTCATTCCTACTCCTAAGGGCAGGTCAGCCAAGTCCCTGGTCAGCACACCATTGTGCCACTGCATGTCACTGCTGTCTCTTCCACTGGTGTTTCCATTCCCAAAGCAGCATTTCTGTTTCCTCTTCTCTCTGGGAGGGGACAGCAGTCTCTCAGTTGTCAGGTACCATCAGTTCTCCACAAACCATCAGCACATACTCTGCAATCTTTTGCAATTCATTTCAAGTGATGCTTCTTGCCTTCAGCCAGGTAATATTCCTCGGTGACTTTTGGAACAGAATCTAGGATCTCTATGGTCTGTCTTCTATCTTTTGTGTTTTCTCCCATTATTTTGTGCTGTTCCCAAGATCTGCAGTCCCCATGGGTCCTCACTGTGGTGAGCACCCCAGAGGCACACACGGTGTGCCACAGCAAGTACAAGGTAATGATACTCAGGTGCAGCATAAAGGAGTAAATAACAAAAGAAGTGACAGTGCCAGTGCAAGCAGAAATGTGTCATAAGTCAAGTGATTTTCACAGTTACATGCTCCCCTTTATCTCTAGAGTTTCTTGAAATACATAAAAGATTTTTCCTTGCCTACTGAGCAACATTCAGTCATTAGCTGGCTCATTGCTACTGGTCTTTGCTACAGCAGAAAATGCCTCCCTTGTATTGCTAAGATTGACAATGTGCAGTGATGGCAGTCACCAGCACTGTGGAATATGGCAGTGGTGTATCTGGATATGCATTTAATGCAGAGGCTAAACAAATAGCAGAGAGCAGTGCAGCACTGGCCAAGGATGACCATGTGCTTTCATCTTGTTCTTCCCCAGCTTTGAGCAGCTGTGCATTAACATTGCAAATGAGCACCTTCAGCAGTTCTTTGTGCACCATGTCTTCAAGCTGGAGCAAGAGGAATACCTTGCAGAGCACATTGCCTGGAACAACATTGACTTCACTGATAACCACCAGGCTCTGGAAGTCATTGCACTCAAGCCCATGAATATCATCTCCCTCATTGATGAAGAGAGCAGGTTCCCAAAGGTAAATTTCTGTTTTCACTTGTAATGCCTGGCTTTGTACCCAGCTCACAAGTGACCCTTGGGTTTAGACACACAGAAATGCAAAAGTGGCTTTCAGATACATTAGGAGAGGCAATAACTTCTCCCCTCCAAGAAAACAGATGTTATCTCTAAGCACCGCTTCTGTTTGTTTGCTGAGCACAGTCCAGTGCTGGGGACAGTCTGCTTAACCATCCTTTTTTACCTATATTTGTTTCTAGGGCACAGATGCCACCATGCTTATCAAAATCAATTCTCTCCATGGTAAAAGTAAAGTCTACATCCCACCTAAGAATGTTCATGATACCAAGTTTGGCATCAACCACTTTGCTGGGGTTGTCTTTTATGAATCAAAAGGTGAGCCTATCTCTGCTGGATACAGAGGGTGAAGGGAAGGGCATGACCTGCCCTGGATATGTGGCTCTCCAGGGTAGTGTTGATCTAAGTTGATCAGGAAGCCAGAAGGATTACTGTAAACCAATCTGCAAGTTACTGTAAATTAAGTGGATTTTAGGTAGACAGAGTGGTGCTAGAGCCAGCGGGCTGCAGAGGTGACAGGCTAATTTTGTTTCCATCCTACAGATTTCCTGGAGAAAAATCGTGATACACTGAGTGCTAATGTAATGCAAGTGGTCCATTCCTCCAAAAACAAATTCCTGAGAGAGATTTTCCAGGTGGAAACAACCCCACCTAGTCTGGGACGTGGGACCATTCGGCATCTTGGATCTGACCAGGTCTACAAGGTTGGTTTATTGGCACTATCTTGCAGAAACAACTCATTTCTCCTGCCTTCCATAAAGCTCTGTCTATTCTTGATCTCTTCTTTCTTTTGCACTGTCTCTGCAAATCCCTATCTCTTTTATTCAAATTATTTCTGCCAAGGGGGCTTCAGGAAGAGTCAGGGTCTGGCGTTCATGCTGTAAACAAGTGCAATGTCAGCTCTGTCTCCCACGTCTGCATCCCTGGACATCTGTGTAGCCATGCCTGCAGGCTGTTTCAGAACCATGAGTCATGATGCCTCCTCACAGGTTATCATCAACTGGACATCACTATGTGACAAAGTTCATGATGGGTCATTATCACAGACTCCACTGTGCCTGTTGTGTCTGTGCATAGTAAAAGTAAGGGTGTGAAGTGCAGTGGAGTAGAAAACAGTGTGGGGCACAATTCAGGTTCTCTGTCCTGCTCCAACTTCCACATTCCTTGATTTCTGAACATTTAGCTATGCAGTGTCACCAGTATGTGAAGGTACTTTGGTTTTGCTTGTTTACATCTTTGAGTTTTCCTGTCAGGATATAGAACAATCAGCTTGCTATCTTACCTGTTACCTGTCTATTCCCTGGCATTGTTTTCTGATCTTGTCCTTTCTTCCTCTGTCTTTGTCCCAGTGTGGCTTTCTGCTGTCCAGAACACCTGGCCATGGACAGGTAAACATCTGGGGGGTGAAGAATGTCAGAAGTGGTATAAGCAGCAACAGATAACTGGCTTAGCATCTCTTAAATGCTATTAATACTTCCAGATTAAATATCAGGTGAATTTACATTGCTCTAATGCTCTAACAAATCTTGTCTCTGTAAATAAGGCTGTGTTGTTGCAAAAAAAGTACAGCAGCATGTAAAGAAAGGAAATACCAATTGTGGGCTACCCCATGTCAAAATGCACAGAAATTAGCTGTTGATATTCAAATAAATGGGACCACCATTGGGAAACCTAAGAAGCAGGCTATAGAAAAGAATAATGAATGATGTGCCAGAAAACACTTTTTTGTCCTGAGGTCTTAGAGTTTATTTCCTGACACACCACAACAGAAAAGTCACCATTAACTTAACAACAAATTCAGCTTTAACATTGTTGCATGTGTGAGATCCTGAGGGCATGGGCTTGGGCCTTGTGTGGCCATCCCACTGATGGTACAGCAGAAAGGCCTCTAAGGTCTGAGAGTGAATATCACTTACAGCTAAAATATGTATATGTTGTTATCATGCCCACTTCAGGTGCTTGCTAACCCTAAAATGCATCAGAGCTGCAATAAGACATTCCCAGGAGCTGTTTTCCAAAGACATGAATGACTGATCACTGGAGGGCAGCCTTGCCCTGTAGCTAAAGCAGAGGGTAGAAATCTGAGTATTCAAAAGGGCACCTTAGACATAAGAACAGCAGGATGAGGTACCCTAAAGATCATGGAAGTGAGGGGAGCCACTGGACTTTAAATTATTTACTTTGAAAAAATTCCAACAACCCCACAATGGACCAAACCCCCCAAACAAATCAGTCACGTTGTGCTGCAATGATCAGCTGCTTGCCTGTATGTAAAAGGCCGGTGGAGTAATTTTGTTACTTGGAATCTGTACTGTCATCGCTGTAATTTAATGTGTCCATACAGAGATGTAGAAACTTAGGCCTAATGTGATGATTATTTGAAAAAGACAGGTCAAGAGAGGCTGGGGAAGTCTGGAGTACCTCATACCTTATACTCCAGTAAAAGTTTGCCTTTTCACTGCTTACTGTAGTATTAATGAGCAAGGTGATCAGTCATCCTAATCCCTAAGGAATGGGCTGTTCAGGATCTTTAGCATTCCTACCTATGATGGCAGCAAAATATCTGGCCTGGAGTTTATTCCTGCTTTGGGAGTGGCTGTTTCTCACCAAGCTTTCAGGCACACTCCCAGGAATCACAGCTTGGCACCCAAGCCTGGCACTAAACACAGCCTCGGTTGAAGTACTTCTACCACAGCCACTCCTACTGCTAGAATTTAGTGCCTAAGTAGGTGGAAGTACTTAGTGGGGGGTTTCTTTACAAGAATAAACCCAAATTAATAAGATGCAGATGGCCAATGTAGCTCCCATGTAGGCAAATAATTTTTTTTCTGGTGGTTGTGTGATACTGTTACATTGTACAAAATTACAAAGGTTTATTAATTGGCCTCTGAGAGTGAACAATGTTGCAGTCAGTATGTGCCTTCTCTTCCCAGGGCTTGGATACCACCAAGAGGCTCTCAACACTGGGAGGACAGTTCAAGCAATCCCTGGAAAAACTAATGAAAATCCTTGAGCAGTGCCAGCCATACTTTGTCCGCTGCATCAAGCCAAATGACTACAAGAAACCACTGGTAATGTTCTAACAATACGAAGTCTTGCCTTTAGTAAAGTTTGTAATGAGAAAAGTATCTCAGTTGCTGTGTAACATTTTATAGCTGTACTTGGCTGCATCCAAAAAGAGCTGGAGTACAGGGTATTCCTGCAATAAACATAGTAGGAGGATACAGCACTGTTCATTTACAAAAGCATCTCAAAAAAGCACCATAGAGTAATAGATAGCAAAAAAGCACACAGGTGTACTCCTGAGTAGAGGTATTTTCAGTAAAGACAAAACTGAAAAGTCTGTAGCCACTCAACACAGGAACAAACAAAAAACAACAATGATCATACTATGATATAGCCTGAGAGAGAACAGGGCAGCTGTTGGAGTTTGTGAGAGGGGTGATTTGGCTTAATTTGCCACACCAGGAGGAGTCAGTTTGTTATTAGGATGCATGTCTGGAACTCAGGGGATTTCAACCTGGTTCTACTACAAAACCTTGAATGGTGTCCTTGTCTGCTTTCCCTTTCAGTTGTTTGATCGGGAACTATGTATCAAACAGCTGCGATATTCGGGGGTGATGGAGACCATTCAGATCAGGAAAGCCGGGTACCCAATTCGCTACAGCTTTGAGGAGTTCTTAGAGAGATACAGATTTCTTCTGCCATGGTCTCTTCGACAAAAGGTGTGTAAGCAAAAACATGGTTTAAGGCTGATCTAATGTTTCCTTATGAGGCTTTAGTCTTTCCCACAGTAGAAAATTCTTGAATTACTGCAGGCAGAGAGAGCTGTCAGCACAGGATATATCATTACAGGAACTGTTATCACAGTAATTATAGCTTAATAGTTAAATACTCCCTTTGACCTTAACTGAAAATGCAGAGTTGCTTTGAGGTCCTTGGCTGGCTCCACACAGACATCCCCAGTAGGGTAACATCCCTATTCCCCTCAGATGTTTTTTTCTGTGATCACACATTTCTCAGCTCTCTGATGTCCTCCTCACACCTCAACTCTGGAATGTTTGGTCATGCAATCACGTTCCTCCTCTTCCTGACCATTTGAGCTAAACCACTTTCATTCATTGTACTGTCAGCCCAGAGGTCTGCAAGACCTCATCTGTTTCTGTTCTTCACCCTTTGGAATGCAGGGCAGTAAATCCCTCCATAGTACAGCTGCTGTGTTTCAAAGTCAAGCCCTAACTTCATGATGCTTTTGCACTTCAGCTGAAGAATGATACCCGACAGAGCTGCATCAGCATCTCCGAAGCAGTGCTGGGCAAGGATGAAAGCTGGCAAGTTGGAAGGACTAAGATTTTCCTTAAAGTACGTAAAATGGACAGTTTATTGTCTTTTCTTATGAACAACTGGATGCTTCTCAGTACAGCTTGGCCTGCTTGTGTGAGAGTGGTGACCAAGAAGGAATGAGTTGTCTTACAAACTATTGAATCTGAGAGTGGATCTTTGTTGTTGAAAGCCAAATAATTCAATGGAGAGGGTTTGGTGTAGGTGAGGCTGATCCTGTTTCTGTGCTACAGTATTGCAGCTGAAACAGCACAGTGCAATGTATTGGAGCATAAAAAAGAACTGGGTACCAGTGCACTGTTGCAGAGGACCACCTTGCCTGTAGCAGACCCCCAGATGAAAACAGTCTTGCTGCAGGCAGATTCTTGCTTGTTTATGGCTATAGCTAGACCAAGTCTGGTCAGGTGATGTGCAGTCTTCCTTCTGCACAGGATACAGATTTCTCCCATAAATACATTTTAGTCACATTATGCAACATCATACTGACTTTGGGTCCCTTTCAGATCACATGTCACATTTCCACAGGTTGTAGGTGTGCCTGCTAAGCTGGCATATTCACACTTTCTTTTAACAGGATCATCATGACACTGTATTGGAGCTGCAACGCCAAAATGTACTCACAGATAAGGTTCTTCTTATCCAGAAGGTGATGAGAGGATTGAAGGACAGGTCAGTGATTTTACAGAAGGGAATTTGCTTTGTTTTGAAGTAGTTAATGTTTGTGGTTCAGCTTAACACACTCTGTGTAGTATTTTTGAGTATGAAATGTATCAGTCTATACCTTCCACCAGTCTTAAATTTCATACTCATCATGTAACAATGCACAGTGTATCTATATATGCAGATGTTGGACAAGGATTTGTTTTGGCTCAGTTTTGTTATTTTCGTGATGTTTTTCAAAAGGCAGGGCTATGGTGTGTATGAAAAGGAAGGTTTGAAAGGAGGACATGCTCTTAATATTTTTACCAAACAGTAGACATCTGAAAAGCAGGAAATCCCCATGGAATCTGCGCCCTTCTCAGAGCTACAAAATTTCTCTTATTTAGGATGCTTCTTTGATACAAGACATTGATATGAAAAAGATAGAAACTAACTAGTCCTTCTCTTCGCCAAAGATGCCTAAATCTTGTATTGTGACTAGTTTAGTTTGAAATATCTTCAGAAGTGAAATTTAGTCACTGTCAAATAAATGTTTGTCCTCATTAAATGCTTTACATCATGATTTGTACTCATGGATCTTGTGTCCCCTCAATCAGAACCATAATAAAGGACTGAGTCTTGATTTGGCTTAGAAATACTCTTGACCATAGTGAAGAAAGAACTAAAAAATACGACACAAATGCCCCAAAACTTCCCTCTTTTTTTTTCAGACTCTGCCTGCTATCCAAACCAAAAGCCTCACCTTGCTCTTACTTTTAACCCAACAGAGCTATGTGCTGCTTTTTCAGCTGCAGTGTGACAGTTTGTACCATGGGAGGTTCACCTTGCTCAGATGAGCTCCTCGTCCTGCCAGCAAAACACTGGGGAGAAGAGGTTATTAAATGGGGAAGTTAATTTGTCCAGTCACGATGTGAGGGGTTTTCAGTTCTTACAGAGCACTCTGACCACAGCAATTAATTTGATCTGTAGCTGCTACGAGTATTTTTGCAGCAACAAGGCTGACATCAGACTATGGACATCCCATTAAGGAGAAAAAAAAAAAAGACATCTTATTCTTTACTATTATCATAAGAAGCAACAGAGATAATCTATTGTTTATCACCTCACATGTCTGTCTGCTTAGGAAGCAGTTCCTGAAACAGAGGAACTCTGCTGTAGCCATTCAGTCAGCCTGGAGAGGCTACTGCTGCCGGAAGGAATTCAGAATGGTAAGATGAAGGTGTACCAATGAATATGTATTTGTGTGTTTATATATTGTTACCTGCCAGACTGAGTATTAGGAGTTAAGATATTCTCAACTGAAGGGAGAATAAACAAGATGACAGGGTGTAAAGGAAGGTGTAAAGTCCAAGGAAGGCTCTGGGACCTCTCAGGGCTTGCTGAACCTGTGACATTTCTGCTTTTTGGTGAAACAGGAACCCAACTCACCTTTGGCAGGCCTGGCTCCAAAGACCTGACATATAAGTGGTACGACACTTCTTATAGTCAGAAACACAAACCTAGCCTTTGTGCATCATCACCGTGCTATGAGCAAAGTGTCTTCTGCAACTGCTGCAGGAAAACTGGGAATTTGTAAAAAATTACCAAAGAAGTCATTATATCAATCTCACATTATTAATTTTTTTTCCAGGGGAAGTTCAGATTCAGATTAGCTATTAGGAAAAAAATTTCACTGAAAGAGTGATCAGGCACTGGAATAAGTTGCCCAGGGTGGTGGTGGAGTCACCATCTTGGGACGTGTTGAAGAGGTGTCCGAATGTGGCACCTGTGGCTATGGTTTAGGGGTAGTTCTGGTGGTGCTGGGTTGGACTACATGATTTTGAAGGTCTCTTCCAACCTTGATGATTCTGTGTGAAAAATACTGCCTGATCTTCCATGGATAGTGCATTTTCTGGGTGAGGAAAGCTGGGGGCACTCACAGATTGTGTATTTGTGTGGCAGGTATTATTATTATTGTTGGTGTTGTTGTTGTTGTTGTATCCCATATCTCATGTATCCCATGTGAGATGGGGAGGAGCAGAAACTGCCAGTTTCAGTCAGAAGCATTCTATATTCTGCATCAGTGATGCAATTCCTTTCTGATACTTTGTTTATTTGTTTCCATTCACTTGGCTTTATTTCTGCTCTGCTCCTTCTCTTGTAGTAACCCCAGGCTACCACTGTCACTTTCTGGAGCCGCTCCCTAGAACAGACTCCCCAACTAACTCTATATATTAGTTTTAAAACCCTATTACAGGTAGAAAACAAAGCGTAAAGGGTAATATTACATTAGCCTCTTCCAGTGTCTTTATCCAGTTACCGAATTTCGGTGTCTTCTACTCATCCCAACCTGTCTCGATGGTTTGGAACCATAATGACTTCTTTCTGCACCACCCACAGGTGCTGCTGGGCTTCGGGCGCCTGCAGGCTCTGTACCGCAGCCGGCAGCTGGCTCAGCGCTACGAGGCCACCCGGGCTCGGATCATCAGGTTCCAGGCCATGTGCCGAGGTTACCTGGTGCGCCAGAAGGTGGCAGAGCAGAAGAAAGCCGCGTGTGTCATACAGGCATATGCCAGGGGCATGCTCGCTCGCCAAACCTACCAGAGGATAAAGGGGGAGGTAATGCTCACAGATACCTTGTGAACACATTGTTTCTATGAAATTCCAATAGAGATTTTATCACCAGAAAGTGTTGCCTTAACATAGGATTGGGTGTGGATATTCATTTTTGGGGTATTTTATTTTTAACTCTTGCCAAGTGCAAAAGCAGAATGTTAAGCAGACTGATCTTGTTTACATTTGCTTTATGTGATTGTTATCATGGATCAAAACTTCACTGGCACAGCTGCAGTGGCTTTGACAGAAGGGAGAAAAGATAAGATCTGTGTGTATCAGGCAGTCCTTCAAGGGGAGACCAATTTCTACAGCAGGGTCTGATAATGGTGCTCAGGGATCCATTCAGAAGGGAATCCCAATGCAGAGTTTCTTGGTAGGTGCTACCAGCCCTTGGCAATCCATAGCACATGAGAGGCCTCTCCCTGATCTCCTTTTTCTACTAATGCTACACAAACAGGACAAAGCCAGTTTGCAGGTTTCTGCCTGTGGCCTGTTCCCTAAAATGTCAAATCTTGAACAAAGCCCCTGTTGGGACAAAGTCCTGCAGTGGACAGTTTGTTTAAGGCAGAAGGGAGTTGGCTCAGCAGTTGTACAAACAGTCACAGAATAGTCCTGTTGTCCACAGAATAAGCTGGAAGCCAGGAATATCCACTTGAAAGAAGATAAACATCTCATCCAAGTCCTGGGACCACTGAAAGCAGGGGAAGAAGCTATGAGATTACAAAAGGTAGGTATGCTGGTGGAGAAACACTGGCCAGCGTTACCCAGTTCACACCTGCAGACTTGCTCAAACCTCTGAGCACTGCTGCATTTAAAGAATTTATTTATTTATGCTGTACTTAAAGAAAGAGAAGACATAGTTGTAACCCTGTTTGTAATGATGCTTTGAAAATATAACAAGGCAAACACATACACATTTCTGATAACGGCCTAAGCTGGCACTTTAGCCAAACACGCCCAATGCTATTACAAGTCTCCTGACACAAAACATTTTAAAATTTTAAATATTGTGGGGTTTTCTGCTGTTAGAACTTCTGTGTTTTTCCTGTATTATCTCTTGTTGATTAAATTCTTGAATAATTGCACATCATTATCAATAGGCCAACAGTCCATAAAGACAGCTCTAAGAGCAGGGCCCTACTGCTAATGTGCCAGGTCTTTGTGCCTGCTTGACACAAGCAACATTTGACTTCCTGTTTCAACAGTGCACTGGCAGAGCTGGACCTCACAGTCACATACCTTTGTAAAATTATTTCATCTCCATACCCCCTCACTCCAGCAGAATGATGTTCATTCATGATGTTCAAGTCATGCCTATTTCTGTGTTTAAAGGAACTGTCGACTCAGGAGAGAGAGGAGGCAGAAGCAAGACGAAGGAGGAACGTGCTTGCCAATAAACCAACAAATCTTGATGTTATCAGTGACCAAGAAATGGTGGACAAAATTTTTGGGTTTTTACCTTCTGTGATTGGAGGCCAAGAAGGACAGGCTCCTCTGGGTTTTGAGGTACAGAGCTGCAGACTGGTAATGGTCCATGCTTATCCCTTGTGTAAGCCCCACTGACTGTTGGAATTCCATCAGTGGTCAGTTCTGTTTAATGAACTTCTGTACAGTGAAAGAATCCCCTGAATTAATCATCCAGTCACTAAGGCATCTCTTGCAGATGTGAGTTCACAAAAGTTTTTAGTCACGTGCAGTTAAGGGACTATATAGCTTCAAACTGCGCATTTGTTTCTTTGGCATAGCCAAACAGTGCCACCCTCTGCATTTTGGCACTGACCTTGTGCTCTGCTGACAGTACTCTCTATTTTCTGCCTGTAACAAGCTGAAAGTTCATGACCCAAGTTATACTATATTCTTGAAAGCAAAATTTGTGATATACTTGTCCTGATAGCAGTGGAGGTTGGAATTTCGTAGGAGGAGATGGGCAGAATAGAATGGTATGGATAAGTACAGGATGTGAACAGTAACACCTGACTTTTCTATCAGCAATATTCTTGCTGAGGACCAAGACAGGAAGACCATATGGAATGGATGCATCTCAGAAGGACAAGCTCTGAGTCCAAATGACCTGTTTTTAACAGCTCTAAATGGCTTTGGGGTTAGTTGGAAAGACAAATTCTGGAAGACATATGGCCAAGGGGAAAAAAAAGCAAAACCAAACATAAGAACATCAGAGTTCAGTAAAAGAAAATATGCTTCTTTCTTGTGTTCTGCACAGGACTTGGAAACAAAGCCTAACAAGCTGGAGGAAGTGGACCTGGACATGGTTCCCATGAGTTTGGAGCTAGAAGATGAAGCACATGGTTTGGAAGAGTACACCTTCCCCAAGTTTGCAGCTACTTATTTCCAGGGGTCTTCTACACATACACATATCCGGAGACAGCTGCGGCACCCGCTACTCTACCATGATGACAAGGACAACGTCCTGGTATCTTGCTCCTTGCTGTTCATGTTGAACCTGCTCTCTCCACAGCCCTGGCTGTACAGGTCCCCTCATCCTTGGGTCCTGGTTCTGGCACAGCCCTGGGAACCAGAGATGCCAGAGCAAAGGAGATAGAGATCCAGAGGCCTATCAGCATTTTTTGGCATTTTGCTGGCAGGCGCTTCACACAAACACCTGCCCAACACAGGATCTCTGGCCACCTTTGTTCTTGCCCAAAGAGGGAATTCAGAGGTGTGTTTTGACTTCTCCAGACACCCTTTGGAAATGGACTGGAGAGAAAAAGCATGAGAGCTTATCCATCTCTCTGCTCTTGTTTGGGTTGCCGGTTTATTAGATAGGACAGAAGGGGGAGGCAGGTCTTCAGTATCCCATTGAACCAGAGAGGGATTGAGGAGGGTGTTTCCCTTGATTCTAAGCAGCCTGGCAGAATGAAGGACCCTGTGCATCAAGAACTTTGCTATTACTTGGCTTTCTGGTTCTGGGCATGAAGGGTCCTGGCAGACTCCACTCCACTGCTTATCTGTCCAGGTCAGCAAATGCAGAGTGCAGTTCAGCCAAGGCTTCTCCACCTCCCTCCAGCCACAGAACACCTCCAAGGTGCCAGTAAAGGGAATGGTGAGGCCTCAGCAATCACAGAGTTCTGACCTTCCCACCAGAGCTGTACCCTCTTCCTTCAGCAGGAAAGTGTTGTGTGTTGCTGTCTTGTTTGGTATGAAACTAAACTCTTTGTGTAGGTAACTAAAGGAAAAGGGAATTTTAACAATTTGGACTGGGTAAAGGAAGAAAATGCTCTTAATCTAAACAGGCAGATATGGAGCCATTGGTCTGGTTGCCACTGTCTGATTGTGCTTTCTGCTACTACAGGCTTCTCTTGCTGTGTGGGTGATCATCCTGAGGTTCATGGGGGACTTGCCAGAGCCACCAATGTTTGCCAAGAGTGCCACCACCAAGAGCAGCTCCGTGATGACACAGATATATGACACACTTGGCAGGAAAAACCAGGTCCAGTTGAGGAATGACAGCCCAAATATGGTGAGACAAGCAGGCTAGGTTTGTGTTTTCATTTGCTTTCCTTGGTTTCTATGCTGTTCTACCAAGAGTGAGTAAAGCAAAGGAATTATTTCATGCTACTGTACTTGAAATGCTGCAAGTGCAAAAGGGCACCAGTCAGTCCTGGCAGGACACTCAGCTCCTTCTGGCAGGAGAGAAAAAAACAAAAATATCATCACTTGAGCATCTTTTTGTCCTTAATGAATAATTCTTGCTGAGTATTAAACTGATTTCCTATAATAGTAATGTGTATTACAGAGAGAAGGCAGAAGGGATAACAAGATTTCTAAGGGGATTTCATCTCTGAAACTGAAACGGTCATCCAAGCTTACAGGGAAGGTAAGAGGTGGAAATAAATTGCTTCCCTTTCTTCTTGCCTGAAACCCTGACTTCAACTTCTGACAGATGTTATCTAAGCAACCTCCCCGCTGAGAACTTGTTCCCCTGCCAAGCCAGGGCAGCCCTTTGTGGGATACCTGGGGCAGTGTTCTTTGGAAACGATCCCCATGTGCACTGGTGTCATCTGTTGTCTGGCAGCGAACACAGGGAGAAATTTATTACTGAGAACTGTTGGCATTACAGAACAGCTTGCACTGAGCACAGAGGCCTGAGCAGACTGAGAACCATGTGCTTAGGGCTGTACAGGACAGTACAAGAAAGTTCTCCTAGCCAGAGATAATGCTGTAACAGCACATTTAATGAGTTACCTTGAGAGAGAAGGGGGTAATATGGCCTGGTTCTCCTGCACTGAGCAGGAAGAGTTTTAGCCAGAAATATAGAGAAGGAATGTCTCTCATTTATGAGAAAGCTGCCTGCAAGAGAGGAGATTTCTAGAGCACTCTGGGGTTCTACTCTGTTTCTTTCAGGTGGCAGATCAGCTACGAAATGGAGAAGAAGCTTTCCAAGAGGACGTCTCGATCTCTCAGAGACCTATGTCCAACCTAGAAAAAGTACACTTCATTATTGGCAATGCAATTCTGCGTCCTGCCATCAGGTAGGAAATTTGTACCTCCTTCCTAGGGCCAGGTGCCCATTACATCTAGGAAATCCAACATCCTTTTTCCACAGCCCTGGAGAATGACTCCTTTACTGCCTCTTCTGGTATTTTCATGTTGCACTTTAGGCCAGCTGACTCTATGTATGGCTTTCTGGATATCCCACAGGTATGGAAAGGAGCAGAGCTCAGGGCCGTGACACAATAACACTTGAAGGTGAAGAACTGCCCTAGAATGAGGGAGAAGAGTCACTCAGAGGAGTAAGAAATACGGAGTTAGTGTATGCTAGGTGGATGAAAGGATTCCAAATAGCCTCTTTTTGAGTACTCAAACAATGTCCCCACATCAGAGATGGTCGATGGTCTGGATTGCTGAGTGTATCAGACACAAAGGAGAAATCCTGGCCACAAGCAGTCTGAGGCTGGACCTCAGGCCAAGCATGGTGTGACCATAAGGCTTGTTGATTCTGACCTGACCCCATGAATCCTCTCCTTTGTTTTATCCTAAGCACTTTTCTGTAACAAAGCCCACAGATACAGCCTGTGCCCTGACTTCAGTCATGGGCTGCATTCCTTTCTCCACAGTCACTTTGTTTCAGTCAAGACACTCCCTAAAGCAGATGCTCAGCTGGCAAAAATCACATTCAATCCATATATTATAATAGCCACAGATGAAGTTCCTGTACTTCAGTGCAGGTACAGTACTTTCAGTTTGTGTTTCATCAAATGTCCTATCAGGGAACAAAAAACTCCAGCTTATGTCCTCTCACATCAGATTTGACAAATGTGTGTTCCAAGAGTCTAGAAAAAATTAAGATGATTTTTTAATAACAGTTTTATTTGTATGCAGATTTTTGCATCTGTATCCCTTAGGTCCTTGCTGCAGGTAACTTACATTTTCAGAAGCTTACTCTGAAGTGCTCCTTTTTCCATTTCTGTACAAGATTCACTCCAAGTTTGCATATAAGTATAAATAAAATATATAAATATGTAAATATGTAAATATATACATATATAGATATAAAATCAAGCAGGGTGTCCCCCATCCTTATCCCCAAATCCACCTACAAGCAGACAGACAAGAGCCATGAGCTACAGCCCACATGCTGTAGAGAGCTCAGAGCAAGTTACACCTCTAGACTCTTGGACAGCAATGCCGTTTCACAGCCAAATGACTCAGCAGTTGTTTTTCCTGCACAGCCCCCTGCTTCTCACAGAAGTTAATTCAGCATGGGAATTGCACTTGAGCTGCTTGAGTAAGAAGGGGTGGCAAAAGGCCCTAGGTGTGCCTGGATCCTTTTCCATAACAAAGCTATTTATTTCCTGTGGTGCATTAGGGTGCTATACTAGCTATCGTGATTGAACCTAGCTCAGATCTACTTCATCATGCTGCAATCCTGCCAAGCTTGCAGTCAAAACTTAGCCAAAGACAGTTCAGACAGTGAATTATCTGTTGCTCTCACATGTTTTGTTACAGAGATGAGATTTATTGCCAGATTTGCAAACAACTCACTGAAAACAGCAACAGGAGCAGCTATGCTCGTGGCTGGATCCTTCTGTCACTTTGCCTTGGCTGCTTTCCTCCTTCAGACACGTTTGTGAAGGTACACTGCTAACTTTTCCTACAGCAGCTCACACGCCTCATACTGAGCTGGTATTTTGATGTTTTGATGCTGACAGCCACATAAAATATTTGGCTTCCAGAGCAGCTAGTGCTGTGGTTTCAGCAGAAACTTTCTCATCTCATATGCTTATCTGGGAATTTAAATAAATTCTCGTTCCATTGACATTTAATTTTTTTCATTACATCTCATACAGTCTGGATTCTGTAATTCATCACAGCTCTCATTTTAGATCTATAATCTGCAAGGGATCTGGCAAATTTTAACCTCTCTGATTCTGCCTTTCCAGCCAAAGACATCCAAGAGGTGTCTCCAGTTACAACCTTAGTGATTAAATACATTCAGGAGGCCAGTATAAAATCACACCCCCAAGTTTTATCAGTTATTACCCTATATATCTAAACCCAAAAAAGTCCAAGAGATATTTGGGCTTTTTAACTATTTATTAATTTCCAAGTTTAAATAGATGATAAAGCCACTTCACCACAGGATAAAAACTCAGCCTGTGGCTCCAACTTGACATGAGGCTTCCTCCTGGATCTGAGTGGCAAACGGGATCCATGGATACGCATGAAACTTCAGCCTTGCTTTACTAACACTCAGTTCAAATGATCAATCTAGTCATAAATGCTGCTAAATGGACACTACTTGGAACAAACCAGTCACAATCCATAGGCATATTTTGACACCAGTCTTCATTCAAAGACTTGGAACCTTGAAGGATTCATGAAAGACATGACCATACCCTACCTCTAGAAATATTCTTAACCATTAAAATAACCATGGTTGCATTAAATACAGATACATAAATACAAGTCTGTGTCATCCAAGAGCCATGCAGACTCCAAAAGCTCAGTTTATCCCATTAATCTTTTCAAGTGTCCAATTTTAATAGTGGATTTCAGTTCATATTGCCAGAGAACTTGGTAAAACTAAAAATATATATTATCATTAGACCTAATCTGCCATTAGCCCCCCTCCCAGCTCTTCCATTCGTACAGCAGGTCATAAGACTTCACACTTTTGGGTTGAAAACATGAACTCTTGCTCTAACCTAACCGTAAGACTAGAGTCTCCACCACTCATGTAATTAAACATGGTGGATAGACTGACACAAGTCTTCTCTCCCTTTGGACTGAAAGTTCTGAAGAATGAGTGAAAACTAAGAGTCTCAAGCCTCCTTTTTGAAGACATTAATTCCAACCCTAATCTTTAATATTTTCTGGTGAGCTTAAAGCTAATGGATCACTCTAATCTAGTGTATCAGCTGAAGAAGGTTTTTAATGTTTTCTGTGGATTAATGTTTCCTAACTCCTTCTCCTCTCTGTGCATGTAGTACCTGTTGAACTTCATCCACCATGGGCCCACAGGCTATGCTCCATACTGTGCTGAGCGTCTGAGGCGCACCTACAGCAATGGGGCCCGGACTGAACCTCCCAGCTGGCTGGAACTTCAGGTAGCAACTCCCTTTTGGCTTAATCATATTGATCTGGGACATTTGATACTGTTTTTTGTAAGTATATATAATAGCAGACGTTCCTAAATCAAATCATGGAAATCAATTGCACAAGGGGACTGAAGACCAGCCACCTTGGTCTGGGCAGTTCCTTGGGTACACCTCTTGTGGCTATTCAGTTATCCTAAATGCAGAAGAGCAGCAGCAGATGATTTGCAGGGAGATACCTCCATCCACTCAGGAACCACAGGCCAGGAACAACCTCCTGAGGAAAACTCTTACTATCACTTTCAGAAAGAACTGAGCAAAGATTATGCTTTTAAAATGAAAGGAAGAAGGGACTACAACGGTACTATATTGCTATATATCTCCACTTCCTTTAAATGTCACCCTAGTAATTAAATGTCACCCTAGTAACTAAAAATTACATCCCCTCCCCTTTCAAGTAAAGACCTGAGTTCAATTCCTCCCTAAATTTCAGTGACCCTATTGCTTAACACAAATCTTCCTGGGCACTGTACCTGCTACAGGCCATCTCTCCGCTGATGCATGTAAGGCTGTTCCCAAAAGTCATCGGGACAAATGTGGCTCATGAAGAGTCTATCAGTCAGCACTGTTATGTGATTACCAGCTTATGTGATTATCAGATTATCCTGAGCTGTGTGGAAGAGAAAACAGAAGTCCAGTGCTGCTCCAGGGATGTAATTTATATTTATGACTCACCATACTTTGAAGAAACTGTGTGGGTGTTGGAGAGTCACTTAAAGATTGCTGTACAGGTTGTACAGGGTGTGGAGCTCCTAAATCTAAATGCCTTCTTCATTCTTCAGCAGAAAGTAAGGTTTGTCCATAACTTTTTTCTTTCATTTAACTCTGACTTACAGGCAACAAAGCAGAAGAAACCCATTATGTTTAATGTCACCCTGATGAATGGCCAAAGCATCACTATCCCCGCAGACTCTGCTTCCACTGCCAAAGAGATCTGTCAGTTCATAGCAGATAAAACCAAACTGAAGGATGTCTTTGGATTTTCGCTCTACATTGCTGTGTTTGATAAGGTAAAGTGTAGAAAAATAGAATGAAAGCTCCCTTCTCCTTCTGTGGAGTTGCTGCTGCCCACTCAGCCTCACTGAGGACTCCTGAATTCTGGAACACTCTCAACTCAGTCCTGCACTGAAACCAAATTGGTTCTGAATCCCAGCTGGATTCAGGTCTCAAGACCTGATAATCCTGCCTTTCTGTTGGCTCATAACTCAGCAATTCTTGCTGCAGCCCTGTAAGGTTTTCTTTGCCACATAGTTGACTGCTAAAAATACATCCACTTACCACATACAGCTCCCATATTCATCTGCTTACCTTTTTGGAGTTTTTCTTGCTGTCAGGAGGCCAGGAGCTTTGTGTTTATTGTCCTTCAGGCAGAGCCAGAGCAGGCATGGCAGTAAATGCAGTGTCCCTTTGCGGCAGGTCTGGTCGCTGGGCGGGGGCCGAGACCACATCCTGGATGCCATCTCTCAGTGTGAGCAGCTGGTGAAGGAGCGGGGCACACACGAACGCCACGCACCCTGGCGCCTCTACTTCCGGAAGGAAATCTTCACCCCCTGGCACAACTCCCGGGAGGATCCTGTCAGCACTGATCTCATTTACCACCAAGTCATCCGTGGCATTCGATTTGGGGAGTACCGCTGTGAGAAGGTGGGTCTCCTGATTCATCCTCCTAAAGAGACAAAACTGTATCAATGCTTCCCACATGAAAAAGCAGGACTATGAACTGAGTTTGTAGTGAGTGTGAGCAACCCTTCCCTTCTTAATGAACAATTCCTGTCCAGGTGATTGTGCCAGCTGTCACACTGGCAGTTCTAATTAATACTTTCTCCTTCCCCGCAACTTTCAGTTCACATGGGAACTTGGAGGCATGTCCAAAGGAGTAAATTGGGTCTTACTTTAAAATATCTTTGCTAATAATCTCTCTAATGTTAAGATTGTGTGAAGTTCATCCCTCCTTATGCTGGGTGACTGTTAAGGGTTATACAGACAAAAATTGAGCAAACCCCATTTCTAAATGATTCAAAGGTTGAAAGAGGCTATCTAGCCTTTGTGACATCCTTCTAGGCCTCTTTTTATGGATTAATTGTTTCAGGAGGAAGATTTGGTGGAGATAGGTGCGAAATATTGTTATATCCAATTTGGAGATACCATCCACAATGAACTTGTGCAGAAGGTGCTCCATGACTGTATCCCAGTAAAACAGCTGAAGTCCAAGCCCCTGGAAAAGTGGGTGAGCCTTATAACCTATGCACATGCTAAGGTAAGAGCTTTGTCAGGCACTGTTGGGTAACCACTCTTGAGCACCAGCTTCTGCTTCTTTCACCATTTTCATTTATGTATAGTCTATAGGGGAAGAAGGAAAACCAGCTTAGTTTGTAGATCCCAAATAGCTCATTAGGTCTAGGGCAGCAGAAAACCTTTCCATTCACACTTCTGTATGAAGAGCAAGGGGGAATAATGAAAAAGTACATTTAAATCTCTGAATAAAGTAGCTTTTGAGGTTCTATTTTCCATCTGACAACCAAGTCAGGAAGGGCTTGGGATGGAATACTGGTTTTGATCTAGAAATGGATCACCAGAGTTATTTCTATGGCATCCAAGGTATGTTAGACTCTGAACAGGTCAGTGGGGATTTGAGGGAAATTTGGAATCCAGATGCCTGTGGGCACTCTTAGCTGCATGTGGTTCCCTGGAGACCATTCCTGATTTACTTTCTCCAAGTTTCCTTGATACCAGTAACAGCAGAGGATTGTTGGGATCTCTGGGATTGGGCTTGTTCTTTATTGTCTGCAGATCATGCAAACCAGATTTTACTGAGAAAACCTTCGGTGTGTTATTTTCCTGCAGGCCCCATATACACAAGACCATCTCTCCTCTCAGACTGTGAAGGAGCAACTTGTAGATTTTGCTCGCTTTCAGTGGCCTTTGCTTTTTTCCAGATTCTTTGAAGTCACTAAGTTTTCAGGTAATACCTGTAGCCTAGGAGTAGAGGACAGATATAAGATCAATAGGAGAAGACTCATATAGCATTGATAAGGATTTTTTTTCTGTATTTTCAGGACCCAGCTTGCCAAAGAACCACTTCATCATTGCTATAAATTGGAAAGGCATCTGCTTCTTGGATGAGTCAGAAAAGCGGTTCCTTGAGCTGACCTTCCCAGAGATAACTGGAATCCACACCAACAGGTGAGGGCCACAGAAAGACAAGATCTGAAGATGGCATCTCTTCCATACTCTGAAAGGGTGTACCTTCTCTGCCACCTCCTTTGGTGATTTGATCTGTGCCTGGAAAGGTGGTTTAGCCTAGGTCTGGGAAACAGAAAGGGAAAACTCCTGAGCAGCCTGTAAAGGAAATACTGAAAGGACTGGATCCTTCCAGCTGGTGTTAAGTCATCCTGTTCGGTCAGAAAGGTGTAAGAAGCACAGACGGGCATTGAGACAAGAATGGCCCAAATAACTGACACAGTTAAGCCACTGTCTGCTGTGCATGCTGGCAGTTCACACACTTCCTGGGTGTCATGGACCAAACAGGATCACTGAGAAAAGCAGTTGACCACTGCTTGCTTATGGCACACATCCTTCCATCAGGTCATTTGGATAAAAGGGTCTTACATACACAGAAAAGCTTCCTGAGAGGACTGCCGGAGATTTAATTAGTTGTCAAGTTACTCCAAAAGAAGGGTGTTCTTTTGTCTGTATTTTGCCTATTTGTACAAAACATGGTGAAGTGCAGAGTAAAGCTGAACCACTTCAGTCCTTCACACCTACCAGCTCATGGGAAGGCAAATTAGGAACTACCAAGATTCACTGTAAGGGAGTTATCTGCAAGGAGGTGTGCGTGCCTTGGCTGTGTTCACAGATGGGTCTGTAAGTTCTTCAGATGCTCTGGTAACAAACTGTTCAATAATACATAGGGCAGTGAAGTCATTTGGACAGAGTTGCACTCTCATCACCCTTCGTGCTGAGGAGTTTGTTCTGACATCTGTAAACAGCGTTGTCATTGCTGAACTGGTGGTGATGTTTCTGGAAGGACTGAAGAAAAGATCACGATTTGCTGTGGCAATGCATGAGAAAAAATCCCAGGGTAAGTCTCATAACTTTTCTACAGGGTGGGGAAGAAATCATGAAAGAATCCACAGTACTTGTTTGAAGGTGCTCAAAGAGGTGAGGGACAACTTCATCAAGAGTCCCTTTGCTCCCAGGGGGATGCATCAGCACAGCAATGCCAAGCATAAGGCATTGGGATTCAGTACCTTTGCACACAAATAACCTTTCCTTCCTCCTTTTCCTCTTTATATATAAATATATTTTATTTAGATAGTATAGCGTCCAGGAGCTCAGTTTGATTATATTAGGAAGTTGATCTGGGCTCGCTAGGAATACTTCACAGAAGAGTTTCACAGAGGCAGTAAACTGGAATTTTCTGTGAAATACAGGTGGCTCAAACAGATATACAGATATGTTTTAAATGTAAACATTAATTACTTACAGGTACTGAGTCCCTTTCCATGCTTTGCTGCCAGTCTAGACAGAAAGTCAGCATTCATGTGAACCAAACTGAGTTCTGCCATTGCCCTCAGTGAATCAAAGTCAGGGTGTCAGAGGAAACAAGTGATTTCTCTGAAGTATTATTGGAAAATTAGCCATATTTATACAAATCACTTTCTACTGCAAACTGAATTCAGGCCTTCAAAATACAATTCCCTTGTCTTTCACATTGCAATCCCTCTGCATTTTCTCAGGCTGTCAAGCCTGAACAGTATCCCCTTATTCTGTTTTCCAGAAGATCCTGGCATCCTGTCCTTCAAGAAGGGAGACTTGCTAATCTTCACCGAAGACAAAAGGCTGGATGCAGATTCTGGCTGGATCTATGCCCAGAATGAAAGGACAGGCAAAACAGGGAATGTATTTTTGGAAGACATCTACATCATTCCTTCCCTCACAAAACCCTCTAGTCAAGTGCTGGTAAGGAAAGCTAAGCACTCCCTGTGAAAAGACTGAAAGAAGATAAAAATGTTAATATGGTTATATTTATAACTGGAATTTATAACTGGAAGATAACTGTCCCTCCAAAGTCAGACAAGTCCTATACCTCCCACTGAAACAAAGCATTTAATTCTGTCCTGTCTGAAAACAAAATTTAACCTAGCCTAGGCACTAAGGAGAAGACTGTAGCTGCCTAAAAGCAATGACTAAAAAAATCCCCAAAATCCAGTCTATTCACCATGGGAGATTTCAGTGCCTGGAACTGGTAGCAATTAATGGGTATGGGTGTGCAGTTGAATTTTCCTGCTTTCACTCTGGGCTTGAGTGGCGATCACGTTATGCCTCAAGAGAACCTCTGAGTGCAGCAGGTTACTTAAAGAGAATATGGTCTTTGAGGGAGCCAAGGTTTCTCATTAATGCCTCTGCTAATAATTTTGTCTTCAGTTTTGAAGATTCAGTATATTGGATCCTGTGCTAACAGGTAAAAAGCAGAAAAACTGGTGGCAAAACACACTAGAGAGAAGCAGGTGCATTGTAAAGCATGTGTTGTGCTTTGGATAATCATAATCATTTTAATGTCCATTACTATTATGTCTATGTAAATTGCATCTTTGAGTCAACTGTTCTCAGGTCTATCCTGAGTCTCTGGAGATGCTGCTTTTGCGACAGAAGGTCTCAGGCAGCATAGAGGACTACCTGCACATATATGCTGAGTAGCACCTGACAGTGCGTGCAGAGACCTGTCTCCGTGTGATATCTCTATGTGGCTGTGCTATTCCAGAGTTTGCTGATGATGTCTCCAGACCAGAGGAGGACAGCTTCCCAGAACTCCTTCATGGAGGAACCTGATGAAGAGGATATCAAGGTGAAGCCTTACACCCTGGAGGAGTTCTCCTACGAACACTTCAGGTGAAGCTCTCTGTGTAGAGTATGCCCTAGAAAAGTTCTTATTGATCAGTAATCCTTAAAGCTTATTATGTAATGGCATCTCCCATTTCTGATTTGGTTTCTTCTTTTTGTTCCCTGTAACTTTGGACATACAGAGATTCTGGCACATGGCCTATTTGTATCTTAAGTCTGCAGAAATACAAAGGGGAGGGTAGAAGAACTCCAGCTGGACTGACCTCTTCTAGTAGGCCCTATTCTTACTTCCCACCCCTTCTTCAGCACTTACCAACTAGTGAGGATATACATCTCAGGCTTCAGAAAGTAAGGGGAAAATTAGTTTTCTAAAAACTCCTTTTTGCAAGTCTCCTACCTTTTTGATATACAGGAAACTACACTTCCCTGCTCTTGTTGACCGACAGAATCAAAGGAGATTTGAGATCACTGTCTTGTGAAAGAATAGGTCTAGAGATATTACTTTGCAATAATGACCACCTTTGTTCATAGCAACACCGATCCAGTAATTTTGTATTGCTTGCACTTGTCTTCATGCAGGACTCCTGAGAAGGAATCCATCAGCAAAGCTGTTCTTCAGAAATCCCGTGGGCACAGTCAACTGTGGGCACATTCTAAGGAGCCTCTGAAACAGCCATTGCTGAAGAGAGCATGCACAGACCCTGATCTTCGGGATTTGGCCTGTCAGGCCTTCATTGATATCCTTTCTCTTCTTTCTTTGGGATCTGAGAACACTAAGGGGAAGGGAGAGTTAGCTAGGTCCACTAAACTACCTCTATTCAGATATCTCAGACACCTTACAGGGGATAGATACACTGGCATAAAGATGGAGCAGATCAAATCTGTTTTCCTTGTCTACAGAGGAAACATTCCTATTTCCTCCCAGTACTCCACAGCTACTGATAATGATAATAATAATAGTAGTAATAATACTAATAATACTAATAGTACTAATACTACTAATAATAATGTGGCTTTAGGAGTGAGATTTATTGCATATGCCCAGAGAAAGCAGCTACTGGCACAGTACCAATCATGGCCAAGCAGCAACTGCTGCATAGGGGAAGGCAGTAGGGGACAGACAGGGAACATGCTCCAGACCTTCCTCCCAGTATTTGCCACACAGACATCAACAAAGTCACTAACATGTTAGAATCCAGATGAAACTTCCCATTTACCTTCCAAAATTGGCCTGCTTTTCTCCTTAACAGCACATTCACCCATCATGAAATTCATGGGAGACTACCCCTCAAAACAGGCACACTCCTCTGTGGAAGTGACTGACCAGATATTTGTGCCAGCCATCCAGGAGGAGATCCTGCGGGATGAGATTTACTGTCAGATTATGAAGCAACTGACTGAGAACAGAAACAGGTATTTACCTCAGTGCAAACACCCTGCTCCTGCAGAGCCAGGCCTCAAGTGCAGGAGGCATTAGGAACTCCTGTTGCATTTGTGATGCAGTGGGGGGAAGGGGAAAGACACACAAATGTTGGGGTAACAGCTTCCCTTCTCCCTTTTGCCAGGCAGTGCTGTGGGGCTCACCTTTGTGGAGCTCTCAGGACTACTCCCTGGCAGGGACAGGCCACAGAGCACCATCAATCATCTCCCCTGAGCTGCTGCTTTGCTCCCTTCAGCATTCTGTGCTCATCTCCTTGTGGTGTGAGGCAGGCAAGGTGTCACTGAGGCTCTCCTGCTCCCGAAGCAGTCTACAGAGGAAACACGGCACTGCATAGTCCTTGCATCCCTTCAGTGCCTGCCTTGACAACTCTCCATTTAAATTTCCCAATGGCAGCATTCCCCTCTCACACAAACACAGTACCCACTGGATTTTTAGCACCAATTAATAAATGCTTTTGAGTATAAATTAATTAGGTTTCATAACTGCCTTACAGAACAGATTGGTTTCAGAGGCACCTGCCCACATAAAAGTCTCTGAAATAGGCTGGCGTTTTCTTCTCCACTCAGAAAATGATAACTTGATCTACTTTCAGGGAAAATGAATTGCATTCTGTTTCTGAATGCATTGTGTTTATTTATTTATTTATTTATTTATATTCTGTCTTACTGTTCCACAAGTATTACATGTAGTGGAACTTTCATGATGTGTGCCAGTGTTGAATGGTAAATTCCCTTACAAGCAGTGAATCTTACAGGCTATTTCAAGCATAGTCTGTAACCATGGTGCCAGTGCCATGCCTGATGTATTCCACCAATTTTGTAACTGTTGTGAGTGGGATCACTGATGTGGAAAGCACAATGCTTGAAAGGTGGCTATTTCCATATACTTTCACTGGAGCAGCCAGAGAAACAAATCTTTCATCCTTCCCAGGCTGCTGTGTTGTGGACCATGTCCTGCTCTCACAGAGACACAAAAAACACTCATCTATAGAGTATAAATGGAATTAAAATAGTGTGTCTTCATCTGCAAAATTAGAACATTAGAACAGTACATGGGAATAAAGAAGCCACAACTTCTTTATTCAGTGAAGTCTGATGACTTTTCAGAGCCAGACATGCTGACTTTCCCAACCAAAACCACACCAGTGAGCATCTCACAGCAATCCTTGGACACAGCTGAAGTGTGTTCTGCTCCTGGCTTTGGGGCAGAATGACTGACCACCTCGAAGCTGCAGAGCCCTTCTTAATGGTGAGGGCAAGATGCCAGAAGAGTTTCAGCTGGCAGATTTCACAGATGCAGAAGCTGGAAGAACTGGATTTCTGCCTGAAAAATAGTACTATCTTGATCTGGAGCATTTAAGAACTGCATCTACCTCACTACATAATGGTATCAACATGTTCATTTTTCAGAACAGAACAGGAGTACATATAAGTGGAAGCCAGTGTATGTAAAGTGCTCATGCCCTGAGCAAAGCTGGCCAGTGCAGAGGGCACGTGAATATATCCATTGAGAAACCATGATCTGAATACATGTGAAGGCTCTGTTGATTTGCAGCTCTCTGCAGAATGGGACCATGATAGGAGTGTATTCCTCTTCCCTGTAGCTGGTGTGTGGTCAAACAGAGAATTGTATGTGGCTGTAGCAGAACTGCTGGCTTTGTGTTCACAGGTACAGTGAGACCAAGGGCTGGCAGCTCCTCTGGCTCTGCACTGGCCTCTTCCCACCCAGCAAGTCACTGCTCAAACACGCCCAGAAGTTCATAGAGACACGTCAGAAAGAAACACTGGCCCCGGGGTGCCGTCGGAGGATTCAGACAGTAATGAGGTAAATAATCTGGCATGTAACCAGCCCAAAGTATTCAAATATCAACAATCAGGTCCCAAAACCCACATGGGCTAAAATAGTGTGACTGTCACTTTCCTTTTCTCCTTACATCTTGTTTTTTTTAAGTGATTATTTTTCACATTCATTATCGACTCTGAACCATTAAAGAGAGGTCTGTATCAGTTTCACTTTTTTCTTTCACAGAGTTAGCAGCATTTTCAAAAGTTCATCACCACATATAATTACTTGACTCCCAGAGCTGGGTATTTCAAGCATCTTAAAGGGCATGCAGCTTGGAATGATGTCACTGATGATATCCTGACCTTAATTTTCTTTGGTGAGGCAGTGTGTCCTTGTTGAAAGGATCAGTACAATCAATTCCTATTCTTTGAAAAATCCCAAATGAACAGAGCCCTGACTCTTACCTGGCTGCTCGCAGCAAGGCACTTCTCCATCCACTTGGCTGAAGCAACAAGACCCCCAACCCACAGTGCTTCCTCAACTTCCAAATCAGTTGTTGTTCAAAGGGACTTGACACGACCAGAGAGAGGGGAAGGGCTAACAGGATTTCAGGAACTGCAGAGAAAGGTTTCCCTAGAGTCCTCCAAGCACTGGAATAACCCAGCTTGCCCCTCTGAGAACAAAGCTTTGACATCAAGATTGACTCCAGCCTTCTCCCTTTTGATGGTGTTGTGATTTACCACTTGCCTGCCACAGACCTCATCAGTAAAGAATCTGCCCAATGATTTTTCCTTCCAGCTCCTCCATCTTCCCCTTTCTCTCAGGCTGGGCCATGAGTTTGGCCTGTGAGCCCCATGGGTCAGGCTCTAGGGGAACACTAACACAGTGGATATCCCCCTTGCAGTGGATGGGGTTTGGAACTGCTGGGGAAATGTCATCACACATTGAACTCGCTTTTGAAGTGTCTCTGAAATGCGCGGCAAGGAATGCTATTCATCGTTTATTTCTATGGAGAAGACTTAAAAATTCCTGCCTCCCTATATCATGTGCTATTCATGATCTAAGCCCTGTTGAGCCATACAGAGCTTCTTTAGAGAGAGCACATAGGGAGGGGAAAGCAGAATGGGTTGTTTGGAAGGAGAATTTTATCTGCTAAACTGCCCCAGATCTGGAGCCTGGGGATGGGAAGTGAAACAAAGACAAATCTTGTCATCTAAGAGCAGTTATTTTCCTAAGATTAAACTTGCATCTGTTTAGAATAGAATAGAATAGATTAGATTAGTACAGAATAAACTATTTCAGTTGGAAGGGATCTTCAATGATCATCTAGTCCAACTTCTTCCTGTAAGTAACCTGGTCTCTTCGGAAATGGTAGAGCAGGCAGCTCAAAGGATTGACCTACAGTACATACAGGGGAAGCCAACTGAGCCCCTGGGTACACACCTTTTCCTCCACAAACCTCTTTATAGCTTCATCCCCAGAATCCTGGCCAGGGAACCACCCTTATGGGTGTTAAGCAGATCTCACCTTGGCAGTGAACTGCTAGCTCAGACTGCGAGGAGAGGTGAGTAGCCCTATGCCTCTGCAGCCAAACTGCTGCAATTCCTTGAGCTCTCAGGGCCTCCCTCTGATGCCAGTTCAGGAACAGGTGTCTGAGTAGGGCAGGTCCATGCTTTGGACAGAGCCTGCACAGTACAAAGCACATGCGGTTCAGCTTGGTTACAGTAAAGTTTTCCTTCTCCAAATGGAAATGCTCCTTTACTGAATGGAAAAAAATTAGTTTTCAAATCCATAGAATTAAAGCTTGATTTCAGACTAACCTCCTGAGAGAACACCCCAGTGTGAGAGGCCCATAAGGTATGGTGTTCAAAATACATGAACAGCCTGCTCTGTGCCACCGAGGACAGGAACTTACCAGCCCCAGGAGATAATTTGCTAGATTTGTTTTCACTTTAACTATGTCAAGGTTTTGGCATGACTGATACTTCAGGGACAGTTTCTTTGCTTTAAAAGGCAGCTTTGCTCTGAGGTATAATTTCAAAGAAATGGTTTTGTACAGCTTAAGCCCCTCCTAAGTCAGAGATTGCACTCCAGCTCTTGTATAAAACGCAATACTTTCAGCAGCTCTCCAGACCTTTTTGGTTTGGGCTCTGAGTCCTTTTGTATCCAAATACATATTTTTTGCTGATGCAGGAATTAAGTAAAATGTATTTCTCCTCATAGCCATTACAGTCAGACTTCAGTAAGGAAAAATGCTGCTGAATCAGTAGAAGAGGCAATGGTGCTGGCTAGGAAGGTGCCTTATTCATGCAACCTCCAAGCAGAGCAGAGCAGACTTTTACTTTACATGCTAGTAAAACCCTCAGTTTTTTGCTGTTAATACGCTGAATTTGCACTGGGGTGGAGGTCCATTGGAGCCTGCCCCATCACACAGTACTGGCATTTTGGAGGGTATCTGCTGTTTGGCTGGAATACTGCTCATTTGTTTAATGATTAAACTGATCACTGTTATGGGGGTGGTGGCATTTTCCAGGAGCGGCTGCAGGAAGTGGGCACCTCATCCTGTGGAGGTTGAGGCCATCTTACAGAACAACACTAAGATCTCACACAAGATTTGCTTCCCCAATGAAACAGAACAGGTGAGCACTTATTTGTTTTCCCAGCCTTGACCGTATTTCCAGCCATGATGTGCTCATCCAGGAGCACGTATGAAGACATTCAATATTCTTATTTTTTCCTCTCCTCTGTGTAACAAGCGTCTTGTTATCTCATAGACATTTGATGTGGGAACAAACACCAAAATCCAGACTCTGTGTCAGAACATTGCTTCCAAATTGCAGCTGCAGTCCTGGGAAGGTTTCAGCCTCTTTGTGAAGATTGCAGACAAGGTAACTCCTTCTTGACTCTGGCAGGGTAGCCAGACTGCCCCTCCTCTCTTTTTTATTTACCAGACCACCTAAACAACCATATGAAACCAAGGACCAGAGCAGGTGATTACTGCTTTTGTCTTACTGAGAGGATACAACCTGAACTTGAACTTTTAGCACCTGAGAGTTATTTTAAGTCTCTTGAAGGGGCTGGATGGAGATGCAGAGTTTCTATCATTCTGCAAGTACCCAGGTGGCACTAAAAGCAGAGAAGATTTAGGCTTTCTGGCAGCTGCTATGATGGTTGCATACTGCTGCATTCAAGCCTTTTTCACTCAGACTTGCCCAGATGTGCTGCACATGTACAGTGTGTGCTAGGATTAGTGAAAGCAGGGGCAACCAGCACCAGTTAATTACTCTCTGGTTTATTGGGAGCCTGCCCTGCCTGAGCTGAAGCTTGGGCTGGCTGTCTCACTGAGAGGTCCCTTCTCTCTGAAACTGTGATCAAGGCAAAAGAGCACTAAGCCCTAACACAGGGAGTTTCTGGTGTGCTGCCTTCCTGAAAAGAGAAACCCAGTATGTAACAACAGTTTACAAAGAGAAGAAGACTGGGAATAAGGTAGGCATCTTCAACTTGACTTCAATAAGCAACCTGGAAAGCAAAAAGCAACAGAAGATGCACTAAAGATCCCCATATGAAATATAAGTAAATTGAGCCTTCCTCCTCCTATTTTTCTACTTCTTTCCTACTATAATTCTGCCCTCTCACTGTAGACAGGGAAATAAAATTCAGCCTGATACTTGGGTATGTGGCACAGGCAGTATTTTATATGATGTTCTAACCCCTCCTTTCTCTCCTTCATTGCTTGGTCTCTGCAGGTGATCAGTCAGAATGAAGCAGACTACTTCTTTGACTCACTAAGGCAGGTGACAGACTGGAACAGGAGGAACAAACCGGGAAAAGATGGTAAGGAGAATGCCAGCATGACAAGAAGTTGCATGAGATGCTGTGTTGAACTGGAAAACAGCTGATCCATCCAGTAGGATTCACTCCATCTTGAGAAGTATTTAGCAGTCTTGTATAATTTCTGTTTGTACATACATGGTTACTGCCTGCACCAGCAGCAAGATCCAGTGATGCAGCCAAGCACTGGTTATCAAAAACACTAGGACATTTCTGGGCTGGGGAGAGGGGGGGAGGGCAGGGGGGAAGTCTCTCCAGAAATTTTAAATTGGTAAAAAAGATTTTTTTGACCTGTTGTATCCAAAACACACAGCTGGATACATGCAAGTTAGATAGGTTGATCCTCAAATACTAAGAATCAGCCAACATGTGCAAATAGGTTCTTTACAGAGTGTCACTCACATTTCTTGGGTTGTTAGAAATTTTTTAACCAGGTTATTACCTGGTGACACCTAAACACAAGTTATGTTGTGAAGGAACCACTTGTTAGAATAAAACAATGTAATACTAATAACAGCAATTCGTTGCACTTACTGTCCCATCCCCTCCTCCCCTACAGATAATATACATTTTGAAATCTACATCAAACTCAAACTCCACTCAAATTTCCTATCAGTTTGTCCTGACCTTTGTGTATTTCAGGACAGCTGAGGTTCAACTCCCTGAAGCTCTATGTATCTAAGACTTTCTAACTTCTCTTCCCTCAGCTGATGCAGCTGCTAGGAACTCTGAAAATCACAGTATAAAGATGTGGGTGCACTAAATCACAATTAATTTGTACAAGCACAGCCATCAGGGGATGTACTTGCATGGATGTAAGAGAGTTCAGATGTGCTGCATGCCAGCAGGCAGCTGTCATGAGCACCAAGAACACTCACAGTTAGTCCCTCAACTTCTCCTCCCTCTGATCATTGCATGAGCAGTGTCCAGGAACTGGAAACTAATAATTTGTTGTCACATAAAATGGCTGTGTTGTTTTGTTAGTAATTTTGTTTGTTGCTATTTAAACCATAATTACATTTCTGAATGAATTCACAAGCCATTTATAAACTGTAGAACTGTCAGTGACACAGAGAACACTAACAAGATCTGATCTCCTTAGGGGCTGCTCTGTCTGTGGCGTATGAAGTGTACTTCATGAGAAAGCTGTGGCTGAATGTCATTCCTGGCAAGGATCTGAAAGCTGATACCATTTTCCATTACCACCAGGTAAGCAGCTCCCTAAAGCAGAGATATCTTGTGATCCAAGAAATACTCCTGAGAAATTAAGTCTGTAGGAGTATTACTGGCCTGTTTTATACAGGCATTATACAGGCTCTAGAGGAATGCCTCCTCCAGAGGGGGGAACAGCTCAGCCTCAAAACAGATTTATTTCTCAGTGTTTACACCTTACCTATACTGAACATGTTAAGAGTACAGCTCCTTTACCTTATTGTACTGTGGAAATGCTGATCTTGCTCCATAAATCAGAGACTCACAGAAAGTTTTGGGTTGGAAAGGATCTTTAAAGATCATCCACAGAACCTTTAGAAGGAGTCAAAAGTTCTTAGGATGTCCTTGGAATGTATTTGGCAAGACTTGCGTCCTGACCTCACAAATTTAGAATGTTGAAGTCAGTGTTTGCTTTAGCCCATTCTGCCTGGATTCAGAGCTGGTCTCTTCCAGGAGCTGCCAAAGTACCTCAGAGGCTACCACAAGTGTTCCAAGGATGAAGCTGTGCAGCTGGCAGGGCTGATTTATAAAGCACACTTCAACAACGACCGCACACAGCTGGCAGCCATCCCCAAAATCCTGAAGGAACTGGTGCCAGACAATCTGCTCCGAGCAGCGTCACCAGATGAATGGAAGAAGGTAAGAACATTAGTTTTCATTAGCCATATTACATATACAGAGCTTTAGCAGAGAAAACACCTTGAGCCACACTACATTTTTGATCTGATGGTCTTTGAAAGTACAGTGGAGGGATGGTATTGAATATTGCTGGATTTGCCAGCAGGATAAAAAGAGGATTTGCCGCTTATAGTCCAGATTTTACATACTCTACCAAAATTCTGAAAGATATCTGCAGGCCTGGATGGCTTATCTGAAGTGTGCATCTTTCCTGGAGATACTGATCTATTTCCAGTGCCCAGAAAAAGAGTTAGAGATACGAGAGTCAGTAAAGGGACTCGGAAGTTGAGGATATTGGACAGAAATAGAAAATTAGGGTGTCTCACAAGTATTTCTTGGCAGCAAATAAATCTCCTTGAATCATGTCCATGCTACTTACAGCAAGACTCTTTTTATCCACAAAAAGGGCAAGGAACTTTCAGCAGGTACTTATCACTTAGTCTGCTGAGGAAAACACAGGACATCCTTTTAAATACTAAGGGAAAATTCACCCTCCATTTTTCAGCCAAAGATGTAATACATGTCTGTGGGTGTTGAACATTGGCTTTCTGAGTTTTATCTCACATTGCCCCTCTGCCCTGAAGTCCATTGCCTCGGGCTGCTAGGCCCTTCACCCAGCAGAGGAATAAGGAACTCTGGAGGGTTCTGGCTTTACCTTCCCACATGGCAGAGCAGCTGTTTTGATTTTCAGTATTCTGCTGCTGGGGCAAAAAGCCCGATTGTGGTGATGAGCTGATTCTGTCTTTAGTGCTAAGGCTAGGCATTAGAAACCTACCTATCCACCTCACCTGGCTTTGTATCCTCTTTTCCTAAACAGAGCATTATTGCAGCATATAGTAAACATGAAGGAAAAACTGTGGATGAGGCCAAGATTGCTTTCTTGAAAATGATACACCGGTGGCCAACATTTGGATCAGCCTTTTTTGAGGTGAAGGTAGGTTTGAAGGCCTGTGTGAGTGGATTTGGTCATAGATCCAAGGGATACAGACTGACCATAATTCCATATCTGAAAGTAAAAATACATGATAAAGCAGAATTCTTGTAATCTATTGAGGAAAACTCAGTTCCTTCCAATTTTTGAGATGGATTCTTTATCCATTCTGAACTATGCTTGTTTATTGGCAGTGTTGTTACTCTAGGTATAATACCTCTACTACAGTTGTGTAGTAGCTGTAGGGGACTAAATTGTCCTGTCATTGCTCTCCACAAGAAAATGCTACCAAATCTCTTTGGTGACTCTTCCCTCAGAACAGAACTGTACTAATCCTCACGTCCTGGAGTGGATATCACCCAATAATAACTTCCCACGTGTTACCTTTAATTTCTCCTCACTAGGCTATTAAATAGTTTGCAATATGTGATTATAATAATAATATTATATAATTAGATATAAAACATATTTAATAATAAAATAATATATATATTTATGTTATATATAACATAATATATAATAGTATTATTATATATTATAATAATACAATAGCTAATACTATAATTATATAATTATAAATTTTATATTATATAAATTATTATAAATATAATAATCTAATTATTATTAAGCCTGTTATCAGACAGCATAGTAAATAATGGACCTGATTCTGCTGTCATGTAGCATTTGCTCAAGTCGTCTGTATATGGCCAAAATGTTTCAGTGTTCATTTGGGAAAGAGAACAAGAAGCACTGGACACTGTTAAAGGTCACTTGACCCCTGATACAGATAATTTCTCAATTTTCTGCTTATCTTGCTGTGTTACTCATTTACAGCAAGCCTCAGAGCCAAATTTCCCAGAGATTGTACTGATTGCAATCAACAAGCAAGGAGTCTCACTGATACATCAGAAGACAAAGGTAACAGCTGCTTCTCACTAATGCATCTAAGGAAGGATTGAACACACCCTACTAATTTAGAAACAGTGATAGGACCTTGGAATGGTAGGAGAGGATAGAAGCTCTCTATTAATTTTCTGAGTGAAACTGAAGAAAATGTTACTGCCTCAAATCACTTCTTTGCACTTTCTACACTGGAAAGGAATAGAATAGAGCAACTCTGAGAAAAGACATGGGAATCATGATGGACCTGGCAAGGTGGTAAGATTAGGAAGGTGGGTGGGCAGCGCACGCAGGAACCTGGGTTTCAGAAAAATGCTTTGCAGGAAGCCCCAGATGTCTAAAAGATCAGGCTGAATGGCCATATTTAGGTGCAGTCTAACCCCAAGAGTCTGGCCTTACCAAGTTCTTAGGAAAATGGAGTATCACTATTTGCTTTCAATAATGAAACAAATTAAAAGCTCGTTTTAGATTATTGTAAATCTAATAGAAGTGTGCTAATGCAAAGGTCAATATATAATGAAAGAAAGTCTCATTAGTGTGATTAAGAATTACCCATGTGGTGAAAATACAATATTCCACTAATCTGGATGCAAGAACCACCTTAATCCACTATTTTTATAAATGAAGTGGGAAAGAACAAGAATTCTCTGGCTCTACAGGGTTTCTTACGTAACAGCCTGTTTTCATTTGAGAAATGTTCTATAGATGAGTTTGTTTCCTCTTACAGGATATTTTAACAGTCTACCCCTTCAATAAAATCTCCAACTGGAGCAGTGGGAGCACATATTTTCACATGACAATAGGGAACCTGGTACGAGGAAACCGGCTCTTATGTGAGACATCTCTGGTAAGAAGAGTTTTGCCATCTTAGACACAACAAAATCCTGATTTTTCTTTTACAACCAGGATTGCTAAAAGATGGTGCAAAAACAAATACCAGTGCAGATACAAAAAGTATTCACTGCTGTGTCAATAAAATTGACATTTAGAACTGGTTCAGTTTATATATAAATGCTATCTGATACAAAGCTGCATGACACAGGACACAAAGAAAAATAATAATTTCCTAAATTCTTCCAATACATCAAAATTCTATCCAAGAGGTTAAGACTGCAAAGCTAGTTAAGAGGCTTTTTGTCTTGCGTGTCTGCCTCCAGTTATGTAGTAATGCCAGCCTTGTAAGACTTCTTATTTTCCAGGGAGCGGTGCCACCTTTTTAACAGTTGGTTTCAGATTATTCACAGTGTCAGAAAAGCATCACTGTATTAATAGTTAAAAGTAGGTTTGTAAAGATAAAAAAAACATTTAAAGGCTAACTACCCTGACAGAAAAGCTTGGATTCTTAAATACAAGAATCTTAAGTACAAGTCAAGCTACAGAGTGAATACCAAGGAGACAGTAGAGGTATGCTCTGTAAAGTTTTGGAAATCTATGAATAGCAGAGGGAGGAATGGATAAGTTACAACTGAAACAGTGACAGATATTAAAAGAAAAGATGTTCATGCAAGGAAGAACCTAAGAAGATTATAAACAAGGGAGGAAACTAGTTATTTTTGCCTCTGGAGCTCTCTGAGACGTATAAGACTTCTTTCTTTCCTGACAGGGTTACAAAATGGATGACCTGTTAACATCCTATGTACGCCTGCTCATGAATGCTGTAAACAAGCAAAAGAACCTCCCAGCCTGAGAGTGGAAATAGAGCCTGTGACCTGTACTTGTGCCAAACTACCTGTAATTTCATATCCCAGAAGAAATGCCATTTAAAAAATATTAATCTTGATGATCAACCTTCTGATCACATACTGAATGAACTGAGCTGCTGAAATACTACTACAGAAGAAGCTCAAGTGAGCATGTCCTTTCAAATATCTGTAACACTTCTGTCTTAGATGTAGTATGAGAATTCCATTCAGATATTGGATTTAGAGAAAGTTTAGATGACTTTAATATTCTATGGGAGTGGGGAAACCCTGTGAGAGCCCCTTCTAATAGCCCGAATCTCCTCCAAGACAGACACACATTAAGAGCTGTCTTCCTTTTGGAAAGAAAATGCCTCTTTATTGTATGTGCCCTCACCAAAGGCACAAACTCCAAGTCTTTGGAAACAAAGGTAACGTAATTTTTTTCTTCCTCTTGGCAATTCTAAGAGTGGGGAGATGCCCTTTAGTTGTAGATAACTGCACACTTTGAAAGGGAAGATGCTGGGTTTCATCCTCTGGTCCCTAGGTTACATGCTGCACATTACAGTAGACTGTCAGAATGTAACTGCCCTTCCTGCATGCTGCTAAACTTACCAGGGCCTTGCTGAAATGAAATAGTCTTCTTTCTTCCACATGTTAAGATGCTCTCAGAAACTAACAACCGCTTTCTACTGTGCAGTTTCTAATACGCTCTGAAATGAGTCTGGGGTTTGGGATCATCACTTTTAGTTGGTCCTGTTTCAAGATACAGATGAGCTATTCAGTGCAAATCAGAACTGAAGAACTCAGTCTAACAGAGGTCTGTTGAAAAGAGACTTTTCTGCTCTACAAAAATGTTCTGTTTGGAGTTATGCAGACATTCCTTCATGAGACAAGAATAATAGCTTTAATTTGTCCTGATCTTTTCTGCTTCCTGTTTAGCAGACAGTTTCAGTGGTAAAATTTGATTCAGCACTTGTTCATCTCTAAGAGCTTTGTAGAAACATAGCTTGGGTGCCACGGGAACCAGAGTGTGCTCTGAGTCTGTAAAGCAGATCCAGACTATGGTGGGAGTAAGCTTAGCTGCTTCCCCCTCAGAATGAGTGCTCTTCCCTCACTCCCAGCAAAACATGAATATGTCTTAAAGCATTTACACCAAGTTCCTTGAGACACAATCTGGCAGTGCTGGAAAAGCAGCTCTGCTTGATCTCTCAGTTTTGCCAATAGATGCACAATGGTTCTCTTGTTCCCTCTGACATGTGTGTGAAATTCAAATGCTGGTGGGAGTTCTGTATATGGGTGGCAAGGAAGAGCCCCACTCTCTTTGTGCATCTAAACCAGTGCCACACCTGTCAGAATAGCTGATCTTTTTGCAAGCAGTTAGATGCTCCTGCTGTATTGTCCATTGCTGGCAATGGAAACACTGGAGTCTATTTACCCAGAGTGGTTTTGTTGCCCAGTGTCTGATCTAACTAACTAGCAGTAAGTGAGAAATGTTCAACACTTCACCTGTACAAAAAGAAATTTTACAGCCAAACTGTATTGTTTCTGGTTTTTAAATAAAGACTGCAGAAAATCAACCACAATGTCTTTTTTTAACCAAGAAAAGTGAATGTTTGCTCCAGATCCATGTAAATCTACCAAATATCCACTATATCCTGTAAATGGCCATAGCATCCCATCTGCTCATTACATACACAACACAATTTGTACAACACAGCCACTAAAAGGGTGATACCTCTTTCTGCAAATCCTCATCAACCAACACATCACCACAGAAGCAGCACAGGTCCAAAATGTGAATTCACCACAACAGTGACTCAGATTTCAGCAATCCCAGAGTTCCTCAGAGTGGGTAATAGTCTCTGGCTAAGCACTGAAAAGATGGTATTAACTGTACACTATACAATTTTAATTTTTTTGTGTAAAGATTTAAAATGTATTACAGTTAACTTTAATACAAGAACATACAAAGGCACAGTATTACAGCATTTCAATCTACAATCACGTGTTTTCATTAGACAGCTCAAACAATGTGTGATAAAATGAGAGCTCTACATGGTGCAGAACCCATCAAGGCCTGAACCAAGGGAGGGAGCTGCTAATTCTTTTCTCACTCTAATACCCTCAGCACTTAACAGTGCTTTACAGGCTAGTAATAACCACAAGTATTACATGCGTGCCTGCAATCTATTCCTTCCCCAGCCAATCACTCATGAAAGAGTGTCAGTCATACCATCTAATACCAACCATGCCACATCAGGAATTCTCTGTACAAAAGGCTGACCAGTGTTTGTCAGCACTGCACAGACTGCTGTAAAAACACCAGGACGCAAATCCTAGAGAGCAGATTAGTGCAATAAAGAAAGACTGCAAGTGATTAGCATACCCTTTGAATACCAACAAGCTTCATACCATGCTTTCTAAAAACAAAACCATTTTTTCAAGTGTACTCAGTGAGTGTTAGTGATTTTAATTAGGTATAAATATGACTGTAAACTGTAAGTCTATAGTATGAGACAACATATTTTGTTAAGTGTAGATTTCTGAGCCAAGTTCAACCTCCATATAAATCTCTACTCTCCAGTGATGTGATGCATAGGAAGAATTTAGCCAACAGGTCTATTTACAGCAATGGAAAGAAAGCATGCAGCTTATTTCTTACTGACACCTTGACTGTATTTATTAAAAAGAAAACAAAACCCAACCTGTCAGCCTACCAAGGCACTAAGGAGAACTTGTGAGTTTGCACTATATTCTGCTTGGTTTTTAAAAAGTAGACTGACAGAAGTAAGGGAAGATACATTTTTTTAAACCATTTATAGTTATTTCTCCTACTCCTTCAATTCTACTCTCACACAAAAGGTATGTTGGTAATATAAACTACTGTAACTGCACATTGCAGGCTATGGGCAGCAGAAGTATAAGAAAATCATTGTGAAAAAATAATAATTTAAGATAATATAACCCCCCATCAATATAGAGATGAGAGATCAAAATTATTCTTTCCACCAATTAATTTTGTGAAATGTTCTGAAGATAAGGACATATTCCAAATCCTAGAGAACTGAACAGCTTATCAAAGGGAATGATATCAACTCTCCTGTGAGCTCTGAAGCTTTCTAGGTCTGCCAGATTTCTAACATGAGACAAGATGAAAGCACACACTAAATCTTTACTCGCAGCACAGAAGTAATGCCATTCACCTTCACATACGTGCATTTTCCATTGCTAAATGTGAGAGTGGCCACTGAAAGAACATTGTATTACCTATTGGCTGCTAGTTATTTAATCCTTCCATATTTACCAGGAATGTGTGGCTGTGTGTTCCTCCACTACTTCCCAGGAGGCTGGGGATACACAGCTGCTCAGATTCAGCATTAGACAAGGCCTGTGACTGAGATTACAGGAGCAGACTGGAATGTTTTATGCTGAGAAGAATCTGCATAACATACTGAGCTGCATCTAGGTCAGAACCTCGAGTGTTTTATGTTGCGACAAAATGCCAAACAGGTTTGATTGTAAATAGGGGTCATTGCAGGGCCACACTACTGCATCAAAAGACATGCTGTTCTTTGTGCCCCTAAACTAAAAGACCATTTTAAGGCTGGTGAGAGAACAGTGAATAGCCACATGTTCTCCTAAAGCAGTGACAAGCAGCTACTATTACTAGAGTCTACAATGCAAACTGGTCAGGAGAAGATGAAAGAGTTTACTGCTAAAATTAGGCCTATCCCTTCATCATTGTTAGAGTGGATACACTACAACCCAGTTAAAAGATTATGGTAACTTACAGCAACAAAAAGCAAAGCAGCTGAGGGGAACTGAGTTAGCAAAGACTGTGAATATCTAAGAGATGGTCTCACATGTGGGATTCTGATCAGTTATCCAGGATTTCCCAGCACTTCTTTGGTATCACTGGTGCAGTTCCATGGGTCCAGATCCAGCAAGCATGGTAACACCATTCTAAGGTGGACTATTGCCCCAATCCAATTGCTGCTCACACACAGAAGTGGGGAAGCTTTAACTACTTGCTACCTAATTCCCCTGTGGCTGTGGGGTGTTGTCTAGGCCCAACAGCTGTGTTAATCTGACCAACTAAACCAGACACTTTTTGGAAGATTTAAATCATGCAGTGTTTTTCAGCCTTGCCAAAGGGCAGGTACAGTCTCACAGCTGTTCATGGAAAGGGATTTTCAGGCTGCTCAGCTTAGGTCAGCACAAGGAAGTATGGGGGTCACCTCCGGGGGACTCAGAAGCTCACTGGGATCATACATCAGGCAGGTGGGCTCAGGAACAGCACTGCTGATGGCTCACCTCTAAAGAAATGTTGAGAATATACAAAACCAGTAAATTTCTCAGCACCTTGGGTTGTGGTAGCAGAGAGAGTAGGACCAGCGAAACCTCACTGGTGACAGACAAAATTACAAAGGACTATATGCTTGAGATGTTAGCATCATGTCTGAGATCCTCTCCTTAAGTACACTCAGGTCTCAAAAAGAAAATGAGCAGGACTCTTATTGGGGTAAAAATTTTAAGAAAAATGGGTTTTTTTTCTGCATACATCACATTTGCTACAAACTGTAAAGATTAGAAACTCCTTCATGTAATTGGGCTTTCTGGGGCATGACCAACAAGCACATACTTGGCTAGCAAATAAAGGGAGAATGGGAAAACTGAAGTGCTTAAATTGGTACCATATTATTTATTCAATTTCCTTATGCAGAAGAGTAACCAGTGCTCCAGCCACACTGCCTCAATAAATATCAGCTATGCCAATGGACAGGACACGCTTTATGTTGACCAGCAGAAGCTCTACCAGCCATGTAGTAGTAGAGAACAGAGAAAATTAGTGTCAGTTCTAATAAAACGTTTAGTTTCCCACTGCCACCTTCTTAAGGAGAGCCCAGCTATTGTGAAGAGGCTCACATGACCTTGACAGCTGAAATCTCCTTAGTTCTGAGATGGAAGCAGCAAAGGAAACTTCTTAGCTGTCTTAACACTGGGCCTAAGTGGGCAGTGCAAATGCCATAGCTATTGGTTCCTAGGCTTTTCCAGTAAACCCACAAAGCAGAAGGACTGGGATATGGGTTAGGGCACCCATATGCTCTCTGTAGGAATCTGGACAAAGACCAGAACTTTTTGCATATAGTAAAGAATGAAAACTTTCAAACTACTTGCCTATATATTAAAAAACCTAAAAATTGCTTCACACAGAGTAAGAAGAAAAATTCTGATACTCTGACTGAAAAAGAGCAAATCTGACATTTCTTCCAGCCCTACATTTAACCACTTTTTCCAAATTCCTTAGATTAGAGGAGTGGAAAGAGTAGTACAGTTCAATTGAGGAAGTAAAGACTGTGTAAAACTCCACAAAGGCAAAATGCAATGTTAGTAGCAAATTAATAATCAGCCTGTGCACTGCTAAAGCAGAAATCATACTCCTCTTCCTGCCAGTGTTAATAGACAATTGCTTGAGAAAAGGGACAGTCTAGATGCAAGAGACATCACCAGAAGCAGGGGAAGGTGCTACTTATCTTTGGTTCCACCCCTTAGTAATTGCTTCTGTAATCAACAGCTGCAGTGAGCAGCGGCTTGTGTTAAGAGTGCAGTCAGAAGACTGACAGACCTGTTTAAGCAGAGTTTAAATCTAAAGCTTTAGGATGGATCTTCTTGGATGCCAGCTCTGACAATTTCTTCAGACGTTTCTTCAGCTCCAGAGGGAATTTCTCATAGCACTTCTTGCACACAGGCTTCATGTCAAACTCCACAAATTTATTCCTTTAACACAAAGAACAGTTATTAAATGGTATTTGCAAACTATGCTTCACTAATTCAAATCTCCATACATCTGCATCAGTGTTGTTGCAAGTGTTCTATTCCATTTATAAAACAACTGATTTCCTCATCTGGTGATGCAAGTACAGAAATTGGGTTCTGATCAGTGAACTGAAGTCTTTAGTACTGCTAGGTAAATAAGGAACAAGATTTTGCTAGTTATTTGCATGTAACAGTCTAGAATAATAGTTTTGTTACTGTAGAATGCAAGTGCCACTTCAGAGGTCCCCTTTGGGATGAATTAGAGCTCTTTTATATGGCCAGTGGAGCCAACCCAGCAGAGTAGGATAAGGGTTTAAACCTGAGAAAGGAAAATTGTAAGACTGCTTTTTTTCCTTTCCCTCTTCTAGATATTTGAGGTGAATAACACAGTATTTTATTTCAAAATAATTTATGCAATAGCAAATATTGTCATTGAGGGGAGCAACCACAGTTAAGGAGACATGGAGGCTGTGGGTTGTTCAGGACAGGCAGTTCCTTAAAGTTGAGAGCCTTCCCTCTGTGCTGATGAATGAGTCCCCCTCTTACCCAACCTCCTTACAGAATCGATTAATGAAGGAAAATAAATCAGAGAGGATGCTGAGTGTCAGCTCTCTTTCAGTGCTGAAATCAGGAATTATAAACACCTGCTGCCACAGAGAAAAGGTGTATTTGCCTTCAGAAAGGCAGTGGCTCATGGCTCCTCCAGGCTGATACCCTGCCTTAGGGACAAATACCCCACATGGTCCAAAATATAAATACTGACTTACTTCAGTGTGAGCTTGACGTTGCAGGTGGAGCAGGAGAAGCAATTCACACACCAGGCCTTGTTAAGAGCTGATACCACTGCAAAAGTAAAAGCACCAAGTAAGAGGAAACTGATGGACTATATGAATTCAGATTTAAACCCAAATTCAAATGAGGCCAGATTTGAAAACAAACACTGTTGTCTTGCAACTGTGGGACTACAACAG